GAGTACATAGAGTCATATCGTAACCATTACACTTGAAAGATATATTCGAATTAATAATTATTAAGAAATTTAATTATAAAATAAAGATACCTGTAATATTTTATCATGAACTCGCAATCCAGCCCGGGATGCAGGAGAATCTTGTGTAACGTCAGTGACATAAATGCCGTAATCAGTATATCCTAAAAACAATGACAATTCATTAATACTTTCAGAGATAAGAAAAAAATTTGTAAATAATTTACAGATACCTTGTGGAGATTTAGTGAAATCCTGATCGATACCACCTAAATGAGTCATAATTACAGGATAAAATCTATCGAAATCTAATCCTTTAATAGTCATTACCTCCAATTTTAAAGCCACATCTTGCAACTTCCTTTCCCTCTTGATCGACGGAAATTTCTTTTTGCAGAGTTATTGGAATCTTTAAATAGGCGTAGTTGAATAAATTTATTTACAAATTTTCAATGTTATTAACTAGTTTGATGAAAACCTAATTGACACTTACACTTAAACACTGAAAAGCTGGAAAGAAACTGTTTTTGTTTTGCACTGATTCCATTATGTTCAATTATAATAGTTTAATTAATGTTCTCGAATAGTTTTTTAGCTTTCAGAATAAATTCAATTATCACCTCGAATTACACTCTCTACCTGAAACTCGTCTCCCCAAAGTCTAGTTTCAGGTGGAGAGTGTATATATATCACGCTCGGACACCTCGGACAAATTTTTTGAGCACTTTGTATGAAAACTTCCGATCCGCGGAAAAAACGCTGCAAGTGTATTCAGTAAAATATTCAGGGTTGAGTCAAAACACGGTCACAAACCCTGCGAATTAACTTGGCGGCCCGGAATTGACATGTATTGAACCAAAATTTCAAAACTTCATTAAATAAAAACAAAGAATTAGATCGTGAAGATCTTATAAATATATATTTACTGTATAAATAATCAAAATAAACAACAAAGTTAACAAAATTCAATATTTACATTAACCACCTTCACCTCCTTTTTTAAAAGTCACTGACGTGTCTGTTGTGAAATTTTTTTCTTCATTCGACGTCTTCGAAGTCAACTTGATTGAAATTGTAAGGAAATTAAAACCAAAGCACAAAAAATATGTCGGAATTCTCGACTTGGTACAAATCAGTACCTCAATTTACTCGTTATTGGTTAACCGCAACAGTTGGAATATCAGTTCTGGGAAAACTCGGAATTTTACCAGTTCAATATCTGTATCTTGACAGTACCTTCGTTTTTAAGAAGTTCCAGGTAAGAAACTTCATAAAAAGACATAGAAAACTTTATTAAAAATCATTTTTTGATATTTTCAGTTATGGAGACTCTTAACATCTGTTTTCTTTTATCCAACTGGATTCCATTTTCTCATGAATTGTTTCTTCTTGTACAATTACTCATCGCGACTGGAGAAAGATCATTATTTGGGCAGTCCCGGTGATTATTTATATTTACTCACCTTCAACTGGCTATGTTGTGCTACTGTTGGAATCTTTTCATCATTACCGGTAAATTTGTTTATGTCGTTTTTAAGAACTTTCAATTTATTTTCTATTTGTTTCAGTTCCTAATGGATCCAATGGTTTTATCAGTTCTTTATGTCTGGTGTCAACTCAATAAGGAAGTGATCGTTAGTTTTTGGTTTGGAACGAGGTTTAAGGCAATGTACTTGCCATGGGTTCTTCTTGGATTCAACATGCTTATGTCTAATGGAAGCATTTTTGCTGTTGTTGGAATCCTTGTCGGTCATCTTTACTTTTTCCTAAAGTTCACATATCCACAAGAACTTGGAGGCGCTAATTTCCTAGAAACACCACAATTTATTAAAAATTATTATCCAGATACAAGGCCATCGGGTGTATTTGGATTAGCACCTGAAGGTGGTCGTGCTGATCCACAAGCGAATCAACGAAGAGTTTTTGGTGGCATGGGACAAAGATTAGGAAATTAATATTCGTTTCAAAATCATCTTATGATCTTCTTGAGATTCATTTTTCATTCTAATTAATGTTGATTTATTTTCATGGCAAATAAAAACTAAAGTGAAACTAATGGAGCAAAAAAAAATTCTTTGTTTGTTTTTGTAGAATTTGAGAATAATTATTATCCGAATGTCGATAAAAATATTCGCGTAATGCCAAGTGTTTGTGTAAACAACAAAGGGGTTGTTACTTAAAGTGAAAGTGAACTTAAATTTTGTGAAATTAATTAGTTAATATTTTTAATTAGTTTTAAGAATCAATCAAATTATTTGCAAATTTCGATGAAAACTAAAACATGATTGACAACATAAATCTTATGGTGACAACCCCCTAACATCCAAACCAATGTTAAACATAAACGGAAGCAATGATAACACAACCATAAAACGATCAAATTACTCTTTTATGTATGAATCATGAAGTTCGTTCTCAGTTCTTGCAATTACTCTGATTTCATCAGAACTTCACTCTTCCCAAGTAAAGATGTCCTTTCTAAGGTTCGCTTAATTTAATTCTTTAATGAATTTTCTTTTAAAATGTGTGTTTTAGTTGTTTCGCAATTATTTTGATTAGCTTCATACATCACATCGATGGAAAGGTTTTGACTTGTGATGAGTTTATGGAAATTCCAGAAATTGAAGAAGGAGCTATTTATGCTGAGAAGTGCACGTTCTCGTTCGTGAGATATGAAGCCTTGGATGAAGTTAACATTTCACTTTTGACAGTACATGAGCTTGATTATGATAATTATGTGCATGAAGTTGAAGCTTCGGGATATATAAAAAGTGTAGAATTTGTGAGTTCGAGAATTCCCCAATTACCAAAAGAACTTTTCGTGAGATTTCGAAATCTAAAATCCTTATCAAGTGATGGTGTTAACTTAGTAACGTTGTCGAAAGATGACTTTAAATTTGCAGTGAATATTGAAGAGCTTTCATTTAACTCAAATTACATAAAAAATCTGGAGAAATTGCTTTTTTCCGGATGTATAAAACTTTTATCTCTTGACTTGTCGATCAATGTCATTGAAACCATCGACAATACAGCATTTGCTGGTTTAGAGTTTCTGAAGAAACTTTTGCTTTACGATAATAAATTGAAGAGTTTAAGTGATGACTTATTTGAAGATCTTATCATGTTGGATGAAATAAATCTTAGCAGCAATCAACTTTCAGTTATTAATGAAAGGCTTTTCATGAGTTGCTATAAATTGAATTATATTTATCTGAATGACAACATGTTAAAAAGCATCGCTGAGAATGCTTTCAATGAAATCAAAGAAGTCAAATATCTTGAGTTGTCGAATAATTATCTCGAAGCTTTGAATCTCAATCTATCAGCGAGTGCACTTTATTCCAATCACAACATTTTGAAAAGTGTGAAGTTGAATAGTGTGGGATATTTACAGTTTTACAATAATTCAATCAGTGAAGTTAATTTTGTTGATAAAGAGAATATCATTAGCTTAAATGTTTCGAAGAATAAATTAACTTCAGACACGTTAGCAGGTGTCACTGAGTTGAGTGGTCTGAGATCTCTTGACTTGTCGTTCAATAATATCGGCACTTTGAATGTCAGTGCATTACTCAAGTTACAAAATCTTCAAATACTTAATCTTCAATCGACAAACTTGGGAAATATCAGCTTCGGGTTCTTCACACATCAATCCGAATTAGATCAATTGGATTTGTCGTACAACAATTTGAACAATTTTGACTTGGCGAAACTTACTCCGCTGAAAGTTCTTACCGCGTTGTTTATTGAAGGGAATAACATTACGAAAATCGATTATGAAAACTTGAAGAATCTTTTGCCAGCATTAAAAACTTTCGGTTTTAGTGACAATGCTTGGTCGTGCAAATATCTTTCATCCTTAGTCTCTTACTTAGACAACAATAAAATTGAAATTTTTAAACTTACAACGAATAAAGAGAAATCAAACGTCCAAGGAATTGCATGCTTGGAAAATGACGAGCTGAGCGATAATAAAACTTTTGTGATTCAACATCATGATCTTCAGAACAATGACACTGCATTCAAAGCTTTATCAGAGAGATTTGATGTATTTGAAGACCAAATCAAACGAAGACATGAAATCTTCGTAACAAAAGAAGAATTAATAAGACAATTGGATGTGATTAAAAGTGCTTTGGCAGGTATAAATCGAGATATGAATGAAAGGATTTCTGCTCTTGTAAGAGAAAGCTTAGATTTCGTGAACACAAGAATTAAAAAAGGCATCGAAACTAACATTGATGAGTTGAGAATTCAATTGACGTCCTTGACTAAAGAAATCAATTCAATGAAATATTCTGCAACCACAGTTAAACCTCAACAACCACAAACAGCTGCTACTTACTCATTTGATGACATCCTAATGAAAGTTATGCTTATAATAATATTCATTGTAGTCATTGCATTTGCAACCATTTATATCGTCAGAATTTTCGTTAAGAGAAATTCACAAAGATTTGTTATCCGACGACCACACTCAGAAACTGACACGATTCATGAGAACATTTTCTAAAGATTTTGTTAAAATTTTTAAATAATTTTTGTTTAAAGTTTATTAAAGTGAAAGTAAAGGAAATCAAAATTTNGTTTTCTAATCATCAACTTTGTTTTTTCATAATATCACATATTTAGTAGAAATATTACAGAATTTCTTATTTTTCGAGTTTTCTTCATTATTAACTTTGTTTTTTCATATTATCACATATTTAGTGGAAATATTACAGAATTTCTTATTTTTCGAGTTTTCTACATTATCAACTTTGTTTTTTCATAATATCACATATTTAGTAGAAATATTACAGAATTTCTTATTTTTCGAGTTTTCTACATTATCAACTTTGTTTTTTCATAATATCACATATTTAGTAGAAATATTACAGAATTTCTTATTTTTCGAGTTTTCTACATTATCAACTTTGTTTTTTCATATTATGACATATTTAGTGAAAATATGACAGAATTTCTTATTTTTCGAGTTTTCTACATTATCAACTTTGTTTCTTCATATTATCTCATATTTAGTGGAAATATTATAAAATTTCTTATTTTTCGAGTTTTCTACATTAGTAACTTTGTTTCTTCATAATATCACATAGGGTATGGATTTACACAACTTTATACATTGTGATTATGTTGAAGAATATCAATAACCAAGTGCTAGAATTTGGAAATGTTGTTTATGCGTTTTTAAGGCAATATCAGGACAGGAAGATCTTCATGAACAATAAAGTTCTCACAACAATAAATATACCTACGTAAGATTCTAAAGTTTTATTATTTAAATCGAATAATATTTTCTCCTTTTATCTTTATTCTAGAATTATGAATGTTTAACTTGTTATAGAAAATTTAAAACATCATCATCTCTTATTCGTCACAATCGTCTTCATAAGTCTGATAAATTGGAAGAAATTAAAAAGGAACACGGCTGCGAATAAAATCTTTATAATTAATAAGACAATTGGATGTGATTAAAAGTGCTTTGGCAGGTATAAATCGAGATATGAATGAAAGGATTTCTGCTCTTGTAAGAGAAAGCTTAGATTTCGTGAACACAAGAATTAAAAAAGGCATCGAAACTAACATTGATGAGTTGAGAATTCAATTGACGTCCTTGACTGAAGAAATCAATTCTATGAAATATTCTGCAAGCACAGTTAAACCTCAACAACCACAAACAGCTGCTACTTACTCATTTGATGACATCCTAATGAAAGTTATGCTTATAATAATATTCATTGTAGTCATTGCATTTGCAACCATTTATATCGTCAGAATTTTCGTTAAGAGAAATTCACAAAGATTTGTTATCCGACGACCACACTCAGAAACTGACACGATTCATGAGAACATTTTCTAAAGATTTTGTTAAAATTTTTAAATAATTTTTGTTTAAAGTTTATTAAAGTGAATGTAAAGGAAATCAAAATTTGTGGTCAAATCTTAAAATAATTTCAATATTCCGAATTGAAATGAGCTTAAATTTCTATGTAAACCACAATAATTTAATTTTTATTTACTTTTGTTACTCAGTTTTGTATTTTAATCAAGTCCCCTGACATTACCAAATTATTCAATAAATGAAACGAAAATTTAAAATATAAAAGCGAAAAATGTAAATTTTATTCAACATTTAACTTCGGAAACGTTTAAACAAAGGATGTTGAACTGAACTTTTCTTTTTATACTCATAATAAACTTCATTGTCAGCTCCTGAAAGTGAATGTATGGTTTGTTCATCTTGATTGCATAATGCTTCCAGACTGACGTCTTCTTCTTCTTCATTGTCGATTTTATCGTAGAACTTTGTGATGTCTTCAGGAACTGCTGGAATTATTGTCGTTGCAGGATTCTCAGGATCACCTTCAACAGGTGTTTCAGTAACATTTCCTGTTTTTGAGCCAAAAGTTACTCCTTTCATATTTTGATTTGATTTAATGAAATCGCCATCAGTTGCATCACCATCAGATCGCTTTAAACGACATTGTTGTATCACAGGATCTTTAAGAAGTTTCTGGAGAATCTCAGGATGTGGGCTTTCAATGAAATATTTGTTGTGCTTCAATACTAACTTCACTTTTCCATATGATAATGTGCAAAGTTTAATGAAATCTTCAATGCCTTTGGGAATGGAAGTTTTGCATAGACGACGAAGATATTCGACTATGTCGTGAGTTTGTAAACCTACGGATACTGCTGCATATAAACTGTAAGCTGTTAATTTATATTCATGAATATGTTCAGGACGACAAACTGGCTCAGAAATTGCAATTAGAAAGTCGTGAGCATTTTTATACACTGGCGAAAAAGTTTCAAGAAAAATGTGTCCATTTGGTGCAACATAAAGTGGACGTGAAGAAAAGTCTTGTTTCAATTCTAGGTGACTTCTATAATCATTTGCTCCATATTCATCTTCAACAACCTGTAAGTTGAAATTTAAGAAATTATTAAGGAATTTAAGGAATTTGTGAAATACTTTACCGCATCATCATTTTTTCAGCATTTCTTGCTGCTGCTCTCGGTTCAACAACTTCTGCGTCATTAGAATTGTCATCTTCAAGTATTGTTTGCAAATCATACTCGTCGTCGTTTTTACGTCTCTTATTTCCACGTGAAAATTCATTTTTTCTTGATTTCGACATGTTTTTGCGACTTTCTGAATATAAACAAATAAAAACTTCGATAGTGTGTCAAAAGATTGAGAAATAAAACTTCGACGACTTTCTTCTTCCTCCGTTAAAATTGTTTTTCTTGTCGTTTCCCGATTTTTCTTGTAGCGAGATAGGGCCATATGATTTAAGTTGTANTTTATTAAAGTGAAAGTAAAGGAAATCAAAATTTGTGGTCAAATCTTAAAATAATTTCAATATTCCGAATTGAAATGAGCTTAAATTTCTATGTAAACCACAATAATTTAATTTTTATTTACTTTTGTTACTCAGTTTTGTATTTTAATCAAGTCCCCTGACATTACCAAATTATTCAATAAATGAAACGAAAATTTAAAATATAAAAGCGAAAAATGTAAATTTTATTCAACATTTAACTTCGGAAACGTTTAAACAAAGGATGTTGAACTGAACTTTTCTTTTTATACTCATAATAAACTTCATTGTCAGCTCCTGAAAGTGAACTGAAACCACCAGTTTTCTTAGACGTTCCTGGTCTTGACGGTCCACCTTCACCAGGAACTCTTTCATCTTCACAATCAATGTCAGATGCAGCGAGAACTTGTTGAAGTAATTGGCCTTGTTCATCACGAGATTTATAGAAAAGATTTTGATCTTCATCCATCCCAGCTAAATGCGTTATCACTTTGTAACTGTAGCCCTGATTGACTAAGAACCGTTGTCGTTTACGTGAATAACTCATTTCCATTGTGTCTTGTGACACGAGCGTGTAGAAGAACGCGTTATATTCTTCAGCAAACGATCCTTTCTTCGCTCGTAAGATTCGTCCCAATCTTTGTGCTTCTTGACGTCTTGAGCCACCATGAGATGAAATCTGGATTAAAACATTCGCTTCTGGTAAATCAAAACTTGTGTCAGCAACTTTACTAACGAAAATTGTATTCACTTTCGGATTGAACTTAAAGTTTTGTAAGATTTGAATTCTTTCGTTCTGCAATGTTGGTCCGTAAATGTATGGTTTGTTCATCTTGATTGCATAATGCTTCAAAGCAAAAACATTGTCACTAAACACAATTGTTTTGTCACCTCGACGCTCATGATAATGAATCAAATATTGACACATTCGAAATTTACTCGGATTCATGACATACAAAAGCATTTTCTTTGATGTTTTTGTGACGAGATATTCACGATAAAATTCAGCTGTCATTGGACACCAAACTTCGGCACACTGAACTCGAGCGATGAATCCATTCTTTTGTAGTTCCAACCAATTTGCTTCATAAAGTTTCGGTCCAATAAGGAAATTTAAATCAGCAATTTTGTCATCTTCACGGAGAAGTGTTGCAGTCAATCCAAGCTTACAATGACTCTGAACAATTGTCAAAACCCGACGAAACATTTTAGCTGGAATTGTGTGGACTTCATCAAGCACCATAATTCCCCATTCTTGTTCTTGAAGCCACTTCATCGTTTGTTCAGCTTCCCATGATCGCTTTTGTGTGTGAGTTATCATCGAATATGTTGTAACGAGAACACCACAGCCCATTGGTTTGTCTTTTGCTTCCGATGTAAATCGACAAATCATGCTATCATCAGCTGTCGACCACATTTTAAATTGTTGTTTCCATTGTTCAACAGAAACTCCACTGTTGCACAAAACTAAAGCTCGTTTACGAACTGTGCAACAGGCTGTGACACCAACTAAAGATTTTCCAGCACCACATGGCAACACAATAACTCCAGAACGAGCTCTTCCATTTCCAAACATTTTTCGTAAACTTTTCTCTTGATATGGACGAAGAACTGCCGCTGGTTTTAAATCAATGTTAATGTCTTTGTTAATTGTATCATTACGAAAATCATATTCAGCGAGAAGCGGATGATCAATTTCAATGCAACGTTTTTGAATTGTTTCAATCTTCTCTTGATCAACTTCGAATGAAACTGTTTCCAGACTGACGTCTTCTTCTTCTTCATTGTCGATTTTATCGTAGAACTTTGTGATGTCTTCAGGAACTGCTGGAGTTATTGTCGTTGCAGGATTCTCAGGATCACCTTCAACAGGTGTTTCAGTAACATTTCCTGTTTTTGAGCCAAAAGTTACTCCTTTCATATTTTGATTTGATTTAATGAAATCGCCATCAGTTGCATCACCATCAGATCGCTTTAAACGACATTGTTGTATCACAGGATCTTTAAGAAGTTTCTGGAGAATCTCAGGATGTGGGCTTTCAATGAAATATTTGTTGTGCTTCAATACTAACTTCACTTTTCCATATGATAATGTGCAAAGTTTAATGAAATCTTCAATGCCTTTGGGAATGGAAGTTTTGCATAGACGACGAAGATATTCGACGATGTCGTGAGTTTGTAAACCTACGGATACTGCTGCATATAAACTGTAAGCTGTTAATTTATATTCATGAATATGTTCAGGACGACAAACTGGCTCAGAAATTGCAATTAGAAAGTCGTGAGCATTTTTATACACTGGCGAAAAAGTTTCAAGAAAAATGTGTCCATTTGGTGCAACATAAAGTGGACGTGAAGAAAAGTCTTGTTTCAATTCTAGGTGACTTCTATAATCATTTGCTCCATATTCATCTTCAACAACCTGTAAGTTGAAATTTAAGAAATTATTAAGGAATTTAAGGAATTTGTGAAATACTTTACCGCATCATCATTTTTTTCAGCATTTCTTGCTGCTGCTCTCGGTTCAACAACTTCTGCGTCATTAGAATTGTCATCTTCAAGTATTGTTTGCAAATCATACTCGTCGTCGTTTTTACGTCTCTTATTTCCACGTGAAAATTCATTTTTTCTTGATTTCGACATGTTTTTGCGACTTTCTGAATATAAACAAATAAAAACTTCGATAGTGTGTCAAAAGATTGAGAAATAAAACTTCGACGACTTTCTTCTTCCTCCGTTAAAATTGTTTTTCTTGTCGTTTCCCGATTTTTCTTGTAGCGAGATAGGGCCATATGATTTAAGTTGTATTTCCCAGACCCTTTTCGTAGAGATAAACCATTGTTGTGGTCTCTTAAAGCCATATCTAGAGGCGATAACGCTCGATCTTCTTGCAATTCACTGAAATTAAAATCATTATTAATTTTGTCTAAATCAACAAGTAAAAATCTTCCGACTGAAAGCCAAAATATTTCATTTTAGGTACTTACATGTCCCCTCCATCCATTATTTGACTTTAATTAAGTTTTTGTTTCTTATTTGAACTTTTATTTTTGTTTTTAATTTTAAAATGTTCAGAACTTTTATTTTCAATTTTTTTCATTTAAAATGTAAACAAACTTTTTTGCGTCTTTGAATGTTAGCATTTTAATAAGTACCGAGTAAGTTTTTTGCATTTGGCGGTTTGTCTCTTATCACTTTCTTATGTTTTTAAGAGGTAGTAATAATGCAAAGCTATTTATTACTACCAGAATGATATTCCAGTCAAACATAAAAAGCAAAATGAAAACTGACACATAAAGCTATCACTCAGACGTATTAGTAGCGTAACTTTTAAAATGAAAACAGGCTAAAAATTGACTTTAGTGAAAACTGTCACACACTAGCGACGATTTCGAGGCTGTCACATACTAGCCATTTACCCAATTGTTTGTTAAAACAGGGGTACCCCAGACAGCATCGCTAAAACAGAAAAAAACATTTCATATTTCTTCCCAAACTCATTGAACTCATGAATGACGAAACTGAAGTGTCGGATCACGCTTTTCATGCAATCTCATGTTACAAATTTAAAGAAACTTTTAAAAATAGATTTTTATTTATTAAAGATCCAACACATTGCGGAATAGTAAACAAAGACGATGCAAATCTGCTTTTGGATCTTTTTTCCCCTTTTGCGTCTTGTAACACACTAACCAAATCGTCTTGTAACACACTAACGAAGCGATGCAAAAGTTGTAACACAACTAACCAAATTTAGGTTTCGGGGAATATTTAATTTGATGATTAATTAAGCAACTTTTCTCAAACTTTTAAAAGCAGAAAGTTGCAATAATAATCAAAGAATCTGCTGTAAATATTGCAGATTTTTAGGGCAAGCGGTAGTTGTGTTTTTCCCATTTGTGTTGAAAAGCTTTTCATTAAGCCTTAATTTTGTAACACACTAACCATTTACCCACAGCCTATTCACGCACGGAATAAAGCTAGCTACCTAGCCTCTCTTTGTATGAAAATCGTGTTTTGGTCAAATCCACGCAAGTCAAAGTGCCGGGTAGTCCGACGTCAATGGGGGGTAGACAAACTCAACTTTTCTGTCGGTGTAAATATCTACTAAAGTAGATAAAAACTATTGTTTTCATTAGAAATTTTGTAACTCCATAAAAAGTTTAAAAATTAATTTAAACATGTTAGAATCAAAAGATTTTCTTAATCTGGATGTTGATAAATTATTTGAACAACATACCATTAAAGAAATAGAAGGAGTAAATCGAAAGATTCAATCTGAAATTGAAAATAAACGAGAAGAACTTCGAACGATGGTAATTTTAATAATTTTTAAGTTTTCTTTAGAATTAAGAAGAAAATCTAGCAAACGTTTATAAATTTATATTTTCTAGGTGGGAGAGAGATATCGTGAACTTATTCAAGCTGCTGATACCATAGCTGAGATGAAAAAAACTTCATTTGATTTAAGTGCCAACATCACCAAACTCAGTCTTCAGAATCAGGAACATTTAATGGGATTTAAAACTGAAAGTGAAGAACATGAAAAATCTAAAGCATCGAATACCAATAATATTTATGGTGTTGTTGTGCAAATTAAGATCCTTACACTTTTACCCGAACTAATCTGGAGTCGAATCGACGATGATGACTTCTTCGTGGCGACACAGCTTTTTATATTTTCAAGACATATCAGCACAGGATTAAAACTTGATGTGAACAATGAAATAATGAAAAAGTTTCCTGTTGCAAAGAAGGAATGGGATCTTCTTGCACCATTTTTTTACACAATCAGACAACAATGTCTTCAAACACTTGAACGTGAAAATTTAACTTCAGAAATTGCATCAAAGTGCCTTGCCAGTTTGCTTCTTCTTGAAAATTGTCAACTCGAAAAATTGTTAACAACATTTGTTCAAACACGTTTAAATGCTTTCACAAAAGCTATTGAAGCTGAAGATTACGATGTCGTGGTGAAAGAAAAGTTGTTAAAAAGTTTAAAAATATTAATTTCTACCATAACAATTGTTCACGATTGTTTCATTAGATGTAATGATAGCGAAGGTCTTTTAAATCAAGAATTGAAGAAAATCATTGCTGAAAACTCTCAACCAACACTTTCACTTCTTGAACATCAAAAAACTCCAATTTTCCAAACACTTCCAGACATCATTGCTAAATATAAGCCACAAGTGTTCTTCAGTGAATTAAGTCAAGAATCGCTTCAATCAACGATTCAAAACTGGCTTAAATCAGTCGAAAACATTTCACAAAAGCAACTTAAAAGTTTAATTCAACTCGTTGTTTCAATCAAAACTATTCAAGACATTCAACAGCAAGTTATGAAAACTGTCGAGAAACCGAAAAACTGGAAAATTATTTGTAAAAATCTTTCCCTACGTGATAATATCGATTTCTTTAGAAGTTTTTATCAGTCATTAATTAATGATCGTATTCAAAACATCATTAACATCTTCTGGTCTGACATCATTGAAGAAGTCAATTTAGAAGTGGAAAAGTTAATAACCGATAATGATCGAGTACATCGTGATTTGAAACATTACGTTTGGTTGGAAGATCCGACTGACAATCCATTAAGTCTCCAAGATGCTTTATCAACTAATAAATCATTACATAAATTACTAATGAAAGTTAAAGGATTCACAACTGCAATCGTTGATTTATGCAATAAAATTGATGGTCGATTGGAACTTCTCTTCACAGATCTTAAAATTTATCTCGGCGGAAGGTTGAATGCTGCTGAAATTCGTCGATCTAAAGAAAATGTTGATCCTGATCATAAAGAAATTGTTTTGTATCTTCGTGAATGCAGTAAAGAAAATATTTCAACATTAATAACAACAATCAAGTCATCGAAGTTCAATAGAACAGCAGAAAATTGTATAACAATTGCACGACTCCTTCAATCGATTTCAGAACTTTGTCCAAACCTTCAATTATGCTTCACTGGTCAGCTATTGGTTGATTCATCTTCTTTATCTTATTTAAGAGATCCAACTAAACTTGATGATGGAGAGAAAGAATGGAACAACGTTTGCGTACTTTTAGAAGAAGAAAGTATTCGATTTTGGCGTTTATGGATGGAAATGTTTGTGGGTGAATGGAAGCCTTTGGATCATAAATTTGATCTCATCATCATGCTTCGAGACTTTCCTTCATGGGATACAATAACGATAGAAGAGAAAGATGAAAGTGACAACATCATTCAGTCACAAATTCACATCCCGTCTCAGCTTTCAATTTCTGTTCAATGTTGGATACATGAGATCATCGTCAACTTAAATAAAATCATTCCTCACACATTACCAAAGTCTATTCATATGCAAATTGTTGACACCGTTGTCGATAAACTTCATGAACATTACCAAGTGATTTCAACAAATGATTTTACAATTGAGAATCAGAAGGCTGCATGGCAATTTTTCCTCGATGTCAAAGTCTTGATGATGCTTTTTGTTGCACGTGAAAACAAAGCAATGAATGATAAATTTCAAGTTCTGACCAATCATTTTAAATCAATTATTGATCCATTTGATTTTGATGTTTTCTATCAATATGTAAATGGAAATATCAAAAGGAATGCAGCCAGAATGCAACATGGTTTTGGTCTTCTTGTACCTAACATGGAACATCTTAATAATATTTTAACTAATCATAATGTTACGAGTGTTCATGATAAAGATCCAAATATTCTTGTGATGTGTTCGACATCGTCAAATATTCCTTGGTTTCCACTTTTGCCAATAATAACAAAAGATACATTAACAGTTGACGATATTGTGAAGAAAGATGAGAAGAAGGTAGGTTTTGTAATTTAAATTTTAAAACATTTTCACATTACTCATTATTTATCATCAGATAACTGAAAGAACAACACCAGGAAATACATCCAACAAGAAGCAACCAATTCACATCTCATCATCAACATCAGCACTTTCTTCACTTCAAGATTGGTTCCGATAAATTTTAACAGTTCTGAAATATCTAATTTCAATAAATATGCTAAGTTCAGTAATTATCACAAAATATTTTTGTAAATTAATCATTTTATTTGAAATCACATTAAAATAAAAAAAAGAAACTTTCAATTTACTGAGTTATATGTTTGTTCAGCCATTTCTTGATCCTTTTATACTTTTTGCAATTAATAAAATATCATCGGTTAACATCGTTTTTAATTTTTTAATGAACAAATCAGAAATATTAAATACATTGAGATGATTAAACTTCTCTGGATAATAATGTTGTGTATCACTTCTTGCCACCTTCGGTCAAATGAAAAAAAAGAAGAATTAGAGCACGAAAAAGAAATCAATAACATTATGATGAAGGTTGTGTGAGTACCAAAACATTTTCTAGATATTTAGATACTCTCGTGCCAAATGCGACGCAATTTATTTCATCGTTCTTTATATTTTATTTACCTTTTTTTCCGCCTTTACCGGCAGGTTTCCCAGCTTTTTCTGCTGCAACAGGAGCTACTGTTGGTGCTGCAGGTTTTCCACCTTTTTTCTGAAATAAAAATATGTAGATAAATGAGTGAGTTCTATTTTTAGAAAGGAAGTTAAATAATTTTGTTTTTTGGTTGCCATCAAACAAAGTTTTGTTTGACCTTCAAAAATATTTTTATTTCTTATTTCCTTTTCGAAAATTGAAAGGTTGAATAGGAATAAATTAAATATTTTGTCAATTTCGCAATTGTTTGTAAAACGGAAAATAAAAAATCGTACATCAGAAGCTGGAGCTGATGATGCTTGTTGCTTTCCTTTACCCATTTCGATTTATTTTGTACTTTTGGGTGAATTAAAACTGTTATTTCACACTTCAAATAATGTTTTATGGTCTAATTTTAAAGACAATTCGTTTTCAATTCAATATAATATTTTTGAGAAACTATGCTTGTTCAACTCTTAGTTGCTGAGTTTCAATAAAACGACTAGAAAAAAAAAGAAAATCTTGTCGTTTATGGGTGAAAATCCGAACTGTTGTTGTTGTTGTCGGCATCACACAACTGTTTCATGTTTCTCTTGTTTACTCGTTGTTGTTAAAATGAAAACAAACCGAGCCCCCAAACGACGATTTTCCGAGAGAAAAACCAAATTGAGGAAAATTGATTGTGTTTGCAGTTAATGAAATAATTTAATACAGTTATCTCTTTTAAAACTGAGATATTTATTGTGTGACTTTCAATAGAATTAAAATAAAAATTAACTCACGTCTCAATGTCTTTTTAAGACACGTAGCTTCTAAACCTTGCGCTGATTACTTGATACTATTTATGAAAAGTGTATAAAATTCATTTAAAAAAGTTATAAATTCAATTGAAAGGATGAAGGAAGCATCTGAAAATTTATTTAACATGCCTTGACGTACTGTTTATTTATCTGTTTATTTATCAAAAATTTGATCTCAATCTTTATCTACACGACTTTTATTTTAAATTTAATTTCATGAATTAAATTAAAAATCAATGATGTTCCCGACCAATGATTTGTTAATAGTTTCATTGATTCGATAAATACTTAACATGCGTGAGTACACATACTAAATTGAATTGTCATTACTCAATTAACCTTGACTTTGCAAAAATAGTATTCCGTTTATACAAAAAAACTCGTACAGAAATATTTCGAAAAACAATGAAATGTTGGAGCCAGCAATTGTCGTAAACAATCGTTATCAAATCTACACATCTGTTCTCTCCCCACCTTACTACCTTGCTAGATTTTTCTGCTCTGAATTCTGTGTAGATTGGATTATAAACATTTTCGTTTTATAACATCTTAACACAATTGATCCGCATTCTAAAATGTTATCATTCCATTTATAAATGACGTGTAAACTTATATTAAAATCTTTTGGTCACACTTCACTCAAACGCTACAAAAATGTTGTGATTTAAGTAAAGAAACGTCTTGTGAGCATTTAAAAACATTGCGTGAGTTGAATATTTATATTTGATAGCTTGGTTTGCATTCAATTATTAAACATTGTTATGGACATATTTTGATAATGATGAGAAGCACATGACTGCGAGTATAAAAACCATCAGCTGAAAAGGATTTTTAAAACATTTCTAAGTGATACTTCAAGTGACAATAACGCTTTGAGCTGCAAACTTTTCAAGCAATTTTAACTGAAAATGAAATTCTCAGTGAGTGAATGTGAAGTTTGATTCTTGATGGAAGAAATTAAATAAAGTTTTCATTGCAGATTGTTGTTCTGTTAGCAATGGTTGCAGTTATTTCTGCTGCACCAGCTCCAAAGCCGAACGTAGTTGCTGCTGTTCCATCAGTTTACAGCCCATACTATGCAACACCTTATAGCTACTCAAATTATTACAGCTATCCATCAGTTTACAGTCCATACTACAGCGGCTTGGGTTAGTTAAACCAAATCATTATAATGCATTCAAATAATTTTTTCTTTCTTTTGCTCATCAGGTTACTCTTCCTACTATCCATACGCTGTTTTGTAAATTTTCTGAAACTTTTTGTTGACTTCTTGAAGTGTAAAAAATATTTGATGCAAATAAAATTTTCTAAGACTTAAATTTATTTATTTTAATGTATGACAGATGCAGTCAATATTTCAGATTTAATCAAAAAACATAAAACAAAACTTTCATTTACCAGTTACACCTACAAAAGCAATCTTAATTCTCTCAAGAGAATGAGATTTCATTCCATTTATCGCGATGCCTTATCAATCAGCTGTTGGCTTATCACACGAACTTTTACTTATGTTCCATTTAATAATACTTATTTTTTTCCGATTTCACACAGTTTTGTATTAATCATCGAAGCGTGAGTGTCAGAGAAAAATTAAATTAAAATTTGTTCACGTAGTCATTGACTACATCAATCAATATTCACCGACAAATTGAGAGTTGCAAATAATCGAAAATGTTTCTTCTTTATGTTGTAATTTTTATTGTCACTTTATTTGTGTTGGATTACTTCGCATGTGATCAACGACAAATAAAATTTGCTAAGCAATACAAAGGTCCATTAGCACTTCCACTTCTGGGAAATTTTTATATTTACATTGGAAAAAAACCAGAAGGTAAAATAAGCCAACCAACTTGATTTTGGTTCATTTTTCACTATCAAATTATCAGAAAAATTAAAAAGATTAAAAGTAATGCAAAGTCTATTAAGATAACAAAAATCAAGAAAAAGAAATCTCTTAAAACAAGCAATGTATAAATAACATTTACAGATATTATGCCGTTTGCAAGTAATCGCTTTAAAGTGTACGGGTCAACTTACCGGGTTTGGGCTGGTACAAAGCTCGTTATCGTTACAACTGATCCAAGATATTTCGAGATTGTGTTATCAAGTCAAAAACATTTAACCAAAAATAATATGTATGACTTTTTGGTTGATTGGCTTGGTACGGGTCTTCTCATCTCAACTGGCCAAAAATGGTTCACTCGACGCAAGATTATCACACCAACTTTCCACTTTAAAATTTTACAACAATTTATTGACGTTTTCAATCAACAAGATCAAGTGTTCGTTGATAAAATTCTGGGTAGAAAATGTGAAAAACCTTTTGATGTTTACAATGATGTTACTTTGATGTCGCTTGATATTATCAGTCAAACAGCAATGGGAGTTGAAGTTAATGCTCAACATAATGAAGATTCAGAATATGTCAAAGCTGTTAAAGAGTAAAATAGAAAAATATGAATTTGAAATAATTAATTAAAATGTAAATTGCAGGATATGTTACATTATTTCATCGAGAATGATGAACTTTTGGCAACGAAATAAATTTATCTTCAGTCTAACAAATGCTAAGAAACGACATGATCGTCATTTAAAAACGCTACACTCATTCACTAATGATATCGTTGAGAAACGTCGAAAACAAATTCTCGAAGATGCTGAAAGTGAAATAAAAATTAATTACACGGACGATGATTCAATAGGAATTAAGAAAAAGTTGGCATTACTTGATGTTTTGTTGCATGCTTCAGTGGATGGAAAACCTTTGACCAATGCGGAAATTGCTGAGGAAGTAGACACTTTTATGTTTGAAGGTCACGACACTGTAACTTCAGCTATAACTTTCGGTCTTTATCTTCTTTCACAAAACCCCGAAGCACAAGAAAAAATCTTCGAAGAAGTTTCGAGAATTGTTGGTGATGATTTGAGTGTTCATCCAACATACAATCAGCTTCAAGAGATGAAATATATTGAATGTTGTATTAAAGAGATGCTCCGAATATATCCACCAGTTCCAATTTATGGGAGATTACTTGATGAAGACCTTGAAGTTGATGGAAAAATTTTGCCCGCAGGCAGTAACCTAAACCTTATGATTTTCAACATCAATATGGATCCGAAGTATTTCAAAAATCCTGAGGCTTTCATTCCCGAAAGATTTAATGAAACAAGTGAACGAAATGAAAATCCTTTTGTTTATGTTCCATTTAGTGCCGGGCCAAGAAATTGTAAGTAACTTTAAACTTTTACTGTTTGGAATTAAATTTTAATTGAGTTTGTTTAGGTATTGGACAAAAATTTGCCATGCTTGAATTGAAATGTGCATTTTGCAATATTGTCAGAAACTTTAAGTTGCTCCCAAGTAAAATTGAACCAAAATTGTTGGTGCAACTCACATTGAAATCATCAAATGGAATTCACGTTGGTTTTAAAAAGCGACAATATTGAGATAAAGACACAAATAAAGTTTTTCTTTCTTTTATGATGAACATCCATCACCAACAACATAAAAGTTAATTAGTTTGACTTCTAACTCTTCAATTCTTTCTTCCAATTTCATTCTCTGTAATTAAATATTTGGAGAGAAAAGTTAATAATGATACACTTCGGGAAACCGCACAAACCTCTTCAACCCTTCGATCCATTAAACTAAGAAATCGGAAGCAAAGATGCTCAACTTTCTTATTCAATCTTAAATTTTCTTCGGTCAACTGAATATTTCTGAACTTTTCTATTTCAACTTCTTTCAAAAGTTTTTTTACTTGTTTGTTTTTTCTGTATAAATTCTTAATGGCTTTGCTTTGAGATTTCTTAAGGTCGTCGTATCTTAAAATTAGAATAACTGAGTGAGAAATTAAATATTAAAATTTTTGAATTTACTTGTACTGCATAAGAACATTGCTGTTTGTTTCCAAATTTTCTTTGAAATTTCGTCTTCGAACTATTGATTCGGTATTGGAACTTTTCATTGATTCGTCAGAAGAAGAAACTGTAACTGTAGGCGTAAATTCGATTTTATTTTTAAATTTTTTCAAAGCTTTTGAAAGAAAGCTTTTATTTATATTTCATTATTTCGTTATCCTCACCTTGAACTTCCGACTTCTTTCGTTCAATTTCTAGTTTCAATCGCAACTGTTCATTAATGAATATTTGTTCATTTAGCTTAAATTGAAGTTCTATTTGTGCTTCAAGAGATTTTTCAAGTAAACTCTTTTCATTATTTGTTTCAATATTCATTACACAACCGTCAACTATGTTTTCATTAGTCATTTTACGTTTTTACAAAAAAAATCTTTCAAAATCATTTACAGAAATAAACACATAAAAATTTTCTGAGCCTACTTTTACACTAAAATTGCACTTTGGCTTACTTTATTTTTTGTTTGTAAAGCATAAAAGTTTTCGTATCGAAACCCTTGTCAAAAGTGTTCACGAAATTATCTACAATAAAACTTTCCAGAATAGTCGAAAAAGTTTCTGATAAGTTTTTGGAAACTTAATTTTTTGATTTAAAAAAAGCACAAACACATTTCAAGTTTATTTTCTTAAAATAAATTTATTGATTTCTAAAACGAAGTCTTATCGCGAAGCGTTGTTTCCTTATCTCGGAAGTTCACTCACATTTACAAGTCTTCTTTTTCGAGGAAATAAATATTAGCCCAGTATAAACTTTCAATCAGTTGACCGAATAAATTCAATTAGTGCGAATCGTGTCGTAATGGATCTTTTAACTTTTCTCTTTGTACTGTTTTTGATTTTCTCAGGATGGTTTTATAAAAAATATTCGGAAACTTATACGCTAGCGAGGAAGCTTCCAGGCCCAAAAGGATGGCCAATTCTCGGTAACGCTTTGATGTTTATCGGGCTGTCACCGCCAGAGCTTCTAAAACTCTTGGAGACTTTTCCGAAGAAATACGGACGAACTGTAAGATTCTTGATAGGCCCACAACTTCAAGTTCTCTTTACTGACCCGAAAGATTGCGAAACAATTCTCGGAAGTCAAAAGTTAATCGATAAATCAGATGAATATGATTTCATAGCTGAATGGCTTGGCACTGGACTTTTAATCTCCAACGGTCAAAAATGGTTTACCAGGAGAAAGGTTATCACGCCTACATTTCATTTCAAAATCCTCGAACAATTTGTTGAGGTTTTTGACAAACACAGTGCAATTTTTGTACAAGAGTTGTCGAAGTGTAAAGGTCGTGCAATCGATGTTTTTCCGTTTGTAACTTTAGCTGCTCTTGATGTGGTTTGTGGTAAGATTACCATTTTTATGCTTATCATTCATAATCAACGGGTTATCATTTGAAGAAAAACTTTAATCGATAACGATAAGATAACCGAGAATTTCTTTTTTAATTAAGAAACTGCTATGGGAGTTGAAGTGAATGCACAACTGAATTCAGATTCCGTTTATGTAAAAGCTGTGAAAGAGTGAGAGAAATCTTATCATTTATCTAATGGGAGTTTCAATAATTATGATTATTATAACTCTAGGATTAGTATGATCTTATCAACACGAAACTTTAATGTTTTCTTGAGAAACAATTTCCTGTTTAAACTCTCATCGTTAGGGAAAAGACAAAAAGAAGTTTTGTCAATTCTTCATAACTTCACTGACAGTGTTATTATAGCAAGACGAGAAGAGTTAGCGAATAAATCAAAGAAAGGTATCAATGAAGACCCCATTGATGATGAAATTGGCAGTAAAAAGAAACTCGCTTTACTTGATGTACTTTTACAATCGACAATTAATGGAGAACCTCTAAGCAATATGGATATTCGTGAAGAAGTCGACACGTTCATGTTTGAAGGACACGACACAACGACAAGTGGAATTGCATTCTGTTTGTATTGCATTGCGAATAATCCTGAAGTACAGCGTAAAGCTTTTGAAGAGATTAGAAATGTCATTGGCGATGATGTGACCAAACCAACAACTCAGAAAGATCTAAACAACCTTCACTATTTAGAGTTGGTTATTAAGGAAACTTTGCGGCTTTATCCTTCGGTAAGCTTCATTTAATAGCAATTAAAAGACAGAAATTATTTATTTATGAACATCTTTCAAGGTTCCCTTTTATGGAAGGAAAATGCATGAAACGGTTGAAATAAGTGAGAAAGCTTTTCAATTTTATACAAAATTTAATTTAAAATTAGCAAGCCCAAAACAAAAATAAACATTTTCTTTCATTTATTGGATACTTTAGATGGGAAATTTATTCCAAAAGGAACCAATGTTGGTATTGGCCCTTATTTCATGGGACGTGATGAAACCTTGTGGAAAGATCCTTTGAAGTTCGATCCAGAAAGATTCAGTATAGAGAATTTGAACGCACATCCTTACGCTCATGTTCCGTTTAGTGCTGGTCCAAGAAATTGTAAATGAGAGAGACTATTCGACCTTTTTAAATTAAATTAACAATTTTTTTCTACAGGTATTGGTCAGAAATTTGCAATGTTGGAAATGAAAAGCGCAATATCGAAGACGTTGAGAAATTTTGAGTTTTCAGTAGCCCCTGGATATGAACCAGTACTAATAGCTGAGATAATCCTAAGACCTGAAAATGGAGTCGTTCTTATTTTAAATGATAGAAAATATTAAATCAATAATAATTTGTTTCCTGACCTAGCCTTATATATTTTGTCGTAGCTTCTTGCTTTGTAAAAAGTTCTACTTGTTTTAAGTTATGATTCGTCTAACAACTCTTGTGTAAAATAACAAGAAAGTAATTCATTACTTTTTGTTTCTGTAGAACTCTTTTTGATTTATTCCAAACATTCGCTTCATATTAATGGCTTTTGCTGAAAGATTTCATCAATATACTCTGAAATGGTAAATTGTTGTTTTAATTCTTTGATTTCATGTAGAAAAACTGGTTTCTCTTAAAATATGATCGACACTTTTAAAGCTTTCCTTTTAAATAATATTCTTTGACGTATGTAATTTCTGAATCAGTGCAATAGTAAATATTTGTATAAATTAATAAACAATTGATTGATTTGATCAGTTACATTCAAACCTTGCAACGAAAACATTCGAATCGAAATGGAGTTCATTTTATATTCACTTCTTTTTGTAATTGTGATATTTTATTTATTGAAAAAGAAATTTGATAACTTTGTTGAGCAATATAAACATTTTCCGATGGATCCTGTATTGCCTTTTTTTGGCCAAAGTTTACCTTACGCTTTAGTGGCTCCTTCAGAAGCATTTTTATTGGGTGTAGAGTCTATTAAAAGACATGGAGGTAGTGCTTTATTAATTATGGGATTTAATGCAAAACTATTCATAAGTCACCCAAAGGACGTCGAAGCACTTTTGACAAGTCGAAAACTGATTACAAAATCAGACTTTTATGACCATTTATCCGGTTGGCTGGGCAATGGGTTACTCTTGTCGTATGGCGAGAAATGGACAAAACGAAGAAAAATGCTAACACCTGCATTTCATTTCAAAATATTGGATGAGTTTGTGGAGACTTTCAATAAAAGCAGTGAAATACTTGTAAAAATTTTAAAAGAAAATGAAAACCAAACAGTTGATATATTTCCGAAATTAGCCGCATGTGCTTTGGATGTGATATGTGAAACTTCAATGGGAGTTGAAATTCACGCGCAAATGAATTCTGAATCGAAATATGTGAGAGCAGTTAATGAGTGAGTTCATTCGTGAAATTTAAAAATTTGTAATATGAATAACGATTGCCAATTATAATTGCTTTTTAATTTTTCAATTTTTTATACATATATGTATATACGAGCTTTTTTCATAATCATAATTAAATATCTTTTGACCGTTCATTAAATTAATTACGATTTAATTAAGTTCTATTTTTCATATAAAAATTACTAAAGTTGTTAGGAGAAGTTTAAGTGTGAAAATATAATTCTGAGTGTTTTATTTTTCTAGTTTCGAGTTTTATTATGAAACTTTTCTCTTGAGAACATGAACAGTTAGAAAACAGAAGATACAAATTAAACCTTTTTCTGTTACTTATTAAAGAAAACAATTAGGACAAACATCGAATAGTAATTCGAAACTTGTCTTCCGAAAGTCTAAGTTTTAACGACGGTCGTTCTCCAATATTGATGACAAGCTTTGCCTTTCTGAATTCCATGTTTTGACCCTTGAATTTTTAAAATTAAAAATCCTCACTATTTTTCCAATCATGTTTTAATGCATTTTCAGAATGGGAGAAATTGTAGCTACAAAGTTTTTTAGTGTTTTACATCAAAATAAATGGTTTCATCGACTGACACCTTTATACGTGAGAGAAAGAAAATGCCTTAAAATTCTTCATGATTTCACTGACAATGTAATCATTGCAAGAAGAAAAGAGTTGCTTTGTAATACTCCGAATGTCTCTGACGCTCTTGAAGGTGTCATAGAAAATAAAAGAAAGTTTGTTTTACTTGATGTTCTGCTACAAGCTTCCGTTGATGACAAACCTTTAACCAATTTGGACATTCGAGAGGAAGTTGACACATTCATGTTTGGAGGACATGATACAACAACGAGTGGGATGTCTTTCTGTTTGTATTGCTTGGCCAAATATCCTAAAGTTCAAGAAAAAGTTTTTATGGAAATAAGAAATGTTTTTGGCGATGATCCCGATAAGAATGTAACACTCAATGATTTGAAAAACCTGAATTACCTGGAATTGGTTATTAAAGAATCATTTCGGATTTATCCGCCAGTAAGAATTTTGTTTTTCAATACTTATGGTAAATTTTATCCTCTCAATCTAATCTCCAGGTCCCAATTTACGGAAGGAGAGTTCTTGAAGATGTGGACTTAAGTAAGAAAGAAAAATCAATTACAAAAAAGTTCGACAAATTTTTTTTTTAATTTCTTTTCAGACGGAAAACTTATTCCAAAAGGTACAAACGTTATTATATCCACTTCTGTCATGGGACAAATGGAAGCGTTTTGGGAAAACCCAGAAGAGTTTATACCGGAAAGGTTTCACGTCGACAAGGCAAAAAATTTTAATCCATTTGCCTATGTTCCGTTTAGTGCCGGTTCTAGAAATTGTATTGGTCAGAAATTTGCTATGCTTGAAATGAAGACTGTAATTTCTAAAATACTACGTCATTATAAACTATCAGTTGCAAACGATTTCAAACCAGTTCTTTTAGCGGAGCTTGTTTTGAGATCTGAAAATGGCATTCTATTGAATATTCAGAAACGAAAGGATAGAAATGAATGAGTTGTTGAAAATTCAATGACCCTTTGATTATCATTGAAGGTAATGTGAATAATGCTTGGAGCATGGTCTTCATTTTTTAAGCTAAAGATTTATTCTGAAAGAAAATTGATACAAATTAACTTGAAATAAAATCGTAATTTAACCATTTTTAGTTATTTAAGTGATACAAAAAAAAGTGAATTTAAATACTTAAGTTAGTGTTTTTTTATCATATCTATCTTTAGTATTTATCCCATATTTTAGATATTCAATATAAAAGTAACTAATCTAATACGTTTCAGCTACAATGAAACTTTTCATTTCTAGATACCGTCTTAATTAATAGCTTCAATTTTAATCTGCAAATGAATGACTCTTTCATACAGTCGTTAATAATATTCAGTCATATTTCAATGATAAACCGGTTGCTGTTCTATTTAGAAATTAAAAATTATTTTTAATGTCGCATTATTTGGGAATCCCGAACTCCAACACGTAAGTAAGTGAGTAGATGACAAAATGTAGATAAATTGTGAAATTGTAGTTATTTTTGCTGAGATAAACTGAACTAGTTAGTTTGAGATATTATTATAGGAAATATGTGAAGCTGGTGGTTTATTAATCCATTTGATTCTAGTATTCAAATGATTTTAATTCGAATATTGCTATGAACGCTTTACTGATAGTATTTAAAACACAACGATTGAATTTCCATTAAATTTCCACGTCCTTATCACTATCGTATACTTAGATATCAAACCATTTGAATCACAGAATTTTTTTTCATATCTAATTATATAAAATGGAGAAAATTCTATGAATTCTTTTTCAGAACTTCACTAAGTTGATAAGATAGAATGTAATATTGAGAAAATTTATGTCTCTATCAAGAAACATGACAGATTAACATTCTACAAGTTTCTTTCCAGTGCTAGCTCAGGCGATTTACAATCTGCTGTGCTTCAAAACTTTTGAGAATAAAGTTCATTAAGAAAGCTTTCCATTTTAATACTTCAACTAGGAGTTTGGAAAATAAACTTCCAGCTAACAATTCTCTCTTTTCCAATTTATTTTTTCTTATTTTCTCTTACTCACCTCCATGAAAAGAGCTACTCAAAAAGCTTTCCATTCAATCAGCTTTCATTGTTCTTCACACATTTCCATCTTACTCAGATATTTTATTCTTACCATGGTTGAATTTAAACACATAGCAGATAACTTTCTTGCCAATGCCTTATCGTCTTATTAAATATTCAAGAGTAGATGAAATGTTTTTCACCTAATATTTCCCTTCATCTTTATAAGCAACATTTATTTATTTAGAGTGGTTTTACGTAAGTGAAAAATTTGAAGGAAATTCTTCACGCTGATGGAATGCTTCCGTCAAGTATTGTTTTGTCTCGCTTATCTTTCTTTTAAGATCGTGTCGTATTACAGCAACCAAATTCCTTTCATCTCATTTTTCAATTGAAACAAGAGAAGAGTAAACATCAGCTTGATTTTATAGCTCAACACATAAATGACAGAAAGCCTCAGATTTATAAGCGCTTTTAATGACTCATTATGAGCGCATGGTATAATAAAATTCACAATGTTTAAAATGATATTAAATGTCGCGTGTAGATTGCCACAACACCGCTACACGAAATATTCATTTAGGAAGGTTTATTTAGTTTCAAAATTAGGTAGTTTTTGTTTCTTTACACCTTTCTGAAAAGCGAAAATTAAAACATAAACAAAATGAAAGGAAGAGAAAGAAAGCTTTCAAAAACATTATTCGCTATTCATATTTTAATAAGGTAATCATCGAAACTGCTTACTAATACCATTTAATAAGTCAATCACATTAGAATGGTTTCATATTGAGCTCAATTATAGAAGAAGCAAAGCATCTCTGTTGACATCATTAAAAGAATTTTCTCGTCACATAACGCTAATAAAAAGCAAATATTTTTATTTGTCGTTTAACTAGATCGATAGCATGAGCTTAGTTGAGAATAAATACCGAAGAAACTGAGTGGAAAGCATTTACTTTGGCATTAAATATATGTCAAGTGTGTTTGATGAATGAGTGGCGATATAAGCGAGAAGTGACAAAGCGTAGCATGAAATTAAATGCCCGTAGGGTGCAAAGAAAAAGTTTCCTTTTTCATATTGAATATACCATAACGTCAGATAAGCTTAAGTGTATCGTTTGTATTGTTCAAGATTTCCAACTATTTTTTTTCATTTCTACCTTCAAATTGCTTTCTCAAATTCGAATCAGGATGTTTGTCTACAATGGAGATTGGAGTGGAAATCTAAGGAATTTGTATTCTGTCATTTCATTTCCTTCTTTCTTTTTCAACGTGGGTGTTCATACTAGTAAATCTCATGAATCGTTATCGGTAGTAACGAAATGCCTTTATGTAATTTGTAAACGAATGATTTATTGTCGAGATTAGCGTCGAGACTTGGGAAATTTTTTTTCTAACAAAAACAATGAAATAATTGGTGATGTGAGAAAAGGTGGCTGAGAAAAACAGAATATAAAGTCTGAGTGCTGTTATTTTTATTTTTCTTCCATCTTTACTTTAACCCGTAGTCATGCCCGTAGCAAATCTTCGGAAAAATTTTTTTAGAAAAGAAAAATTAAGTGTGCCGCATATTAAAGCAAGTATTTGGGTTCATTTCCTCACCATTTCTTGTAACGTTATCAGCATTGTAATGAAGATTAGGTCAGGGGATAGCTTGTGATTTTGGGTAAACATACTTAGTGATTCCATTCATTAACTTTGTTATCGTAGAAATTCGAGTTCAGGAGAGGGAAAAATCATCAAATAATGTTTCGAGTCGCTAATGAACAGAACAAAACTTGTTGATAAGCAAATAAAGTATTCATTATTTCATAAGCACCACCTAGAGCCTGCCCTAGGAAATAAAGTGGATAAGCATTATCAACTTGAAATGAAACTCGTCTGAGGAAAGCACAGGAAAATAATTTCAGTATTGTGTCAGAATTAATTTTTTATTGAAATATAAATTCCATTTTAGCAGCAATGTTGAGCTTCAACATAATTAGCATTCAACCGAAAAAGGTTTCAAGTCACTTTCAATAAGACTTTTTTTTACGTATTTGAAGAATATTTCTCAGGCTTTCAGTAAGATAAGTGTCAACAAACTTTTTACTGTCTTATCAGCAGTCATAAAAGCTTTTGTTATCTGTCTCTTGACGCTTTTCCTGCAATTTTTGAGAAAAAAGAGAAATACTAATATTTATGGCGAAACCATTTTAGGAAGCCACAATTAGGATGATTCAGACTGTTTATTGGTCTTAACTAGCTGAAATTCATCATTGAGATCAAATAAATCAGAATCCAAATTTACTGTGATCATAACAAATATTTAGCAACAACAAAGTGAAATATAATTATGAGTAGACGTTCTCTCTTTCGATTTGTTTTTCTTACGCAAACTTTCCATGAATCATAATTTTATTCATTGTGCTTTCTCCGGTGGATTTGATACTTTATAGTCTTCATAATTGGCTTACAGCATGGCAAGAAAAACTGAGAAAACTTTTTTTGCTGATTTTTTTATTTTTATTATGGATGAGGCAAAGAAAAGTTTTTTTTGCTTTGTTTACGTTAGAAAGGTAGATGAATAAAAAAAAACGTCAAGTCAGAAACGATCCATAAAACTGTTAATGTTCAACGAAATAATATGTATTGAGTTGATATTTGTTTGTTTTTATATTTCAGAGCTTTTATGGATTGATTATGATATCAGAATATTAAAATTTTCTGATTTATCTTCAATACACAAAAGTTTTCCATTCAACACATTGAAATATCCAAAAAATTCGTTTTTTATTCGACACACAATCAATTGAAATTATCGTAAGATGTCATTGTTGATCTTCCCGTGAGTATCCGTTCAAAAACTAAATCCTATTAATAAAATTAAGAAAGTCTTCAACGTCAACTTTCAACTCCCCTTCAATTTATCAATACATACATATACATAAAGAGTGTTTGCGTTCACTGTTTACATTTCAAACCCAGGACTCATAAAAATTTATCGTAAAACTTCAACATTCCTACTTTTTTCTTTTGTTATTTGATGAAAAGGAGTCGCTTATATCGGAAGCTGCAATGTAAAGCTCTAGAATAAAATTGGAAAGGAAGAAAATATCGAAAGAGAACTATCAAGAAATGAAAGTTAAAGTCGTCCTAAGCAGTTATCGTATATTCTTAAAGAAAACAGGACGAACAGCGACCTTTATGAAGAAAGATAAGAACCACAAAAAAAAGCAAGAAAGGTTCTTTTATCCTCTCTGTCCTATTTTATCACCGACTGTCTGATCCTGTGACTTCTTTGATAAACAAAATTAAATCTGGCCTTTCACTCGCTCTCATTCTTATATTTGTGTAAGTTATGACCGGTTATAAAAAATTTACTACGCCCATGAATAATTTTTCCTGGCTTTTTGTTATCTTGTATTTTGTAACTTCATCTACGTAGTTAAATTAAAGCAATAGCAAATGTCGGAGTCAGAAGATCAAAGAATTAATGAATTAATGCAAATAAAGATAATTGAAGTGAAGTTCTTTCACTCTTTGATTAAATTTCAAGTAACTGATGATTACTCACATTATGAGCTTTCTTCAGGTTTCATTGGGTTGATTGGGTTAAAAATCGGATGAAATCTTATGAAATAAGAAAGCATACATTTTTGATATGGATCCAATAAAGTTTCAACAATATTGTAGCTTGACAAATGATTCAAAGAGCATTCAATTTGGAAATTTGTTGTTTTAGGATGTTTTCATTTCATTTCAGATACAATTTATGACATGGATCACAAATACATTTTTTTGGGCTAAAAGCGTTCTTTCGCCAATGATTGATTTTCTTCTACCTTTTTCTTTAATTTTTCTTCCTTATTTCCAATTGAACATTAAGGAAAAATCAAACATGTTGTTTTAACCTTTCACATTGGTATCTTTTTTAATTCAAAGAGTTTTATTATCTACTTTAACAAAATTAAAAAATATTAAAAGCAAAACATTTGTAGATAATAAATTTTTCAAAAGTAGCTTTAAAGCTTTTAATTGTCGCACCCTTATATTTCTTCTTAACTTTTACTTAATATTCAAGTGATGAAACTTTTGAAAGTCTTACATTGCCGTAAGAAAAGTAAATTTACAATTTACATGACACAAATCTAGGAAGAACCTAGAAAAATTTCATTTATTATGCTTTGATTTTCAATGTAATTTTATTCTAGAACAAAGACGCCAATTTGAAACTTTGAAACTTTTCCCACGAATGTAAACTTATTTTCCGTCTTTTATCATAATTTTTGAACCAAGAAGAAAATAAATGTTCAGGTATTCATAATTATGTCTGACGCAATGGAACGATATGATAATATTCAAGAATTTTTAAAAAGCATATTCTTTTAGATCCATCGTTTGAGACTTTCTGATTTATTCGATTAAATTAATGATTTATTTTCCATTGAGAAAATAAAATGAAAGTTTTGAGTTTATAAAAGATGTTGTCTTCTTTAACTTTAGGTCACACCAAAAAGTTTTATTTCATTTATTCATTTTGCGAGTACAATTTGAGAATAATTGCTTTGTCGTGACGATAAAGCTTTAAAAGCTTTGTTGTTGTCGCTTTTACTTATTAAACAGACTGTGTATGCCTTTCATGACGCTTATTATTTTACGCATGATTTAAAAAGCAGAAGCTGTGAGTAATGTCTTTGTAGAATAAGACGATATAAAAAATGATGAAAATTTTGCGCTCGTGTAATTTAGAAAACTTTGAAAAAATGCTCGAAGCTTTTAGGTTACTTGAACTTTAACATCAAAATGAATGAAAATGAATTTTTTAATTAATTAAATATTTCAAATAAGTAATGAAATGAAGAAAATGTCGTAGAGAAATTTAAAGCTTAATTATGTTCACAATGTCTTTGCTTTTTCATTATGAGAGAAATAAATAAAAAGAAATGAAAAATGACCATAAATTCCCTTTAGAGTTTCGCACGAAAGCACAGGAAATAACTTTATTACTTTTCAACGGTTTCACAAAAAGAAATGCAAAGAAAGAAAAAAGATATGTAGACACATTGCCCTAGGGAATGGTTTAAAAATGTTGTCACAATGACGAAAGGTTGAAAACGCTATGATCTTTAGAAACACAAACTACTGCCCTCTTGACAAGTTACCTCGAACATTGATAGAAAAAAAAAAGCTGAACAAAGTTACGACTCTTGCAAGGTTTCTCAAACCTTTCAACCGTAATGATGTAGGGGAAAAAAATTATTATCTGATGATTTTGCAATATCAAAATGATAAACTACTTCCTTCTATCCATAATAAAATAAGAAATGTTGATGTTACAAAAAAACATTTTTTGTTACATATGATGAAAGTATTGAAATTATAAATAATGAAATGATGCAAGAAGAAAGTTGTCATTGTCGAAATTTTATTGGAACTTCCAAACCATAACCAAGAAGGTTTATATTTAACAAATGTGGTAAAGATGGTGAAACATTCTTTTCTTGAATTTTAAAGAATCAGTGGGATCACGAAAGGTTAAAAAAAAGTATCAGAATCAGAAACGCATAGGGATTGAAATTTAGTATCAGATATCAATATTCAAGCGAAGTTGAATTAGATTTTAAACCCTACTTTAACATAAGCACTCACGAAATGTGTACACGCATTTCAGGAAGGAATTGAGTGAAACCAAACATTACATGCGGAAATTATGAAATTGAAACCATTTTCATGACATTATACATATCTTCTTTTGTAACATCTACTCAAATTCTAATAGACTTAGTTGAATAATGGAACAATTTCAAAACAACGCTCATCAAAATCCCATTTATTTTTTCTCTTATATTTTCTTTCTATCAGGTCATGGATCAATATTTTTCATTTCGTATGGAAAACATAAAAACAATGAAAATTTATTCGAGCGCCTTTCCAAGGGATAGAATTTCAAGAGTCCCAATTCGCATGGAGGCTTCATTTGCAAGCAGAAGTTTTCATTTTGAAAGGATGTGGGGAAATGAACCATAACGAGATTCGCACACAAATATTATATGATGGAAATTACCTTAAGCAATTTTGTTGGAATTCTAAATTATTGAGAGTATTAAGGATATGGTAGATAAATATTTAAATTTGGTCAAACGAAAATTAAAATATGTATCGATATCTTTGCAGACCAAAAGAAAAGAAGATCAAAAAATTGTAGCTCATATTTTCTATGAGTCCTGACGTTTTTTAATGATAAAAGATTAGTAGGTGAAACATATTTGCAAATGTTATCAATTGAAGCCATAGAAAATACCATTTAACATCTAATGAGATTCTTATTGTTTCATTTATCATTAAAGTAATCTTTCAAAGAGTTTTAGTGAGTGAATCTCGAAGGAGGATTATCGTTGAATTTAATTGACTATCAAATGAATTGATATTATTGTGATTATCGGTATGAGAACATTTCTGGTTCCCTTTTTCTTCATAGACACATGTATATATGTATAAATCTGAACTTGAGACAAGAATAGAATGTTTTTCTATCTAAGAATGATTAATTTATAAGCCATCGTGTTTGTTGAAGCGATAAAAACAAATGTTTCCTTATTGCAAACCAATGAAGTAAAAAAGACTGATTTTGTTATCCCTTTGTTGATTATGCGACAGAGGAAGTTACATATCAAATTTATTCAAACCGATAACAACTCTTCAGACTTTAAATAAAGTAGTGCTTGATATTTCTTATGAAAGGTTAATGAATCTGAAATTCTTCTAGCACTTGACTTGTGCATAACCATCGTACCAGTTAAAAAACTTGAAGTTATGAATCTATCTCAAGAGAATTCTATTGTTATGAAGATTATTTGTAGCTATAAAATCCCCTCTGAGTTATAAAAATTTATAATGCGAACCTCGCATCCTAAATTTTTTACTCAAAATATTAATTTCACTTAGAATTCATAAGCTCCGTGGTGTTTTTATTATGTGTAAAATGAATGGCTATAAAATTTTGTATCTACTCCTTTTCATTTGATGTTGAGTTCAGTTAAGTTTGTAATCACTCAACTGACGAGTTACTGGTGTACTTAATAAAATTTCTCAGCTGTGACAGTTGTTAATAATATTCAAAAAAGGTAAGAAAATTGAGACGCTAATGAGGAAAGGAACTGTAATTAGATATATATAATTTATCAATGACTTAAAATTTGTCGCTAAATCTCTGATTAAATCGTCATTGCTTTGATCTTTTCGGATAACAAAAGAGAGTTTCTTCAGTAAAAAAAATTAATTGAAAGTTTTTACATGTTTTCGACACGATTATTTTTCTAAGAACAATTTATTAAGATATACCTATACTTACATATTGGAATATCGAGATTTTCTTACACCAGCTCAGGTAAAGTTTATTGTAAGTCCTGAATTAAGGAATTTTTTTTATCAAATAGAAATTACATCTATATCGATTTACTGAACTCTTTGTAAGTTTCCATTATTCGTGAAAGGAATATCTGATGAAAAGTTAGCTCAGCAGTTTAATATAATTATCTGAATAGGTAATAATAGTTCATTTACGTTTAAATATCTTGAAAATTGTGTTTAGATTTTAACTAATTAGGTGGTGCCTTACAATCATAATGATTGAAATTATCTTTTTGGTATAGATTTAATCAAAATACAGTGGAACTTCTATAAGCCGATACTTCCATAAGCCGATAAACCTCCATAAACCGATATTTTTTGTCCCCCTCGAATCGAATTTACATTGCAACTGACCTCCATAAACCGATTCCTCGATAATCCGATACACCTTGAGCCATCGGCTTATGGAAGTTTCACTCTAATACTCAAGAAGATTTTACATATTGTATATTTTAATAGCAACTATTTAGATTTTCCATTAAGCTCCCAATTAACTTTGTATCGATATAAACCCCTTGACGATCATCAAGTTACACAAAGAATTGCATAAACTAAAGATTAAATTAATGAATGAGTGGTAATTATTGTTCCATTTTTCATATCTAGAGCGTTATATCGGGATGTCTCTTCACTGCAAATTTAATTATTTTATATTAATATTCTTCTTGCCAATTTTTAAACTTTAAATGTTTCATAACGAAATTGTAGCATTGAATATGATAATAAATATATTTTTAGGTCATCGACTGATGATACTTAAAAAAAATATTTGAAACGATGCTCGAAAATAGAATAATCTCCGCTTGAATTTATTATGCATTTCACTGTCATTGTGAATAATTTAATTCCAAGGGTTTTCCAACATAACGTGTTATGCAATTTATTATTTCCCACAAAATGATGTGATTCAAAACCACACTACAGACTTGATGTTGATAATTTTAATGCTCATTAAACTTTTCTCAACTTAGCAATATTTTTCAGCACAGGGAAGCAGGCTTACGTGACAGACGTTCATTAACTTTTGAATGCTGCTACAACTGAAAGTTACAATTTCCTTTATTATAAAATAACCCTTTAGCAATTAGTAATAACATTTTCTTTGAAGGATTTATCAACAGAATTAATTTAGAGTTCTACAAAGTATTTAACCTTGAATACACTTCAGAATTAATATCACTAAATACAATATTTAATTATGTCAATCGCATGAAAGTGTGAACGTTAAACTAAAGTAAAACAATTGAACTAAAATTCAATGAAGGTCGTTACACAGTCACGAACTGTTAGGTATTTATTATTATCAAACCTACTCGAAACTAATAAAATAAAAGAAAGTTTATTAAGATCATATAAAATTGCTGATGATGGACATCATTATTCTCAGCATTCCGTATGCAATACTGCAATTCAACAAATTTTTCTTAGAAATATATGAGAAAACTCTGAATAAATTTAGATTTTATTCATCTACCGTTTCAAAGTTTTAACCGAAAGTGAGGAAAAACTTTTTCCTCACTAAACTTCAAGAAATTTCCACACATTTATCTTAAAATTCCAAGAACCACAAGCATCGTGATGAAAAATTTGCTTCAAAAACTTTTCCTTGTCGAAGGATTTTTAATAGTGATTTGTTCTGTTCCTCCATTGTTCATCGTAAGTTGACGAGACAAGTTTCAAAGTTTTTACGACATAAAAGGCTAGTAAAAATGACAACCAATTTGTTTTACACTTTTATTCAGTTCTTTCCATGTAGTGTGACGTAATTTATGCATACAACATTGCACACTTTTAGGTTTACTAGCCCACAATTTATAGTGTTTCATAAAAATTTTAAAAGTAAAATTTTATTACATTAAAGAGTTTTGTTTGAATCTCATCAAGGGAAAATGGTTGCATATTACCGTTCATATATTAAAAGTTAGCAACAATAAATACCTCAGCTATGTGAAAATTTACAGGTTCAGATCTATTGGTTTTGCAGACGAAAAACTTTCCTTTTATTCCTTTTTTTCAGGCAGAAGAACGTCATTAATTTATAAAAAAATGAGGAAAAACGTTGCAATTATGTAATAGGTAATAGCTCTCAATTGAAATATCACCTCTCAAAATCTTTCATTCATTAAGATATCGTTGAAAAAGAAAAACTCCAACGAGCATATTTTGAGGAATGATGAAAAAGAATTTTCCAATAGAATGTTTTCTCATTGGAAAACTGGGAGAAAAATTGCCGTTATGAGAGGAAATCTTCTCATGAACACTTCTCAGTTTCGTTTGAGATATCGTGGAAAACGGTTGCTTTAAAGTCACACTCTGTGTCGTGAAATTTCCATAGTGTAAAGTTTTGCAAATTGGGATGCATTAAAAAGCAAAGTGTCGAGGAAAATTTTTCACACAAAGGAAAGAGGAAAAAGAAGAGAAAAGAAAATATTTATTCGCTTCAGTGGAGTAAAACTGAAAATTTAAAAGTGAAAAATTGGAACAAGCCTGTGCCGTGAAAAAAAAATAATTTCTCAAAGAAAACAAATCAAAAAGAAAAATAAGAAGGAAACTCTTGATCCATAAGAAATTGAAGGAAAAGAAAAATAAAAATGATGCGAAGCAATTGAACAAACAATTTTCTTTTCCCATAAGAAGACAGAAAGAAAGAAAGTCGTGAAGGAGAAAAATAATAAAATAAAAGTTTGATCCAGAAGCGGCAGTTCTGCCTACGACATTTCCAAAAGGTAAATAAGATTTATCGATTTTTCACAGCCTCTACGGGGACATTGCTTTTTATACGTTTACTCTCAGGTTAGGTCGAGGCTTAAAATGCAAGCAAAACGAATCGTAAACGATGTAAATCTTATGAAATGATTTCTTTCATTCGTTGTTTTCATCATCGTAATTTTTCGATGTGAAAAGAAACAAAAAAATAACGCGGGTGATAAGTAATGTAAACAACTTTGATTGGGAAGTGAAAAACTAATTTAATTGTGCTACAGACGGAAAGACAGAAAACTTTTTCATCTGTAAAGTGTCTGCTTTTCGTCATTAAATGTCATTTTTAATGTCGATGAAAAAATTCTACGGTTCAGTGTCGTAATAAACAGTTCGTTGGTAACAATCAAACGAGCAAATAAAATTGAAGAATGAAAAATTATTTTTGTGAGATGATAAATTTGTGCATCAGGTGTTTTTGTTTAGATGAAAATGATACAAACAGAATGTCTCGTCATACTGATTCATAATAATAATCACAAATGTCTTACTTTGCACACGTTAACAAAATGATCATTAAACAAATTAGACATGAGTCGCTTCTAAACTAATGCTTTGAAAGGAAAATATGCTTTGAATGTCACTCCACGCTTTTTCCTGACAAATTATTTTCAATGTCAAGTTTCATCATCGTAAATCGCTTTTTACCTTAGGAGATGAGATGAAGAAAGAAGAAAATATTTGAAACCAGCGATAATTTTTCTGAAGTCAGCTCAACGTGGTTCTTGTTACTGTCAAAATAATCTTGTATTGAAATGTTTAGTTCATCTCATATTTATGTAATTGGATAAAGAAAATAAAAAAAAATGAACGAAATCCAATACATATATGTGTCAAACGAGGAATATTCATTTTGAGCATTCTCATAAATAACTATTTCTGAAAACGAAGAGATTGTGGACAACGTGATTTTATTATGAATTTCAGAATTTCATGATAATAAATAAAACCGACAATGTTGAGCCATGGAATTTCAGTTCTTGCGTCACGCTCTGACACAATTCACCTCTCATCAGCCTACAAAATAAGATTACACGAGAAGTCACTAAATCAAAGTAATCACACTGATATATGAACCACGAGAGTCATAAAATTAAGTAAATAAATAGATGACGAAAAAAAGTCCATTTGAAGGCACTCAACTTTCTCATCTTTATTAAGCAACTTTCATTTCAAAAGCACTCCTTATGCTAGGCTGTCCACTTAGACAACTTCTTTACTGTATATTTCCAGTTAATGTCTTGTAATCACTGCATAAAAAATCAAAAAAGAGAGAAAAACTCCGAAAATTTATGTAATTGCGCACCAAAACTTTATGCTATATCGTGATGATGTATAATCGTATTGTGACTAGACAAGCTTCTTCTACCGTACTCAACTTTATGTATAGATAGAAAATTCTTATGAAATGAATAAATGATAGAGCGTATTTGGCTCAGCCATTTATTTAAATTAAATGTTTTTTAGGAAAATATTTTAGTAAACATTTTTCCACAAAGAATGAAAATAACTTTTGGTTCATTTTATCATAAATCTCAAAGTCATAACATTTCTAAAAGTCTCCTTTGGGACTTGACACGAAAAAAAAGAAAGTTGAATATTCTTTTGCATTACTTAAGTCCTCTAAAAGGAAACAGTCAGTGAATTATTCAAGAATTACATTAATGCTGATTTTCTTTTCTTTCTCGTTTCTCCTTACCAAGCATAGTCTTGGAGTTCTAGCCTTTAATATCATTGAAAACCTTTCCCACTCACTCCTTATTTTCCCCCAAACACCAATTCTTATCATTGCTGATGAAGGAATAGTTTTGCTGAAACAACATGTAATGTCTGTTTATGCTTATACTTTAATAACGTGATCACTGAGAATTATCAGCACTTTATAGTCGAGGATCTTTTTAAGGATTTCTGTTTTTCTTTTAAAATTCATACCAAGAATGAGAATATCTATTAGTTTCTTTATTTTATGAAGTTCCACAACATAAATTTTTAGGCCTCATGATTTATACGAAGTTAAGCTTAATTAACTATTGTGTGGTTAGAAATAATTGTGCTTGAAACGTTTTGTTCTCTCACGAGGAGTTTGTTAAGCTCTAAAGCATATCCTTATGATGAAATTATCCAAGCGCAGCTGCTATTCACATTAAATTTATACACACCACATGGAAGATTATCTATAATCGATTTAATCTGATGATGGCTCTTTCTTTCATGATTTATATAATAACTCTGAAGTATTCACTACTATTTAGTTCATTTTTATTATATGTTCCGTCAGAACTTGTTGATACATACAAGAGCCAAAAGGAGAAGACAAAAAATATATTCTTTTATTTATAGATTAAAATTTTCATCATGGAGATGTTTTTAATAGACTTGTGAATTATTGTGTGGATGGAAATATTTTCATTTGGTAATCATACGAGACATTTTATTTTATTTATATGTTTAGGTAAATTGTTATTTTAGGAGCTAATAAAAATTATGTTCGCAAGGTATTTGACAATTTGATGTTTTGAAGGCTTAAATACAAAAGAAAGTATGCTTAAAATATTAGAAAGTTTGTAAAATTTTCTTGTTTAGTATTATTTATTGCTTTCCTAAACAAATATTTTCATGCTAAATATGATACTCGTTTATAACTGAGTCACTTCCAATTATTCTTTTCATTTATTCTTCAACGTGTTGGTTCGTTTCGCGTGCTTACTTTTATAATGAAAAAAGTCTTTTTAGTTTTGTATGAATAAGACGTTTAAAGAAACGGTGAAGTTGGAAACAATTTGCAAAATAACTTGTTCGCTTTCTCCTTGAAGCTCATTATTCATTTTAATTTTGAATAATTTATACAAGAATGTTTATCTTGACCATAGACTAATTGATGCGACAAAATCCTTGAACTACTTCGACAGCTGAAAAATGTTTCGAGTGTTTTGACACCAAACTGACTTGGGACAACAAATGTTTTAAAAGAATAAATCACATTTTTAATCAGCTTTTTTTCAAAAAGTTGAACTAAGTATTTAAATTACGCTTCTTTATCTTTCATCACACATTCTCATGTGGTTTGCGAAGATGAAATAATTTCAGTGAGAAAATTGTTGATTGCTTTTGGCTATGTGACGCTATGCAGAAACAGACACTTGATGATCTCACATCAAAAGCATCATTCTTTTGAGATGTAGAACAAATATAAACTCAACTGTTTCATCACTACGTTTCTAAGTTATAACTCAAAGATGACAGAGAAATCCTGAGACGTTTCTGTTGAAAGATCTTTCTTGTTTATCTTAATTATTTTTTGTTTGTTAGCCTCAGTTTAACAGCATCAGCGATACTTAAAATTTGGATTTAATTAGAGTGTAGGGGGAAGATTACGAGAGTTGGGTGAAGATTTTACGGTTCTCAACCCCATGAAAGCGAAAAATTTCTAAAAGTTTATTTCTGCCCATTCGAGCATGAATGTCTAGAAAAATTTACTCTTCTCAATTTTATCACCGACAACGAGAGGGAAGAATGAAGATTGAAGAAGTGAAATTATGGCATCTCATACCAAGGAGAAATTTAAATGATTTACACAATTCAATAAAAATGAAAACGAGGGCGCCGAAACAATTTTACTCGCAGTTAAGAGAAAGAGTTTGAAGAATAAGTAGATAAACATGAGCAGATAAAAATTCTTAGAGATTTTAGTAATTAAGTGAATGTCTTCCTGCTTCAAAGCATTCACAAATCGGTTTTCAAATTAAAGATGTAAATGATAAATAATTATTTATGTTGAAATTTATTCCAAAGGGAATATTAACATAAATCTTTAATATGATAAATTATATCTATCAGAAATAAGTTCAACTTAATGCATTGCGTTTTTTTATTGACTCTATAACAATTTTATTAACTTTTTGGCTTCCTTCTTTATAGATAATTAAATTTTAATTAGTAGAAGGAACATAAATTCTTATCAGTCATGACCATAAAGTTAACAATTATGATGACTCAAGTAATAAGAATAGAATTTAATTTGAAAGCTTCTTCAATCTTCCTTAGAGACTGTCTCTATCAAGATATTTATATTTCGTATTTCATCTTAAATAGACTTATCTAAAATAAATCAGTAAGATTCTGGAATCACATTAATCACTTAATTATCTTCTCGTGCATTGTGTTCAAAACTTTTGATTGATTAAATGAATATTTCAAGTCTTTTTCATTCGAAACATTAATTAATTTACTTCAATCAACAGAAACTTTTGTATTAAAGATTGAATTATTGAAAAGGTTTATTTGTGAATCTGTAACAAAAGGAAGGAAAAAAAAGTTCATTGATCAAATCGCTCATGGCCGTTATTTAATCGAAATTTTATGCTTCACATTTTATTTGAATAACCATAAAAATTATAAGAAAAAATCAATAAATGAAAAATCATTTTATTATTCCATCATGAACATAATAAATTACATATTTCCTCCGGTTAGCAGACTGCGAAAAAAGCAACATACACATTCGATATACACAAGAAGATGGAACAGAGAAAAACACGCTGTGCAATGACGGCGAAATAAATGAGGAGCGAAAAAGTATTATGGGAGAATCAATAAATAATTTAATGAGTCTATTATGCGTAACAATTTTTTCTGTTTTGTTCTCGTATACGTTCACAATGAAGTAAAAATATATTGAGCAGAAATAGGCCTATAACATTTATAAATGATTCTGTTTTGTGTTTTTCCATCAATTTCGGATTTAACTGCTTAGCAGGCGACCAGAACAATTTTATTTCGTAATAAGCAACGTATGGAGACACGGTAGGATGCTATGAAGCTTCTGGAACTATTCGTTTTGGATGTGAAAAGCTTGTTAAGTTAAACCACGATACTTTAAAGCTGAAAATTAAAATTAATAATAATAATGAAAAAATATTAAAGTTCTTCTTCTTTCCTTACTAACAATGCACTAAAGCACGCGCTTATATTGAAGCCTTATTTTATTCTCTTACCTGTTTTCTGACTTATGTCGAGAGTTCGAGACGGCTTTCGACAGAATTTCTCATTCTTAAGAATATTTCCTTGGGAAAGGCATAAACAACATGAGTTATGTAAATTGTATTCTATCATTCTTTTTCTTCCTGGTAAGAGCGCTGAAAAAATAAAATAATAATCGTAATGTAAGCTCGAAGGAGATGAAGATACAAAACATGTTCAAACATCATCATCTTCCATGATAAAGTAAATTTGAATATTACGAGAAATATGATTTAAGAAATATGATGATGAACCAGCTTTTCAGCTTACTTTGATGTTCCTCAATATAAAGCTTGATTTGAAGTATAATTAATAAAGAAAATATTACCCAAAAAAGAGAAAAAGAAAAAAATTTACATCTACTACATTAATTTTAGTCTTAAGAGAAATGTTTTCGTATGATTTCCATCAAAAAAAAAATCTTTACACAAGCACAGATCAAATAAATATTTGTTGCAATCATTCATAAAACATTCTAATTTTTTACGAATATCATTCGTATTTCTCTTAATAATTAATGTTTACATTTCTAACGTTATGTTTTATTTTTACAGATGTGAAAGGATTGCGTTTGATTAACAAAGAATAACAAGGAAAGTGGATTAAACAATTTGAATCGAGAAAGAAAAATAAAAGTTTTATTGTCGATCTGAGTAAGACAAAATTGAAGTTAAAGTTTATCGTGTAACAAGTGAAAAGGTTTCTACGGTGTCTGTTTAAAACTTCTAGAAAGTTATGGAGCCAATGAATGGACAAACACTTCTCAATGGCCAGGGACATCTCAAAGGGTGTTATAGTCATGAGGATAGAAATATGAAGAATGGGAGCAGTGGAAGTAATTCAAGTAAGCTATCAATATTTAAATCTATGATTAATGTCTCTGCTTTAAACAAATATCCTATGTTCTGTGGAAAGTAAGTTGTCTGAGATCATAATTTACCTTCGGATTATATCATTTTCCTAGTAACACGATACATGCAACATCATTGGTAAGATACGAAAATAAATGTCTCGCCATAGCCTACACAATCTTACCTTTAAATTCCGCAAGACTGCCATCATCGCAGCTTCATTCTAATTTTGTATGAAAACATATTTAACAGGAAATAATGCTTGCATCAACCCATTTGTTCACCCACGTTTGTTTGAAATGAATTTACAAAAGAAAAATTAAACAGCGAAACTGAGCGAGACTTTTTTACAACCTTTGTTTCTTCTATCTAAAATTCATTTTTCTTAACTAAAATGAAACTGTAGAAATGAAGATTTTTTTTTCTTTTCGTGGTGTTGATGACGTTTATTAGTCTGTAACATTTCGAAAAGAAATAAGAAAAATATTTTTAGAGTGTGCTAAACAGCATGAGAAAAGTTTTATTTAAATAACTGCACGAACTCGAAAATTATATTATTTTGTTTTTTTTTATTGGAAGAACGTTAATTGATATGAAATATCTTAGATTTACCTGTAACATTCTGAAGTTGAACAACAAAATTAAAGTAATTTCAAAAAGTTGTCGCTTTGAGAAAATTTATTTTTTACTTAAGATTTCACAAACGATTTCAATTGTTGGCACCAGATCAATTAAAGAGATAATTAAATGTTTGCTCGATCTTCACTTCTTTTTTATGTAGCATGACTCAACTCACTTTACTTTTATTATACAATTTTGAAGTGAAATTTTCGTTTCATTCAATTTATCAGCATGGATCGCTTTAATGTACCTTCAACCATTCATGCGATCAATAACAGTCGAAATTAATGATGGTAAGCTTTTAGTTGCATTTGAAGTGGAAATTTGTTGATTTTATCTTCAAACATCCAATTTATTGATGAGTAAACTCATGCTGTATTGTTGAGGTTTTCATCACTATGCTCCTTCGAGATTAATGATTCAATTTTTCATTAACTTTTGAAAGAACCAACAATCATCCGACAAGATTTTTTATGTGACGAAATCCTACATAAAAACAAGGAAATATAAATAAATTGTCTGTTCTTATCGACCCTTTCACACATCAAAAAGTCAAAAATAAACGTCAAATCTCGTCCGATGATTTATGGCGACATAAACAATTTTTTTTTATTCCTTTTCAATGCAGCGACAGCGAAATATTGCTTCGAAATTTCATATTTTATTTCTAACATCTCTTACGGTAAATATTTTTCTTCAGCAAAAATGACAAGAAAAAATTGTTTATGATAAAGAAATAGCTATGTTGTTCTTGAAGTTCTTCGTTGATTTATCCGGCGAACTCGAGATTTTTTCATTTCACTTTCAGTTTTTCTCTTCGCCTTGAACAACAAAACAAGCCACTTTGTTACTCCAGCAATTTTCTTATCAACTCATCAATTTCTTCTACAGTAGAAGCTCTATAAGCGGAAACTGAAGGGGGTGGTCGTGTGAGGAGATTTTCCGCTTTTAGAATGGCTTTTCAATATGAATGAAGTTGAAGGGGGTGGTCATGTTTGAAGCTTTTGCTCTCATAGAGCTTCCGCTTATAGCGCGTCGACTGTATTTAGTCTTCTCGCCTTCAAATTTTTCCTTACTTCATTTCGTAGCGATAGTAAGCAGCAGCGCTTAAAAACATGAATTTTTTTTTTTATTTTTGTGGTTGAACTAAAAAATGTTCATTGATGAAAATGTTTCGATTAACTGAAAGAAAATTGATGACGTTTTTCTTAGATTCATGAGTGAGATTGAGTATTTATGTCCTTCCATACGCTTTTGTATTATTAAGACGTTTCCTTTCTCAATTTCTTAAAGTTGGAAGTAAACAAGAGATGAGAAATGGAAGATGAGACATGAACATTTTAAAGAAAAGCTACCTTAAATCCTGTTGAAAGCCTTCGGTTCTCGTATGAAGTTGAAAATCCTTGGAACCATAATCTTAAAATTTCAGGGACTTTGTCAATCCTTAAGTGTTTTTTTTTATCCTGAGTAAATGTTGATATAAGATCTTTTTATCTTATAATTATTATTCTCGACTCTCGACATTAATTAAGTAGCACTTATTCAATAAGAAGGAAACTACATCCAATAAGAATATTTTACAGCCAGTTTGAACAGCGTGTTGTGACAATAATTCATTTTCAAAGAAACATGAAAAGCTTTACGATGAAAGTCTAATGGGCGGTTAAATATTCACCGCAAGGCATAACAGAAAATATATTTCCTGAAAATTATCTAATTAATGAGATTGTAAAATTGCTTTCAAGAGTGAAGAAAAGAAAGAAAAAGAAACATTGCGAAATATCCACCCACTCAAACGAACAGGGTCCATTAAAAAATCATTAAGAGATAGAAACAATTATGATGGTTTTCATTCATTAAAGAAAAGAAATGAAACACATTTCCCCGCTTCGAAAAGAAATCTTGAAACCAGAATATTTTAAAATTGAAAAAGAAATCTTTGTTTCATACAATTTCTCTTTGTCTTATTTCAAATCATCACTAAAAATATAACAAAACTCTTCTCAAAGTACAATTTTTTCATAACATTTCCTTGTAACTTAAATTTAAAAATTATTATATAATGATTACTCATTTTACGTACGTATCCATGATACAAAAGTTTAACAACGGTTGATGCATGAGAAATGAATTTTTTTTTCATATGTAAAATAACTTCACTGGTAATTTCTTTATGTTGGTTGAAAGAAGATCTTGTTAAATTTCAAGCCAACCCAGAATCTAAACAACATAAATGTTTTTCTTGAAGAAACAAAGCTTTGATATGGAAAAGTATTTACTATGCTTTATATCTTATCGACTTTAAGCTTAAAACAACTATCTTTGTTATGATTTGAGCGATGATGAAATGAATACAAAGCGTATTGTTTTATGTTGGAACAAAAAAGATATATGAATTAATATAAATTCTCAAAAATATGAAATTTATTAAAAAGTAATGCAAATTTAATTTTCTACGTCTTTCGAATGACAAAGGGTAAGCACAGAAAAGCTCTGAGCCATAAAAATAAATTGTTATTTCACAAGCACAAAAGACACCAATTACCAATGAGTGTTCCTTGTCTTCAAATAATTATTCTCTCAAATTACACAAAAGGAGGAAAAAGTTTTAAACAAAATGATATCTGTAGAAGAAAGTTGAAATAACTGTGTATAAAGAAAGGGTAAACCTTGTAAAATTGTGAAGAACATGAGAAATTGAGGAAGAAGGTTGAAGAGATGCTCTTCATAAGAGGAAGTTGCGACAAGTTAAATCATGCAAAGATGCAGTCATCATAAGGCTTCTCTGAAATTTTCAGTAACATATTTCTACCTCCACTTTCAATCATGTTACTCAGATTTTAATTGGTTATGTCTGGTGGAGACAGGAAACTTTTTCTACATGTTCTTTAATTTTCTTCTTTCGAAAGAGAGAAAAAGGAAGTCTTGCTCTTACCATCGAAAGAAACTTTAACCACTAATAAGGAAAGAAAAATAATATACCACAAACTTTGTGTATCTAATTGCATTGCGTCTGCTTCGAATGAAGAAATTCAAAGTCTTCTTTTTTCCTTCATCTAAAACAGTCTTAGGCAAGAACGATAAATGATATTTCGAAAACGATTTTGTAGAACATTCTTTTATCAGAAGCGAAACTTTTACATCTGTTTAAACTTATATTCTTACTCTTCAACATAACATGCCATCATTAATCATCCTAGAAAAAAGTATGAATGTGAAACTTCTCTAATGAATGCTGTTGAAAACCATGGGAAAATGTTGCACATGCACCCAATTTTATGTTTCTACAAATTCTCAATTAAATGTGATTTCAACTGCCAGCTATATAAGGTACATTGTTTACATAAATTAAGTGACAAAATAAGTAACGATTGCATGTTACATAGGTACACAATTAAAAGCACATGAAACTTTTCTTGTTTTATCTAAATGTTTGCATTTCACTTAACATAATATTCATGAACATTTTATAATTATTTACATGGAAAGTTTCCATAACTGCAGTCATAACTTTACACTTAAACAATTAAAGCCAAATTAACAGCTATGAATATCTTTGAGAAACAAACAATGAGCTTACAACTTCAACGAATGATGACAATAATGACAAGATATTTTCCTCAGTTATTTTCATTTCTTTTGTTGTACATTTTCACCATCTAAGAATAAAATGTATTAGTTGTTTGTAAACACATTTTTCATCATATATTTTATCACACTTCTCTTGTTCACTTACCATGAATACTGATGCATGGAAGAGGGTTGATTTGAACACAACAATTGAATCCATATATTGTGAAAATAAAATAGCTATGGGCGTTCATATTTTTGTTGTTTGAGATAGTAGCGAAGGAAATGCGAGATTGCAGAAGAAGCTTTTATCGTTAACAGAACAAGAATATCAGGAAAATGAACGATGATAGGAAATTTCCATTCCCATCGATCTCGCAGAACTTTTATCTTTCTTTTCTCACAGTTTCGAGGTCATTGGCATTCATGCTACACGACGCTATTTTCCTCCCTTCTCTGCTTCTAAATTGAATATCGAATAGGCAGGAAATATTCGACAGCGGAAATGAATCCAGTAGGCGGAATAACAAATAGCTATTTCAAGTCTTGAATTTTCTTCTTACTCAAACTCTCAAAAGAATTATTAAAGATAAACTCAATTTATTGATTGGAAATGACTTTTATTCAAAGTGCCAAAGCCTCCGAAACTATCACGTCCTGCATGTAAGATTACAAGAAAGAAATATTAAAAAACTTCATCAACAACAAACGAGATCAGAAAACGCTTCCTCCTTCTTATATTCATGTCTTGACTTAACAACATGAATGATAGAAAAAGGAAACTCAACTCACACATTTCTTGTGTTCGTGATTAATGCGAGGGTAAAGAATTCGAGATAAGTTGTTGAATATCAAAGCATCAAGCAGCATGATATATGCTAGATTAGTAAACTCCGTCTTCTCAAGACTCATTTTCAAATAAAAAATCTTCAGACCTTTCAAATTGGACAAGAAATCTTACACCTTTTTCTTGAAACGAGTTTCTAAAAAGAACATAAAAATGAAAAAAGTAAATATCGTACGTTTACCCAACACGACCTTTTCTTTTTCTCTTTCGTACCCTCAGGTTCACCATCGTCGATGCCTCACACGCCATATGAGAAGAGCAAAATGATAGACATAACACGTGACAAACCTATTAAAATTGCCGTACGTGTAGCCGTGCCCGTGCGTGACCATCCTAAGGTAAGCAAATCAACATCGAGATGTTAGTTCAACAGACAAGATTGTTATTGTTTTTGAATTCTGATTTGCAGTTTAATTTCGTTGGGAAGTTGTTGGGACCGAAAGGTAATTCATTGAAACGACTACAAGAAGAAACAATGTGCAAGATGTCAGTATTAGGACGAGGCTCAATGCGAGATAGGAAAAAGGTGCGCAGAAAAGGTTTTTCTTCGTTGTTTTTTTATAATTCCTCTTATTTATTTCAATCAGGAAGAAGAGCTTAGATTGAGCGGTGAATACAAATATTCACACTTATCAGAAGACTTACATGTTGAGATACAAACTTTTGCGCCGCCTGCTGAAGCACACGCCCGGATCGCCTATGCATTAGCCGAAGTTCGAAGATTTTTAGTTCCAGTAAGTAAAATTAAATTTCGTAGTAATGTCAACTTAACGGCGTCTTAGCGAAAGAAACGAAGAAACGGCAAATGACGACGGTATTAAATTTTAATTCCTTCATCAAGAAGAATAAGGTTCTGATCAGCGTTGCGATTCAATTCAACTTTATCCTTTTTACGTGATCAAAATAATTGATTTTCCTCAACACTTTTTGTATTTTCCTAAATTTTCCCCAGTGTGAAATTTCGAATCTTTTAAAACGAAGTCAAATTATCCAAGGTTGGATTGTTTCCTTAGAGTATTCAAGCGATCAATTTGGTAGGATAACTTCAATTCCTTACCCACTTAGTTTTGCGTTTCAAATCTTAATGAGAATTCCAAAAAGAAATCTGAAAGCTTATTGATAACGTGAAACTGATTTCAAGTAAATTTCTTTTATTTTCCACGAAAACATTTTTAAAGTTTTCAACTTAAATGCTTTTTTCAGGCATTAAGGAAAAAAGTTTCCCTTGTGATTTTTAAGTGAAAGAACCTTCATGTTTGATAATTGGGGTTGTTGTTGGAAAAGTTTTATTTTCTTTTTAATTAAGAAATCAGAGAAACTCGTTTGGAAATTTTAAAAGCATTACAGAATGTTAAACAGAGAATCGAGTAAATAACAACAATAATAGACGAAATTGAGATTTCTTTAAAAAATTTGTAATATTTTTATAAATCAAGAGAAATGAATCATTTCGAAATTGATTGATTTAGTGTCGATCTACTTATAAGAGAATCTAACAACCTTCAAGTATCAATAAATTAATTCACGTCAAATCAAGTGCCTTGAACATTTTTCTCCTATTTCTTCCGTAAGCCTAAATACAAACTGATACGAGTGGATATTCAAGTTGCATTAAATGAAATGTAATTGAAGTAAACAAGTCCATTACAACGTCTCTCATTCTTGATTTATATATTTAATTAATTTCTTTTCTTATCTCCTCATCGAATGCTTTTGTTCATTCTTTCGGTCCGACAAACTGGTAATTATCCAGACGAAAATAGATAAGAATGTGTAACTGAATAAAGAGACAACCAATTTATTGTCTCACGTTTAAAAAATAAAAGGAAATGCGAGAAAAGCATTTCATTAAACATAATGTCACATACTCCATTAGATGTGTGAAAATATTTTCGTATTTATTTACAACAAGGCAGGCTTGCGACTCCCTCGTTCTAAATTTTCTGTGTGTCACAATCATGAAAATTCCTTTCCCGAAGGGTTGTCAGGTTTTCTATCTCGTCTCGTTTCGAGCATCTTTTTCTCGTTTTTTTTTGAATGACTTTCTCAACTGTTTACCGTTCATTTAGTAAAAATATTTTTTGCAAACGCAAACGGGCTGATAAAAATAACGTTTTGATTAATTCCTTTTAATGCGTCTCCTTTATTTTATACTGTTACATAGCTGATGAAAACATCCTCCTATTTGAACGCGTTTACATCTTATTCAAGATTGCACATTAAAGCGTAGACAAAAATTTCTTCGATGTGAAAAACTTTTACCTTAACATTAATTAAAATTCAACATGAATTTATGTTTGAATGTTAAACACATTCTCGGAAGTTGCAAAGTTTCATGAGAAAATAAATTGAGGTAGTATGTTTTACTTCCCATTAATGCTTTAAAGTAATGCGGAAATTAATCTTATACAGCGACTTCATTAGAAGAGGCAAGTATGTAAATGGATGAACAAAAATGAAGTTAGTAGCGACTTACGAAATGACTTCATTAAGCCACAGACTTTATTTGTCAGTCGTTTCTCATGCTTAACCATCATGTCATAATCGAGGTTCTAGGTGTATGGCGTTACAAAGCTATTGTCAAGTAAAATCATCCACATTTTGCTGCCAGCAAGGATTTTCCACATCAAAACTTAATCAAAAAACGAGAATGAAGATAAATTTTAAAATAAAAGCACCGAGGTTTCATTCATGAAATAGTGAGAATGACATTATAAAAACAAATTGTAAAATGTCATCTGTCCGTGATTATAAACCCTCATGAAATATAAAAGCACAAACACTGGCAACTTCCAATTAGATATTCGCAAAAAAACCGGAAAAATGAAAATTATCAAGATAAACTTTGTCGGAAAACATTCCTGTTATGTCATAACTAAATAGGAGATATATGTTAATTTCAGCTGACACATTTTCAGTTGCTTAGAAAGCACATTAAGAGAGCATGAGAACGTTGTCATAATTGATTCCTTTATGCTTATGTTTATTATCCATTCATATGAATATTCATAGGGGAAAGACAAAATTTTCTTCGGTTTTGTGACATTTCAAACAACTTTAATTATTGCTAGAACATTTTCTATTAGCACATTTAATAAAGCTGCAATTATTTTCCTTAAAGTTTTCGCAAGAAGATTTGAAACACAAACAAAACAAAAATTATAGGGAAAACTTGTATGTTATCAAAACATTGCTTTTTAACACAAACATAACTGAGAACACAACAACTAACATTGTGATATAGACATAGGTTAGAGTCGTTCAAAAGATCAATATCTTTTTATTATAATAATGTATAAGGGGAACATAATGGCTCATAACTAAGTTCAAAATGTCTGCTCTTATTCGTTTATGACTTCGCAAATTTGTCAACATTAATGTTCGCTTTAGTGAACATGTATGTAAGTTGTGAACATGTGAAGGATGCATAAGCAAGCACTATCAGATTATCTAATTGTTGCTGTTATGAACAACAATATTATAGTGTCTTGTGCAAACATGCTTTATGCTTATTAAAGTTTCATCGTTTCGCTCACATATACTTAAGGCTCCAAATATTTATTTAAATGACAAGCTAATGCTTTGAAAGAGATGGAATGAATGTTGTAATTGAGAAATAACAATGGATGTAATATATAATATATTACCCTGAAGTGATTCAAGTGGTATTGATTTTCTTCAATTTTCAAAACATTTGATAAAAGCTTCGAGAAAATGTAGGAAACAAATATTGTCGGTAATTTAAACTTTAAATTGAGATGTTTTGTTCGCATTATAATTATTTTTTCTGTTCTTGATATTTAACAAAGTTTGCTTTAAAAAATTAAATCGAAATAAAAATTCTCCGTAAAATAATTCAATTTCAAAGTTTTCATCTCTAGCAAAGCTCATTCATTCATGTTGATGTTTTCTTCTGAACTCGCTCAATATGTCAGCAGTTGTAAATGTCGGGAAACCTTTTTCGTCATATATTCATCGGGGTGACAAAACCGAAATCAATTGCTTTTGTATTTTCTCACAAAGGTTGAACTCAACTTTCACATATGAAGGCCTGAATATGTTTTCACAACTCAATTTTGTGTGGGATGGTGAGATAAAATGTTGTTTTCATTCGGATACGAAATATCTAATCAAAATCGAAAGCGTAGAAATCATTCCCGTGGCCAACCAAGAAAGGAGAGTTGTCATGGTTATCTACCTGTACATAAATCTATTTTCGGATAACAGAATGAATCAATCCTTCCGTTGCCGAGAAGAATCATCTGTAACAGTTGAACGAAAACCTGGAAACTATCATCATGAAGCAAACGTTTCTGATGAACACCATTCACCTGGAAAATTAAATTATCTCACATTGTGCACGAGTTTCAAGGATTTCCTTTCCTTGTAATTTATCGTCCGAATTAAATTGCGAGTCAACTGAAACGTTCTCGTAAATTTCAACATTTTAAATTTCGTAAATTTCTGTCTTTTGATTCTTTGAATTTCATTCATGACCCTTTTTAACTTTCTTTTTTCTTCGGTAAATTTTTCTTTATGAATTTGACAGAAAGTTTTTCTTTTCATTTCAAATAGAAAATTGTGATAAAATTTCATAATTTCGGCACGAATGCGATTTTAATTTTATATTTCTGTTATGCATTCACAAATAAAAAAGTTTTTCCGAATTGAGTGGAATTTAAAATGGTTTTCAGATAAGTCTGCTGACTTTTTTGAATATTCAATAAGGTCGATATGGGGTTTGGCTTGTTATTTAAGAGCCATTCGAATGCCATCATTGTTTCTGTTCAACCTACACAGATGTAGAACAAAAGGTTAATCAGGCAATGCTGTGCAGACTCTTCGATAAATATAAAATTCAAATTTCTGCTTTTCTCACTGAAATCTTGATAAAAGAAATATCCAAAAGTATGTAAATTGACAATTTTAAGCATATTTGAGGCAAAAGAAGTTACGAATCAAAATGTTTTCAACAAAATATTATCAAGAACATTGATCGTTTAATTCAAATCTTATTCATATTCTCAAATATACAGAAAATCAATTTCAAAAACAAATTGGAAAAGAAAAAGAAACTTTTTTAAAAGAACTTCTCCTTAAAAGGTAAAAAATATTCGTTTCAGTTATCGTAACGATGAAATTCTATCCAAAATGACTTTTGAAGTATCATTGAAATAATCGTTAGTTGCCATTACTCATCTGACTTCGTTTTCATTTTTTTAAATTGAAAGTTTTAGAAACAAGAAACTTGAACAAGAATTCAATTAATTTCAAAGACGATTCCTTCAAGTATTACATTTTAAATTGTGTAAAGAGCATCGATTTTTTTTAATTATTTTAAAATTTAAAGTAGATCATTTTACAAATTGAATGAAGGTTTTTTTAATAAATTTTTTTGAAAAGAAAAGTTGATGACTGGTGCTCATTAAAAGTTCTCTATCAAATCGTTTCGGAGAAAAAAAATTGGGAATTGCATACTTTTGAATATATAATCGGCTTATCGTTGTTTTCTGCTGACATAGCTATAACGTGGCTTTGAAATAAGGATGTGACAGTTGAATAGAAATAAATTTTTTTTCGTTTCAGTTAAATAAATTATACATACATTTACATAGATATGTAAATCAAATTAAGGGAAAATATTTGGAATATCTACAAACTTTTATTCTATTGAAACTTTAAATTTAAATTTGTCAACTGCAAACTCAATTTTAATTGATTTCACTGTAAATATATTTTCTGAATTGCATTATTTGTTTCAGGATCATCATGATGATATCAGACAAGAGCAAAAATGGGAAATGCAAGCACTGAGTTCAACTCAAACCAGCAGCAATGGAAGTCCAGATGATATTATTGAGCACAATGGTGGGAGTGGAATGTCAGAATCATCGTCGTCTGAAGCAGGAACAACATCAGAACAATCAATGTGCAGTGGGTTAGTGGAAAATAACACCGGCAATAGTCAGCAGCACATTAACAATAACACAATAGCGAATAACAATAATAACTGTGATACGATAAAGAATAACAATCAAAATGTCACAGCAGTAACGCCTCTGGAAATGGTTAATGATGTGGAAGCTGTACCAGCCGTAGCGTTAATCGAACAGCAAAACGCTCTTTTGCGAAGCGTTAATATCGGTATGTGTGTATATTTGTGTGTGCATTACTTAGAAATAATGAGATTCCAAAATGATAATCGACAACGATGTTCCTTTTATCTGCTCTCATTACAGCTGGTACTTTGGGTCGAAAACGACCGCTATTGTGTACAAGAAACATCAATAATCCAACGAAGAGAACGGTAATGACACTTTTGGCTCGAGCAAAAACGGCTAATGCTCTTCACGGTTTCCATCCCAATGGTCCATCGATTTGCGAGTAAGTTTATGACAATAAAGCCTCAAAGAGGTTTTGTTTACATTTAATTAATCTCCCACAACAGTTTTTAATCAAATTTTCTGCAAATTTATGATGCCTTCCGCAGTGGTCTACAATTGCTTACATCTCCTCTTATCATACCGCCGACGCTTGAACATGTTTTACAGGCCGGCACAATGCCAACGACCCTTCAAGCCCAAACCACCAATCCACAATCCATCAAACAGGAGAATTTGCTGCAAGGTGCATAAAGATTTTACTACTCCGAGCATGACATGAAAAATCAACAGTGTGGAACAAGCATGCAAACGAATGCCAACAGAGTTCGTTTTTAGTTTTTAATGTACGTAAATGTATAAGCTTCGCCATGTAAATAAAATTTATGAAGAATCTTTACCTTAACGTAAATTAAGTGTTACAAGCTAATAGAAAAGATGATAAAAATGAAATAGAGAAAATTTTATGCTTTCAAGCATTCATTGCAACGAATATATGTTCGCTCATGTCTCTTTTTTTTTCGTTTCAAAACAAATGTTTCGAAAAGAACCTCAATACATCAAAAAGATATTTTATGGATGATGTGATTGGATTTCAAAGTTAAATTGGATTCCATAAAAGGTTCTTTAAATAACCACCTATCCAGTGGTCATGTGGCGATTGCTTGGCATGTTTTACCTTTTTCATTTCAATTATGTTAAGTTGTTAAAAAATTACTGCTGTTTTCTTTCATTGAAATTTCTATAAGATTCAATTGAAATAAATTTCCATTCACAGCCTGCGATCTATGAAACTTTCGTTTGTTGATTTTGTCGCTGAAAAAAAGATCAAAAGTCACTTGCGGTTATAATTTATGTCAACAATTTTTTTTCCTTTAGAACAAGATAGATTTCAAAAAGAATCTTTTGAAAGAACTTGTTGAATTGGGCATGCAAAAAATCGTGATGGGAAAGGGAAGTGAAATTTAAAGCGACAAAAGTTTAAAAGAAAATTTATCTGTAGAATGTAAAGAATTCATCTGACGAGATAAAAAACAGTTAAATTAAATGCTTTCACGTATAAGACTGTGAATAAGACGTAACAGATCAGGTTTCAAATGGAGAGAAAACCACAAATTCAATGATTAAAGTGTTTTTGTGTTAAAAATCATATTTTATTCAAAGTAGAATCAAAAAAAAAAATGTATAGGGATATTACTTTGAAGAAGCAATAGAAGTCGATTCTATAGGATTTTAATCCTTAAAAGCTTTCGAAAAAAGATTAATTGAGGTCTCATTTTGTTTGTATAAAAGAAAATATAAACAATCTTTTAATCCGACTTGGTATTATTCGCCTTCGTGATTTTAAAATTTATGACTTTGTAAGTGCTTCTTTAAGGGATTTCCCTTAAATTCAGTTGAGCATCGAAGGCTTTTGAATATTAAACAAAAGAAGCCGATGGTTTATGATAAATTGTCAATGGACTGAATCAAAATTCACGTTTGATGACATTAGTTTCAATTATAGATATTCATTTATTTATTCGTTTTTGAGTTTGCGACATCAAATTGAACAGTGAAAATGAAATTTTCTTTATTTCTATTTTAATGGATATTTGATTGAATTTTATGATTTTCCTATATCATTTTCGTGAATATAAAAACCTAAACTTTTTTCGGGTTCTAATAAAATATGAACATATCAGCAAGAAAAACTGAAAAAAAGGATGCTAACAAATATAGAACATTCTATAGAAACAACTCGAAACAATCAGTGATAGAAAAACGTGCTTTCGAAAGCAGACATTGTGCATTCAGAATTTCTGACAAAATTTTACTTTTTATATATTTTTCACGAAGATAAATGTGTTGTTTGTTTGAAAGATGAATTTAAAATCTCTTTTCATCTCGTTTGCCATTTTATATTCTTTCCTTCTATTCTTATTTTTTGATGAAACAACGTCAGGCAATCATAAAATTAAGCTTATTTTTCACCCTTTTCTGATCAGAGCGCTTATATGTTTATGTTAAGTTCTTCGTTTTTATTCCAGCATCAAGACTTTTGCTGTAGCGAACAACAAGTCAAAGAATTTTGTAAAGAAATTGAGGAAAATATTGAGAAATTAACAAATAAAATTAACAGAAAAAGTTCAACATAATTAAGCATTTTTTACTTTCGCAAATGAATCCTCACAATTTATTGGAATTAAAAGAAAATCCACAGATGTCGTCGAGGGCGTATGTATTTTTGAATATTTAATATATGGAAATGTAAAATTATCAGAAAAAAAGTTTAACAGCCAACAAATATTAGAAGCGTTTGAAAAATAAACCCAATTAAAGAAGTAAGCACACAAAAAATTACTCAATAAAAAGTCTTTTAAATGTTGAAATAAACAAAACATAAATGTGTTTGAAAATAATTCATTTTTAATTACTTTATTGTTTTCGTAAAAAGCAGTAACAATTTAATGGTGTTGATTGTTCTAGGTGTAACTGGTAAAGCTTTCTTTATTTTAATTAAATATTTAAAGTTTTTAAATGAACTTAAAATATGGCAAGAACCCAAAAAAATTAATTATCCATTAATTAATTAAAAATATAAAACCGAATTATTAAAACAAAATCACATAAGTATAAAAAGCACATAAACAAAATAAGAATTGTGCAAAAGTAATCAAAAATTTGTTAACCCTAACTGTAATTTTTTTAATTCATTGATATATTAATAAAACTTATTTTGGTTGCAAAAATTTTAGAAATTTGTATTTTTCACCCTCTGCTTTCTTAGATATTTATCTGGGTATGAAGTTTTGGAATTATTAATGAAATGTTTACAGATGTTTTCGAATTGTTAAATATTCTATTCGACATCTAGTATTACTTGGAATTTGATTCCATTCTTTCTTATTTTCTCTTCATAGTTTCAATTTCATTTCACTTTCAAATGGTAGTTTTAGAACATTAACCCAGCAATTGATAAATGCATCAAAAATGTACTTAACTTCAGATATTCGCATACTTTAAAGAATTCCTTTCATTCTCGACAAATATTTCATGTATTCAAAATGCTCAAAAACTTTAACGATATTCAGTTACAAAATTTAATGTTGTAAGTATTTAGAAATGATCGAGAGTATTTAAGAAAGCATCGAAAATTTCTTTGAATAGCTTCAATCACGTATTAAATTACGCAACTCTCACCACGTTCTATATTAAGTACTCAAAATAACAAAACAGTCATTCATCTGTAATAAAAAAGACTCAGGGGAGCTTTTGTGCTTCTTTATCTTTACTTTCATAAATTCCAAAAACCAACAATGCAGTGAAGTTTTATTTTCCACTTTTTGGTTCTTTACACTTGACCCTTTTTCACTCTTTTGACCTGCTGCGTAATCTTCTTCAAAGAGCATCTTGAGATTTTGTTGCGAGACAAGAAAAGAAGAAGAAAAATCAATAAAACTCTTCTTTTCGTAAATAAACTGTTATTTTTTAAGTTAAACTTATTAACAAACATTAAGACTCGCTGGGGAATACCTAACACTTTTTATTTCAATTTTTAAGAACCTCATTTGAAACGGGAAACCGTTAAGATTTCTAATTAACATTAGAAATCATCAAAAACATTTTTTATTATGCTCATCGTGAAGTTGAGTATCTACTTTCATGTTCCGAGTTTTATTTGAGATTAGCAATTTACTAAAAGTATCGTAATATGACTCAATGAGAAACAGTAAAGTAATAGATTGACATAAATAATTTTACAAAGAATCACGATTTTCTTTCAACCCACATCAAAATTATTTTAAAAGCTTTTCTCAACAAAGTATCATTGAAGTGAATGAATCACGGACTATTATTAAAAAATGTCATTTTAGATTGTCTAAAAGAGGCTAAATCACAAGTCATGATTCAGTCATAAAATTATTTAGTGTCATGAAGTTTCCCTCACCACCATTCTATTTGTGATACTCATTTTTTGAAAGGTAGATGACTCAATTATTCATTGTTAACTTGCAGGACTCACACAAAAAAACAGAATCTTCATTCTCCAGGGTGAACATTGTAGAATTTATAATGACAAAGAATTTGTCCCTAACTAGAGCACAGAAATAAAAAAAAAGTAGCAAAAAGATGGGACAAGTTTACATTTTAAACTTAATAAACTAAGCTTTAAAGGATTTACCAGTAACTTCACAAACATAAACAAAAAAGAAAACTCAAAATGTTAACAACCTTGAAAGATACAAAGTAAGTACTCTTAATAATTTTCTTGTGAACCCCGGAGATTTTCATATCAAAAACTTTAACAGTGAACATAATTTTTCTGGGGGCTTATTGGTCGACGATATCGCAGCGTTAACAAAACAAAAACAATAACAAAAAAGGAACAGAGGATAAGTTCGCATCAAAACCAGAAACCGCACATATATATCTGTTCCATCCAAACATTTCCCAAATACATAATTCTCCCTTTATTTAAATAAAAGGTTGTTTTTAATAATAGATATTATACATAGGTAATTACGGAAAAGCGTTCAACTTTTCATGTTAAACGAAGCGAACGAGTCGAAAATCGTAATCTTTGTACAAAAATAAAGCAGGGATGTTAAAATAGCGAACGATTCGTGGGTGAATTCCCCAGACTTGACGCTTTTGCGAGTCTGAAAAATACTTTTGAAGAAAATGAAAGGCTTTGTTCCATATAAAAGCAATCAACATTTTTCCACTCCACATTGTTTCTAAATGACAATTGATGATTCTTTTCTCCGAAGAAAATCCTTTGCGAGGTAAAAAATTACTGCGTCTAAATTATGACAATTAAACGTGAACAATGAGGCAACGTTAATGGCATTGCGGATCTTTTGACTTCAATTGTCGCTGGTGTCATTACACCAATTCTTGCTTCGCTAATTATACCAATTTCTTTAGTCTGAGAACGCAAACTCTTCTTTGAAAGATGAAAAAATATTTCGAACGCTCAATCACACCTGAAACATTGTTTCAGTCTTTGGCTTTAAATTTTCATCGACGCATCAAAATATGTCGTTATAAAAAAATGACAAAACGTTGCTGAATTTCCAATTTGTCATAAATTTGCCTCAATTTTCTCTCAATCATTATACGGTGAAATGATGTCAGGAAAAAAAAGATCAGAAAAGCTGGAAGCTTTAAATAATTGATGATTCATCTTGGGAAGTTTAGAAAAATGAACCATTTTTCATAATTTAAATGTCTATAAAACAAATTTTTACATCGCAACTTCTCTTTTGGTAGAAATTAACTTCTCGATTCAAAATGACACTGATTTTAAATTGATGGCGGTTGATATTTAAAATCAATCAATGGTTTGTTTACTAGCAATGAATTTACTTATTTATCCCAAAATCATCATTCAACACGTTTTACACGTTTGAGTTTGTATTTACAACATCACCAAACTACTGTTTTGACAGATTTTATGAAGTTCCACTATTGGATCGATATTGAATATGTTTTCATAACACTTTTTATGTGCTTTGTTTGAACGTGTTGTAATAATAATCTGAGAGGACTTTGAATCGCCGATAATATGAGAGAAAGTTAAGTAACATCAAAAATCTTCTAAAATAACTAATAATATCCGGAAATAACTGTTCAATATATTTATCTACGTGTGCTCGTGCTCATGGTCAACTGGAAAATCCAAAAATAAAATGAACAGACCGTCGTTCATTGCCCGATAATAATCATAATAATATTGTTAAAGATATTTTATTATAAGCGTTTATGTTTATGGCCAATGTGTTGTAAGTTTCTTCAAGAAAGGGGGTGAAAGCATAAAAGAAATATAACATGTCAATGATTCTCAAGCACGTTTGTAAAAGCTTCCACATGAAATAAGAGCATTATTTGAATGAGTATCGAGAGCAAGAAGAAAAAAAGAAACGTCTGTAGAAAAGAAATAAGCATATATATTTATTGAAAATACTAAAGAGGAATTGAATTAAATTCTTCTGAAGAATTTCTTCTGAAAAAATAAAACTATGTATGTAGGTAGAAAGGAATAAAAGGACATCAAACTTCATTTTCCCATTGGAATCTATTTTATCTCATGCATAAATGTCATCATCTCATTTCTTTGGTAAGTTAGGTTTGTATACAAATAGAAACAAGGTGAACACAATGTTTGCAATGTGAAGATACAAAACTGGATAATACAATGTACAACATAATGTAATTCACAAACCAGATAACACAAATTATACAAATCATATTTGCACGCTCATGTCAAAATAACAATCAACAAATAAATGTAAATAAATGTTTTAAATGCAAATATATTTTTACAATAAAGAAATGAAAGGAAATTTTTGGCCTTAAAGAATGAAAAAAAATAGAATCAAGAAAAATTTTAGATAACGATTGAAAAATGATAATCATTTATTAAACATCTACACGGGTTTTAAATTAGCATTGGGATGGGAGAATGAGTAGGAATTTATTCGCCAGATATTTCGTTGGTATTTTAATTTTGACGAAATATTTTACGCTGAAGAAGACAAGATTTTCAATTACAATTTGATGAACGAGAACAATGGCTTGAATATTTGGATTTTTTAAGACAGTGTTGGAGGGAAATAAATATTTTGTATCCTTTAAGAATCCCTTGGGCATTGAATGTGGAGACTTTCTGAAGTTTTGTTTTTCTCTTGATATTTTATTTTGTGAATTAGACGTAAAGAAAAGAAAAACTTATAAAAAGCGCATTACTTAAATCGTTTATGCATATTTAATAACAATATTCGCATTAAGGAAAGCTTCTTTCAAGAATTCTCCTTGAAAAAATCTCAGCAGTCTTCTCTAAAACGCGGAGGCAAAGAAAAGTCTTTCGACAAAGTTGTTTATGGTTTCATTGTTTCATATAGATATTTCTTTCTTTTTCCTTTTTCTCATCATTACAGTCGTATCCGCTTCATGGTATTTTTTTATGTTTTCCTTTTATGAAGTTTTACGTCATGTGAGATTCCATTCAGACATTACATTCCGAACAATTTGAGTCTTTATGTCCCTTTCCGGTGATTTTTATGAGAATTTTGCATCGCCGATCAAGCATTGTTAAGGGAAACATCGCGTTTAAAATATTTCATTCGTGTGTGAAGCGTCGAATTAAGGTGAAAATTAATGATGCATCAATAAAAAGGGAAAGTGTACAAAAAGAAAAACATTCACGACTCAATCATGACGAAAATTCACTAAATAAATTTTTTTAGAAAGGAACTAGAAAACAGAATCATTAATTTTGTTTGTTTAAAGGATAGGATGGAAATGTTTTCGTTCATGTTTGGCGAGTAGGCATTGAGTGAAGGTTGATGCGGAAAACCATTAAAGAAATCCATTAATTGTAGCGATAAGCATCATTCCTTTCACTTCATATCAAGGTTCATTTCCGAGAGACAACTCATTGAGTTCCGCTTGAGTTACTCATAATCGAACAAAAGATTCGCAAAGAACTTTTCAATCCGAAAGCGATTAAATGAATTTCCGTTTGGATGATTTTCAGCAAACCAAAGCCGAATGATATTTTTTGCTTCCTTGACAAAAGTAAACTTGAATCAAAGATAATTTATGTTGGCAAAATTTTAGCCACCTATACTGAATAGAAATCATTAATTCTTGTCGCTTTTTCACAATTTAAAGATTTGACGACATTCTGTAAGATTCTTCTTGCTAACATCATAAACTTTACTTTCATTTTTCTAAAGAAATATATTTCTAAAAGATTTTCCAGGGAAAACAGAATCAACCCGGCATTTGTTGAACAATCAAACATTTTCAAACTTGTATGAAAATATTTCCAACTCATTTTAAACAAAAGCTTTTTAAGTATCATTTCATCGTAACGAAGCATTTTACGATAACATTTCATGATAACTCAATTGAAGTTTATTTTTAAAACTTTTATCAATTTTATTAAAGTATTTGATAATGTATGTTTAAACTCCAGTGTTTTGCAGATACCATTCACGGAAGTATGAGACACGATCGAAAGCATCTGGCCGTCCACGGGCACATGGAATATTCCATGAAACTGTTCCAATAACTTGGTTATTGGCGACCAAAGGACCACCAGAATCTCCTTGACAAATTCCTTCTCCAGCTTGTGTGAAAGTACAAATTTTATGATCAAACACGAATTCAGCATTGGCTGTGGTGTGTCTTGCTCTGCAGTCAGCATTTGTCAATGTTGTTGTTCGGAGCCATTGCAAATTGTTGGGAGCTGGCCCTCCATTCACTGTAGTTCCACCCCATCCACTAACAATAGCATTAACTACTCCAACATGACCCGAACTCATTGCAATGGCTTGAACATTTGCAGTAAAAACAATTGGTGTGGCAGTTTGAACTGCTCCAACACTGATAATTTATGTCATAATTACTAAATTGCTATTACAAACGTATGTATGATTTATTTAACTTACTCGTTAGAAATCCATCTTGCATCGTAATCAGGATGGCTAACATGACTTCTAGATTGATGTACAACACCACCTGATTGCAAAAGATGGGAACCAACGACAACATTAATGGCAGTTTGTCCTCTGTTTATAATACAATGTGCCGCTGTTATTGCCCAATCGTTGCTGATGATTACACCACCACAAAAGTGGAAATTAGCTGGTGTGCGAAGTGAGACTTGGTAAGGAAATTGTCCAGCTACGGCATTAGATCCACCAACAATTCTACCTGCTGTTCCTTCATTTTCGAAGAAAGCTCCAGGAAGATTCTCGGAAATGTCATCCTGGATCGCTGTGATTAGAAGCCTCAAATTATTAATAAAAATTTACTCAGTCAAATTGTTTTGCTCACGTGATCCTAGGATAACAGTAGCTATAGCCAATAACAAAAAGATTGTGCGAATCATGGTACAAAACTAGTAGCATTTTACTGTTTCTATTCACTTTTATACAAACTTATTATCAGAAGCACTTCAATGATTAATTTTCAAGTATTTTTATTACCTGGAAAATCCAAAATGCAGCCATAAAGTTTAATTGAAGATAAGAATGTCTTTGTTTTTATTATTTTCATGATTATTTTAAGCTAAAAAACAAGTTGCTAAAATTATTTTTATCTATATGGTCGAATTAAGCTTTTATAAATAAAAATAAAAATTAACGAGAGATATGTTTTCCTTACATATTTCTTCAGAGATGATGTTAGCAGAAAGAATCTCGTGATTCAACCATTTAATATTATTTTGAAAATATTCCCAAAAATTCCCTTATGAACGGAAAATTTTTCTTGTAATCAATCTTCTTGTGTTTGCATAAACATATTCCTTCATTCATTCATTCTTCTCGACTCAAAATGTGTAAACCACAAAGAAAAACATTGCGGAATTCAACTTCTTGTTGTTTTTTTCCATAACTTTCTCGCGAAGCTAGAAATTATTATTTCTCTTAAAAGCAGAAAGAAAAGAGACCGAGACAAATGAAAATTTAAGATTCATGTACAATATAAAACTGATCGTGATCACAATCAACCAACATTCTCATTTGTCTATGGAAAATACATTTGATATGTAAAGAATTCGTTACACATATGGTTGAAAGAAATCTTTTATTTCAAATAGCAATGCATCACGGAAAGACAACCGATTTTCTTGTTCTTTCAATTACGAGTGTGTTCTATAGAATATTACATGGAAAAGTATAAAAGCCGTGTTCATTTTAAGAAATGATGCTATATGCGGGGGTGTAAAGTAAGTCTTAAATTTGATAATAAACGTTAACAGCTTTGGTAACGTCGTATAACAAGAAACGAATATTTTCACTCGTTATAAAAATACTCTGAACTTTCATTGCTTTTTTATGCTTTGAGTTGTTTTTTTTCTGCATGTATACATAAATATTTAATATGAGCATATATCCCACATATATGCATTATCTTGTCCGTGATGCCTACTTTGACTCAATCTTCTCAAATGCTACTTACGGTTTGCTGGTAATGACTTTATCTTTTAATATTCAAATATGTTAAAGACATACGTATGAATACATATTATCATAAATCCCTTGAATTTTCAATTTAGGTATAAGAAACTGTCTTCATGTCAGTGAAAGACGACAAAGCTTCATCTTTGAAAAATTAAAAACAATTTACTTCAGATTCTGATAACAGAAGCAAATAAATTCTCATCAACCTTATCGCTTTAAGCCCTCACATCAAAATAAGAAGATAAAATCAATATTTTTATGTCTCTACGCTTCAAGACATAGGTTGGAGAAGAACTCAATTCATATCTATTTCACGTATGAAGAAAGAAAAATTATAAAAGTTACACATATTTTCAATCTTTCCCAAGGATGAACGCCATAAAATTTAACTTTCTTGAATTTATGAACAAAACACTCTTTTTACCTGCGCTTCTTGACGGGGTAAACCTTTAAACCATTTTCTTTCACCCCAGTTTGATTGATTGAATATTAAATTTTGACTTACTATGACAGTTTCGGTGGTAGCAACCTTTTTCACCTTCCGACCGATATTATTGGTTTTATTTATGAAAACGATGTTGATAATTTTTTAGCACAAAATTGTTTTTCGCAACTTATCTGGGATTTTCTTTATAAATTGCTTCGATGACAAAAGTCAAAGAAAAGATCCACTGAATGATAGAAAAATAAATAGAAAACTGCTGAGAAGACTCGATTCAAACGGCGGCGTCATAAAATTCAATGATTTTCGTTTTTTCCAACAACTTTAGAGACAGTCATGTGGATGGAAGAGGAGGACGAACAACATTTCTGCTTACTAAGTGTTAGCTTGAAACTGAATAGCTAACATTTTATTTAATTTTCTCATTCATATCAATTAAAATGATAATCGAGTAAATCGTGACAAAAGTTTGTAACTTTTAGTACATTTGAAATGTTTTCGGGTAGATCATGAACAGCCGTGAATGAAATTGAAATCGATTAAAGTTCAATGCCAGTTTATCCACATAAATCTCAAACGTTTTGAAAGTTTTCATCCTATGTTTGAAGACGTGAGATAAAGACGTTCATTGTGAAAATGTGTCACACGATAAAGGAAAATTGTTTCAGCATCACTGAGAGTGATAATCAGAAAATGTAGAAGAAAAAGAAGAGAAGTAAAGTTTTTCGTCATGAGCCAAATTGATGAGCTTTTTTGTTGTGAAAACTTTTCCTCACAAATTCATCGATCGAAGTTGAAAATCACATAGAGTGAAGGATTAATAGTTAAGTGATTCCAGATTCATAACGACTACCACAACAAAGCTTTTTACCCTGTCGTTGAAAGTTAACTTTTTCAATTTTTATGAATCTGACAATAGACTTTTGCTGTGAAGAAAGTTCTTACCGAGAAGTGTCATGCCGTTTGATTTCCTTTTATCGTTATTGATGAGTATCATATTTACGAGGCGAAAGGAGTTATTTCCGACTTCCACCAAATGAGACTTTTCTGGAAACTTTTTCCTCTCAACATCAGCCTTCACTCAAATTGAAAAATGTATTTTGTCGCCTGAGAAAAGGGATTTACACGCGAAGAAAAGTTTTTCGATTTCCATGAAGCATTGATGTGTGGAATGTGAAAAGTTAAATTTGATTTGAATTCCATAAGGAAAGAAATTTCTCCAAAAATGTGACCTTGTATTTGTTTCTTGAATTGGTTAAATATCTAAACTATTTACAGCATTGCTGTGGCTCTAATTTGATTTGCATTGTAGGCAGTTTTTCTAAGAAACAGATATCCATTTCCGTGACATTCCATAAAACAGCCGATTATGGACCATTTGCAAGAAATATTTCCATAGCTCTCTGAATAAATCTTAGCGTGTGGTGGTGACGTTTGAATCACATCTGACTTTCATATTGTTTAATACAATTTGTGTCTCCTTTTAACATGAATGTATTTGGCATTCTCGAAACGAAGTTTAAATGGATTACTTAACGAACTTGTCTTCGTTTCCATTTCAGAATGTTTCAACCAACAAACGACTAAGATATAAACTGGAAAAAAGAAATAAAATTTCTTTTTTTTTGTTCCATCGCTTCTGTTTTTTTACAAACGATTCTTTAGGGAAAAGTTTTCTCCACTAACAATGGGATATTATCCATAAAATTTGTAAAAGCAACCAGGCAACCATTATGTATAACTGATTTTATTATTATAATGTTTCTTCACTTTGAAGAGCACTTTCATATTATTAATGCACTTTGAACTTGCATTCAATGCAATTGTATTCGATATTTCATTTAATTATGCAATTTCAGCTTTCAGAGTTAAAGGAACGATTGACATCAGAGAGTGATTAAACATGATTATCAACAATATTGTAAATGAAAGTCATTTACGCTTCAATAATTCCATAACTTGCTGAATTTATGTTATATAAAAGACTGAACAGTGAATAAACATTACCAATGTCAATTACAAAGATAACACGCTGATGTTTATTTGAGGAACAGTAGGAAAACATAACCGTTCGTATCAAAAGAATTTATATTGCATACATTCAGAAAGGATGATGATGATGGTGGTGGTGTACTTTCATGTGGGCTTATACTACGTAACTGTTTATTTTTGCTTCTCTTTAACAATAAATATTCAGAATGAAAATTTAATTTTTATGAAGCTTTAAGGTTTTTGTTTCATTGACATCGCAATAGATTTGTTGAGTAATCTAAATAATTTTAAACATCACGCTGTGTCACTTAATAAATATTTAAAAGATTTGCCGATCTTTAAAGTTTCTTTAATAAAGTATAAAAATAAAATAATGGAGTCACGACATTAAAATTTTTTTGCTAAAAGTGTAATAAAAATTCGAACAAAGAAAACCTGTTAATAAATTTTAATTCTCCGTAAAATGATGAATAAATAAATTTTTGCATTACAATACTCAATGCACTACACTTTTACTCAATAAAAGCAGAAAATTGAAAATCACGAAAAGCGAGACTTTTCTTTACCATCAATGTTGATTTGTTAGTGCAATGAAATAGAGTGGAAAGTAGGGATGGTAAATACTCGGAAATTTCCTTGATGAAAATTTCTTTTATATAAGTATGAAATTTTTTTATTTATTTATTTTTTGAAATATTTTTTAAGCCATTTCTCGCATATCATCATTTAATACTCCTCGGTAGCCCAAATACTCGCCAAAAACCCGAGTTTACGAGTACTGGAAACCTCAAAAAGTGAAATGTAAATAAAAGATTTTCGATGTAAAAAGAAGATGCAACTTCGATCACACATTTATAGTGTCACATTGCATTGTGTCCTCAAATAGTTTGTTTAACGCGTTAGACGAAACTTTTATTCAAATCATTTAATTTTAAATTATTTTGAACATTAAGCAACGTTTTTCATATATTTATGCTTTGTACCTTCTTCACTTTGTAAACATTTACGACGTTTGGAAGAGAACATGCAGTGTCAGCTAAGAGTTTGCACTATTTATACTTCAAATGAATGAACTCAATCATTTTCTTCTCATGTTAGGTGTGTTGTAATTGAATCTCATCTTTAATGAACACCAAACACCTGGGATTTAAAACGATCATAAAATTTTACGAGAATTTTTCGGAGAGTATGCACATTCACTTAGATGTAAGTAAGTAAATTGAAAATATTGATCGACTACATAGCGAAAGTTTTTAACGACTGAGTTCTTAAATTTGAAGATTATTTCGTAACCCTCTGCTTTACCAAATATTTCTAAAATTCATTAAATTTTTTTTGAAATAGATAAATATAATTCTCTCTCTCATTAAATTTTTATTCCGAAAAAAATTTGAAACAATGAAAAATATTTCAGAATAATTTGTAGACCAAAAAGGATTATTTTCTTTAATAATTCAGCTGCTTAAAAAGCCCCGAAATATTCATTAAGTTTTATGGTAACGATGTCTTCTAAGTTTTTCAACCAGACGCTGACTTTTAATTGTCAGCTATAAAAAGATATTTCTTGTTCGATTATGAGAACAAACACTATGGAAATTTTATTACAAGGAATTAATTTGATTCTTTGGTGCGGCGAATGATTTTATTAGTTAGTCTCTAGGTTAGAGATAGATAAAACAGTTAATGGTATATAATATAAACGATTTGGCTACTTCTTAGAAAAGATCAAGAGCCATGTTGTGACTATGATGATTCATTCATTCTCTTGTCAACTCCAGGACATTTAAATTGTTTCGTAAATTTGTGAGACGATCTGTAATTTAAGATTTGTCAAAAAAATTCAGCTGAAACCTGTAATTCAAGAATCTAGCTTTTCCAGGCTGCTCATTCCTTGAAAAAGAAAATTAAATTCTTAGAGTGCGGATTTCTTGAAACATCTTGATATGCTTTGAAAAGTTTAAGATGAATGTGATGAAAAAAATAGAAAAGAAAATTGTTTAGAAAGAATAAGAGAACTAACAAATTGTTTCGAAGTATTATTAAAATTATTAGATTTTATATAAAATGTCAAGCTGTGAAGAGAAATTATTTTTTAATTGTGAAGTGTAGATCGAATCGCTCTGATGATGACATGCCTTGCTGTCGAAAATAGCTATTTAAGGTAATTTAAATTAATAGTAAGAAGTATGAAAGTGTCTCGCCTCTATACTGGTTTTATTAGTTTGAAATTATTTCCTTTGAATCAAAATTTTCAAAAGAACATTTTAAGAATCATAACAAGGAAATTTATTTCAATTACATAAAATGAGTTGGTAAACAAAAACGGAAATGATCGTTATGGCATTTTTAAGCCTATCATGTCTTCATTTCGAAGGTTTCCTCATTAATATTTAAAATTCAACAACGCGTAATAAAAATGATTTAAAAATTTATCGACATAAACGTCACGGTGAACATTTTTGGATTCTTTTTTACTTCTAAAAATTACTATTAAATTTCAATTGATTTTCATCGCATGTGTTCCCTTCAAGTTGAAGAGCATAAAATATTGTCAGAAAATATGATTAAAGTTACAAAGTTTTGAAGAAAATAAATCTTTTCTATGAAAAATGTGAAAATAAAATGGCAGTAGGAAGATTGAGATCTAAAAGTAATCCTTAACCGTTTCTACATTACTATTGAATTATAAAATATTGAAAAGTATTTTCGAGATACTTTTTGAATATTAACGAACTTTCTTATTTGAGTATAAATTATCTATAATATTGAAATGAGACATAAAAGTTTGGGTCATATGATGTCGTTGATAAATCATTTCATTTTTCATATGAACAAGCGAGAATATTACATTTGAAGTGTTTGAAAATATTTCACATTTCATTTAAAAGAATGATTTATTTGAGTCTTCGTTACAAATTCATCATAGCAACTCTTAACTTTTTTATTCATCAACCATGCGTAGTGAAGCATATTCAACTTTTGTTATCACGAGAAGGAGTGAAGAAGAAGAACGAGCAACTTGGGACAAACGCTTCAATTTGATCACCTTGAGAACGTTCTGAATAATTTAAGGTTTAATAACACTTAAATATTATACAGTCGGGAATTCACTGATATCTGTTTCAATTTGAAATTTATTTATCTTATTTTTCCTGCGTCTTCACATTGAATTTCCTTTTACTTTCAAATTTCGTAGACCGTTTTATGTAAATTTCTAAGGAAACATGATTATCTACTTCGAAAATCAATAAATGGAACGTATCGATACCTGACAATGCCGTCGATCCATGAACTCTGCATCCAAAAAAGAGAAAAACTAATAAAAATATTATCTGATCTAATTTTTGATGTGAGCAGCTGTTATAGAATCAGTCACCCTTTAACATGCTTTTATACATCGCGTGACTATTGGTTCTTGTTTTCTTTGCTTTCAAAAATATTTTGATTATCTGTTCGTGAACATTCGGATCAGCATGCGAGCTTTCATTCAACACCGACATCGAGACACAAAAAGAAAAATCTTCCCACAGCTGTCGATTAATGTTGTGCGTTATTGCATGATGAAGCTTTTTCTTTTATCAGAAGTATCTTTGCTACATTGGAGTAGATAAGTTTCATGTGAAAAAAGGAAACATTCAATTGAAAAGATGTTTTGAATGTAAACATCCGATATTGCTGAAAAACCCATATTTTCCGTATTTTTATTTAATTTAAAAGAAGAATAAGAAAGGCTTCGTTTCTGACAACAACATCATTATTTTGATATCTTATAGAATCAAAGTATGAAAAGAAATTTGATATTTATAACATGAATTCTCCTTTCGCTGATAATAAGGAATTTCTTTTTTCTACTAATAGCTTGTTCAATACAAACGAGATATGCTTGATAAAGATTTAGTTTCTTCTTAATGAATAAATATGACCCATATAAAACCGTTTGGAAATTGTCTGAATCGTTTCAGGTATTTAGATATAATTTTGAATACATAAATGAAAACAAAGTAAATTATAACATTTAAATTAAATAAAAAAAAAAGATCTCCAATTTAAAATTTATTATTAATGGAATAAGAAGACACTAATGTGAAGAAGAGATTAAAAGATAAGTTAAACGACTACTTAGACTTAATACACAATTTAAAGCATTTGAAGTTTACTGATTCGAAGCATATAAATCTGTCAAATCAGCTGCCGCATCTATGCTTTAACTACACTCATTTTATGATATCTTTGTAGTCGTTACGGTCACCACGCTGCGGTGTGCCATAATAAAAAAAGCTGCCTTTCATAATGCGGTGGGGAGTATTCCTTGAAAACCACTGTGATAGTTACATAAAATCAAATATTTTTCTCGAACGAAATTCGTCATTGGATTAAATATGAAATTAAATGTGAAAAACTTGAAGAAATAGGACCATGTCAATATCTACATAAATAAGTTGTTAGGAAAAGGAAAATACTCCTTCTTCTGCACATAGTTTCCAACACAATTCCTGATTCATTTATGCTGTCATATGAAAGAAACGGTACATTAGTTTTTATGAAGAAAATTTCTACCGAAGCAGGATATTGTTTCAATTTTTATTCAGTTATTTTTCGCTTCATGGAGACATATTCATCACATTGATCGTCTGATATTGTTTATAATGATTCATAATATTTCTAAATCGGTAGCATTTTAAAGGGAAACTGTTAAAGGAAAACCTATTGATAGTAGCTTCTCTTTCTGAAAGTACATAATGCAGCATAGAAATATATCAGACACTGAATATTTAAGATCATTTACAAAGCGAGCAAAAAATTTCAACCGACACCAAAAACTAATGCGGAGCAGTTCCTTGAAATAAAAAATCAAGAGGAAAATCTTCTTACTCTTACTTGGAAGAGAAAACAAGGTTCAAGTAGCGAAAAATCATTCGAAACAAGACAATAGAAAATTGCTGAAATCTTCAATGTTAAGCTTTGTAAAGCCTCAGTAGTGAAAAGCTGTTCAGCTTGAAACCACATTTCAGCACAAAAATAAACTGAAATAAGTCAATGCGGTGTTGTTGAAATATATCTACGTCTGTTCAAGAAGGGATCAAAGAAGATACAAAAATTTATATCAAATATTCAAATCAGCTTAAATTGCATTAAGAATATTTCATAAAGTGAAGAAAGTTTTAAAATATATTCGTAATGTCATCAGTGTAAACTTCAGATCTTGAAAAGTTGGAAATCTTTTTGAGTGACTCAAAATCTTATTCCAATGTCTTTAAAAAATCAGAATGAAATTAAATTTAATAACAATTTAAATCGATTCCAATACATAATTGAAGATGTGAAGTTTTCATCGAATAAAATCATTGTTAATATGTTCTAATTTAGATAATGCTTTTTAATAACAATTTAAATCGATTCCAATACATAATTTAAGATGTGAAGTTTTCATCGAATAAAATCATTGTTAATATGTTCTAATTTAGATAATGCTTTTAGATATGTTTTCGACATAAATATGTAACAAATTCCTAGGGATCAAATCCTAAAAGATAAATCAAAAGTGTCTGGCAATTGGATTATTATCCAGATATACTTTCTGATACCATAATTTCTATCACAAATACTTATCTTAGATGTCAGTAATTTTTTCTACATGATACAAATGACGTCATATCGTATCATAAAAAATGTTAAGTAAATAGATATTCAATTCAGTAGATGTTGAAAACGAAAATATTTTCTTTGATTTGTTTAAGTTGAATTATTTTGAAGTTACCTAGAACTTGGCTGTTTATTTTATTAACAGAAATATTTATTGAAGGCGTAGACTTTTCAAATTCAAAGAAAATCTAGTAATGCCTACTGTTTGCTTATCACAAACTTACGAACGAAATCAAAATGATTGAACTCCCTCAAGAGAATGAATAATCGAATGAAAGTCCTTCTGTTCATACAATCTTAAGAAATTCATGGATAAGTTTATCAACAAGTTTGTTATGTACAATGTAGGTGTATATTTTTTTTTTGCATTTTCATTTTTCTTAACTTAAGAGGAAAAAAAATATTGAATTTTCGTTGATCAAGTCACGTATTAACCAGCAGCACATATAGATGACTTTTATGCAGAGCTGAGAGGTATAATTTAGTAAGATATTCACAGCTTCTATTTTGAAAAAGGAAAAGGAAAGAAAACATTTTGGATGAAAAATTTATCGAAAAGAATTCAATTGATTGAATACGATAACAGAATAGAAATGGGTGAGTACCACAGCTGCGTCATAGATTATTTTGTTACTGGAATTCTCTTTTTCGAAAGTTTATTTACTCTGTCTAGAATCGTAGAAATACCAAAATTTATTATAAGCCCCGCACTCGTTACATTCCTTTTGTACCCATAAACGTCTCATGGAAACCGATGACTGCAAATTTTTTCTTGGTTTTCAAAAAGAAATAGAAAATTATATTCACAAAAGGTAGATGAAAATTCTTTTGAAATATTAGATGCAGTTGGTTCTCGATTTTCATCAAATCATTCACTCGGCTCCTTCAAACATGTGTGATCGAGAGTTTACGGTATTATTTCGTTTAAACTGAAGTTTATGACTGTAATGTGAGTAAAAATCAACAAGTGGGCAAACGATTTAGATATCTAATGCAGTACTATTTATTATGAAACGTGTTTTAAATATCAATAAAGTTGGTCATTTTCACTTCTAATGGCTGAAATTGATCCACAAAAATTGATGGATAATTTCATATTTTCTCTTGCCCTTAAAAACCTTCTTTCATTAAAATCATAATTTCAATTCATTGTTAGATTGACGTTCCATCTGGGTCAATTAATAAATAATCTGTTGCTTAATGATTTCATATTAATTTAATTTGGAAAATTGATATGAAATTAGATCTAATTATAATTGAGCATCTGCAAATTCTTCTTTCAAAATTATATTTAAAAAATTTCACAAATGTTTAAGTTGCAAATGCCATCGAGTTTCTTTGCTTACATAAAATCATTAAAAAATCCATTTTATGTATTTTCATTCATGATGATGCTACAAACATCTGTAGAACATCATAAATAATTCTAAAAATTTTCCGCTTCAAATAAATCTTTTAAGTACTTCCAAACGAAAAAAGAAAATTAAGGCAGTGAGATGCTTAAACGTTCAGCGAACTGAAAAGTCTTAAATAAATCTAAAAAGCAACAGATTTGAGTAAAATATTAACATTTTTTAATTTTTGATTTGATGATGATAAAAAATGGATGCTTTTACAAAATGTTTCTAAGCATCTTTATGCTTTTATAATTAATATCCTTTTCCTGTTTTCACTTCCATTCTACATAAATTTGCTGAGAGATTTACCTTATTTGTTTTAGAGTTTATTTCATCATATGTATCTCTGTTTACTAAATGAATCCTTTCAATTCAGTTCTTCAAAAGGTTTTATTTCAATAATTCTAATGTGCATTCATTTCGAAATTGAAATGAAGCTTTTCAATTATTTCTGTGAAATTACATCACAAGTCAATGATGCCACAAATATTTATTATTCAATGGAATTACCCTTAAGCAGCTTCCAGCAACGCATAACAAACAAAAAGTTCTTTCATAAGAGTTGAATGTGGAAATTAATCTTATAGATTAACGAAAAATCTAGATTCGTAAAATGCGGTCTACCATAAACTTTTTTAATAAAACATTAGGCAGTGAAAGAATAAAAAGTTTGTTGCGCTTGATTCCAGATGGTTTGCAAGAAAATATTCACGAAAATTAATTCATTTTTTTTCCAGCTGCTTAGTGCTTTATTATGGTTTTGTTATTTTGTTTTCTTCTCTTGTGGTAAACAAGGCGACGATGATGGTCATCATTGGACATTTAAAAATTTCAGTAAGCTTAAAATTCCATGGTTTCCCTTCTTATTTTCTTTTTTACCTTTTTTTCGGTCTCTTAAATATTTGTTTTAAATCCTTTTATAGAACCTTCAACAGATTAAAAAATGTCCCGACATATTCTTGATTCATGTTGCCAAAGTGAGATACCGTACGATTATCTCGATGTTGAAAATCATCCAACAGCTTCACAACTGGAGAAAAACATTGGAAAAGATTTGACGGAAATTTATTTTAGTAAGTGCACACCCATTGAAAAAGTCTTGTTTGGGCGCAGTAAACAGCTGGAGGGACCTGGAGATTTATGGAACGACCCAGAAGATCGTCATCTTCGAATGATACCGACTCATTCAGAGAAAATGAAAGCACTCACTCATGTAGGTGTTTTAGAAATTGGAAGGAAAATTGAAGAAAAAAATGATTTGGAACAAGAGAAAAGAATCTCTGAAGCTATTTATGGAACTGAAGAACTTGCAAGGTAAGCATTATGCATAATTTATTGTCATTTCATGAACAAACTTCCATCTGACAGATTCGAAGAAGACAATAAAATCCGATTTCATGTGAAGCAAGCTTCACTGGAAAGCGACGAAGAATGTCAGAAGCGTATTAATGATTTAATATCAAAACATGAATATGAGAAGACAAAGTTAAGGAAGACTTATGATGATGCAAGAGATTTGTTGACTAAATTCACTAGTAAAAAATTTCAAATAGAAATGGGAAAAGTTAGAACAAAAGCATATGATGAAGCAGAAAGTGAAATGAATGGAAAAGTACTAGAAATTGTAGATCGTGAGATTGCAAATCAAAATATTTTATGCCAAGAACAGATCAACAACACACTCAAAAATATGGAGATCAACAATCGAGACCGTATTAATGAAATGAAGAATCAGTGTCTGAAAGCGATGGATGTACAAAATCATTTGATGACTTGCCGACACATTACTGAAATGATGCACATGATGACTGTCCAAAAACGTTACTGGAGTAGGCAGATATCAGACATGAAAAATGACCTCGAAAATTTGATGGGAACATTGCCTAAGAATTCGTTTCCGCATCATCAATCTAAATCAATCAAACGATTATTTATGGAATTAGTGAGCCAAATTCACAACGTAAATAACGAGGAACTTGATGAGACAGAAAAGACATTATTGGATGGAATTCGACAACTCCATAGCGAATTGCTGATGACATCAAATTCTGAAGAAATGACCCAAGGGTATGAGAACTCGATAAGAAGTAAAGAAAATGTCAAAACTGAACATGATGATAGACTTATTGACATTCATTGCATCGAAACATCAAACCTGAAATTATTGTCAAGTATAGAGGTTCAATGGGAGAAAATCGAAAATGTTGACAACGAAATGTTTCCAAGCAATTCATTTTTATTGACAGTTTTCAATCGATTTAATATGGTGAGAAGTCGTCAATCAGTTTCCACTTCAAATAACTCATCATTTGAGCCAACAATGACCGACAATGATTCATTGAACATACTTGAGAGCTTCTCCTTGGCTGACGCAATGGCCCCAGCTGTTGCTATCATTCCAATGCCAAAGACCGAAGATTTTCACGCAAAGGATTCATTGACTTTAATGAACAAACGTGTCTCGTTAGTTAAACAATTGTTTGCTTACTGCAGCTGTTCATTTTATCTTTCACTATTACTTTTCACAGAATTCGAGAGAATGGTAACGAATCTGTTTTCGACCATGTTCGGTTGCTATCAACTGTTGACTCGGTAGAACTATTAAACAATGAAAAAATCATTTCAAATGAGAGGTTTTTAAATAAATCGTCTTCATCTTCACAGCAAAATTCAAAATGCCAAATTTCTTCAAAATCCTCTTCAGAAAAATCATTACAAGTCCCAAAATATATGAGAAAACCTAAACCATTACATCGACATCTTTACGCCCGAATGACAGATGAAGATTGGAAGCGGTTGAGAAAAGTTGTGGAATCTTCTAAAAGACCAAAACGTGACTCTTCTATTCAGTTCAATGAACTTGACAATGGTTTACCCCTTAAAATATCGAAACACAAATCTTCATTCCTTGAACGGTCATCACACTTAAATATATCCAAGAAAACTCTCAATGATCAACAGAATGCTTTATTTTTAATAGAAAAAAATCTTCAAAAGGAACTGAAAGCAATGAGAATTGAATCAGTTTTAATGATGCTTTGCGATGAGAAATTTCTTCATAAGACTTCATCATAAGTGCAATATTTGCACTTTCCCGACAATGCAATAAATTTTATTAAATACAATAATTTGTTATTTTCAAATGTCAGTTTCTTGAGAGCATCTTGCTATTCATAATAACTTCATCATCAACTTGCTGAAGTTATTTGTTCCAATTGAGTTACTCTTCAAGTCGGAATTTCTTAAACTACTTCCTCAAGCATAACTCGAAACAATTTTTCTATTTAAATAGAAAAATGTCTTGGAAATTTAAAAATGAAATTCTTTTAATTTTTGTCACCTTAAGAAGTTTGTTTTATCATGAAGAGAGACAGAGAGAGAGAGAGAGTGACAAATATGAGATGCTTGAAAATAAATCTTTCATAGAGAATTTTTTTTATTGATTGCATTAATTTCATCATCACTGTGAAAATGAAGAAAATCATTCAAGAAAGAAAAAAGAATTTTCATTTCGCTCCTGTACATTGTGAAAAAAATCCTTTTTAATTTGCAATTTAAATATTCGTTTGAAAGCTGTATGTATTAGGTATGTAGAGAAAGAAAATTCCCGGTAAAAACATATTAAAGCTTCATATCGTTTTTTATGTTGCTGCCATTGGCGACATAAATTTATAAGCTTTGAAATAAAAAAAAAGGTGCAGAATAAATGTAAATATTTGCGAGTGTAAAATTGTTGGTTGTTAATGTGTTACCCCGAAAAATTCAATAATCGCGAATCCTTGGCCAATGCATTTGTTCAATGTTTTACATACATTCAAATTATGAATTCAAAGTGGAGCACGTATTTAATCTCCTTGATTTTTTTCTTTCAACATGTAAAGACTTAGATAAAAGTGCGTTTTATTTAAAAGATTTATCAAGTCTGCATGTAAAAACAAACACGAACTCTGAAGTATTAAAGTTAATCTTCTTCTTAAGTATTGAGAACTAACAACAAGATATATGTAATTTTGGAAATGAATTTCTACTTACGAACATCGTATCATAAGCGTTCTCGAGCGGCACAATTGCTCCTGTTGTCGAATAATTTTTCAACCCGCGGGTGAAAACCTTTTTGAATCCCTCGGCTGGACGGACATGGGGTTGATAAGTAAAGGGTATTAAATAAGGTCATTAAGCAAAATGTGAAACATGGATGTGGCTGGCGTGGCTGATGTGGCTCACGTAGTTGATGTGGCTCATGTGGTTCGCAGGGTTCACGTGGTGTGAACCACGTTAACCACGTGAGCAACCTCAACTACGTTAGTCACACCAGCCGCGTAAACCCTGTGAGCCACATGAGCCACGTCAACTACGTGAGTCACGTGAACCACGCCTGTCCCGTGAGCCACGTGAACCACGCCTGCCACGTGAGCCACATGAACCACGCCTGCCACGTGAGCCGCGTGAACCACGCCTGCCCCGTGAGCCGCGGGAACCACGTCTGACACGTGAGCCGCGTGAACCACGCATGCCCCGTGAGCCACGTGAGCCGCGTGAACCACACCTGCCACGTGAGTCGCGTGAACCACGCCTGCCACGTGAGCCGTGTGAACCACGCCTGCCACGTGAGCCACGTCAGCCACGTTCATGTTTCACACTTTTCTTAATGACCTTATTTAAGCCAAGCACTTCATTATTAGGCACTTTATAGGAAACTTGCAATGGGAAGTTTCATATACGGTGATTTTTAAGTTGACTGTTTCAGGATTACCAGCACAAGCTTTCTGAATCCTTTTTCATAGATTAACAGTAAGACTTATACAAGATTCCATAATTAATGAATATTCTTATTCATGTAGATAAGACCTGCTTAGTTTTTGGTAAAAGTTTTTTTTTGTGTACAACCATGGCATGGAGAACTATAAATCATTATTTTTTATTATGAATCAAGATTATTTAAGATGCTTTAAGAATCTGAAATGTTATTCATAAGGTTTATGACAAAAGTGAATTAAAATCTTAAGCAAGATAATTCCATCAATGCAAGAATAAGCTTTACCCTTGCTTTCTAAAGACATCTTAATGAAATTACTTGAAGGCAAAAATATGAAACTTAACAAAAATATATCCTTAAAGTCTTGCTGAAAGTTTTATTTTAAACTTATATTATTAATTCAAAATATTTCTTAGGTATGTATTACGTTTCAGAATAAGATATTCAATTAGAATTTCTTATCAGAATGAACTCTTGATGAATTTATTTCAATTCTCTATATAGCTTTCACTGAAATGAAGAGCCAAATGAAAACTTTCGCTTTGAAGTTTCAGTCTAAGATAACCATCTTCAATTTCACTGTTTTTTTTTGCTTGTTATGCTTTAACGTTACTCATTTTGAAATAAGCTTAGTTGTCTATCTTGCGAAATGTATTTTCTAATCGGAATTTCACCCTCAGTTTCCCAGAACTACGTTTGTATACGCTTTATTTAATCCATCAAACCAATAATTCTAGCGAAAAAAATGCTTCATTGACAGTTTCACTCTGACTGAGCAGAAAATGACTAATGGAACCTTTTCAAAAAGAAAATTAATTTGTTCATTCTAATGAAAGCAATATTGGTATTGAAACAGACGTAGGAGGTTGGTGGTTTTAATTTGTAAGAATAAATTGAGATGGTACGAGAAGAAAACAGAGAAAATTTCCTTTCTTTGTCACCATCACACCATCTCAGGGATTTTATTTTCATCTTCATCTGACTTAATTCAATTTCCATCTGTGCGATAATAAAATCAAGCTTTAAATTTGTTGACGATTTTAGAACATAGAATTTTCGCTTATTGATTCTTTCTCTAAATTAATTAACGATTTCAAATGTTAAAAGAGACGAAGAAAATGTGAATAGCAAAAAAATAGAATTTGAGTGTGAAGAAAATTGAGTGGCGAAAAGATGTCATTGAGAGGGAAAATGTTTATAGTGGAAATTCCTTTGTCTAGTCAGGGTTCAGATTAAGGGAGCCGCTCAAGATAAGTTTATAAAAAATCTTTTGTTATTTTTTCGATGAGCGACGGGATATCTGATCGTTTTATAAGCAAATGAACAAACAAGTTTTCTACAGCACTCGTACATGAAGTGTTCAAGTCGCCGCTTTCACTTCATGAAAAATTTTCGGAACGTATGACATTAAGTTATGATTTAGCTTTATTCAGAAATTCACCAGCCATTGATTCTTCATTTTTATTTTTATTTCTTATTCTCGTTTACGCTTTTCAACCCACACTTAAATTGATTTATTCATTCAGAAGACCCTGCTTATACCATGTCAGATACTCACCCACACTTGGATTCCTACCGCTATTTAATCATCAATCAATTTCAATCATGAAACCCAGAGGAATTTTGGCTAAACACTAAAGAGCGGGTATTTTCGAAGACGGTTCCTAAATCACCAATTCGTTTGAAGATTTTTTAGTCCTTTTTAAAAGCAATTGATTGTTAAACATTTCATTCGGGGTTTTCTCTTCAATAAAACTGTTGATAATTTTTTTTATCTTACCCGATTTACAGCTGAACGACATTTCGTTCACACATAATTTTTCATCTCAAAATCAAATGTGTTTCCATGCCTCTCAATGGTTCTTACAAAAGAGAAAATAATCATAAATACGTCAGTTATCTTTATATTTCTATCTTTTGATGCCTTTTTGATTAACATGAATGGAAATTTATTGTTTGTGGATGTGAATCGTTTTATTTAGGTTTTATTTTATGATGTTTTATCGTAACATTTACGGCTGTAGCTTGAAGCCGAAAGTGACATCCGTTTTTGCTAAAGATTATTTGAAATAAATATTATATAGAATATACTTTTGTTTTGTGTTGAGCACGCTTAATGCTGGGAAGAATTCTAAAACATCAAATGAAATTGAAAATGTTTCGAATTATTCAACTGACTGCTTCTCGCAACAAGTTTTTCTGTAATTAAAATTTATTCACATGGATGAGCATTAAATAAATTTTCATTTCTTCTAGCATCGAAAAAAATGACTTCAAAGAAAAAGCAACTTACTAAGACCCTTTCCTTTTTCAAATTAAATGCTTAAGTTTACGAAAAAGTTTCCTCATGAAATTATTTTTCTATATGCTTTGGAATCGAATCGACAGCAAATAAACATTGTGATATGTGTTCTATTGTGTTTGCGTGGGTGTTGGCATAAATATTATGTTCAGAAATTAAACTTTGCAACAAAGAAAAACAAGTGGGCACAAATCCAAAATTTATGAACGAATTGGTTTCTAGAGAAAAAGTTTTTCTGCTTTCATTTCGTTCAAGTGAATAAGTTTGCAACAAGCAAGTGAACCAAACCTGTGATTTTTGTTGTTGTTTGGTCAAGTTTTTTGTGGATTTGTGGTCACCTCATGCTGAATTTAACGTAGGCGAGTAGATTTATATTTCACTTTCAAAAAGATTAAGCGAAACTCGCTTAATCATCATGAAGAGGGGAAAGAAACTCAAATGACCTGTTCTGGCATATAAAACATAAATATCACGAATTTAAATTGTATTTGGGATTTTCAACAAAAGGATAAAATTTAATTGATCGAAAATTATTTGATTTTAAATCGTGATTTCGCAGTCCGTGTCAGAAATTGAAAAAGTTTGTTATTGGGGCATGTCATCAATTCTTGATTCAAAACAAATTTAATCCGGAAGTCATTGTCATCAACAAGTGTTTTATAAGCATGAACAATGCAAAAGCACTTGACGATTTTTATAGAAAGAATTCAAATATTTTACTGTTCTGTGAAACACTTTACATTAAATATTTAAAGAAGTAAAAAGGAAGTTTAAGATCAACCAGAAAATGAAGAAAAGTGGACTTAATATTGCATAAAATTGTCCCTTAAACTACATTTTGAATAAAACTTTTCCTTCTCATCTTCACAACATTTATTTCTTTCCAGATTCTCTTCAGATTTCTCACCGATTTTAGGACACGACTCTCCAAAAATAAAACGTGATGCTATAAAACTTAATTCATTGTTCATGTTTCTTTCAAAATGAGTTGAGAAGTAAAGTTTGCGTAATTGCGATTGATTTTCACTTCTTCGAGGAAGTTCGTGACTGCTTCAATATGGCTCAAATAGTTATTAAATAAAAGTCACAATTCTGTAATAAAATCGTTAGTTCTTTCATGCATACATTCAGTTGTTAGTTGAATTTCAAATTCAAAAGTCAATAGCAGAGAGAAAAATTGTAATCATGAAATTGAGTTTTTCAATTCTATTCATCGTCTTGTTAGCACAGCAATCTCATTGTTTGGGTGAAAAAATGAGGGAATATCTAGTGAAAATTGAAACTAACTTAAAAATGGAGAATATTAACTTTCAAGGGCAGCCAGATGAAAATATAGTTGAAAATCAAGGTGTTGCAGTGCCTGGACCAGTAGTCCCTGGGGTTGTTCCACAAGTTGAAAATGGTATTCCACCTGTAGTGACACCTCAAGCACCACTTGTAGTGACAACACCAGTACCACCTGTAAATCCAAATATTGAAGTTCCTCAAACACCAAATGTCATTCAAAATGCAAAAACTGAAAATGCAGAAGAAGGCAATGAAGAAAGAAATGAAAATGTAGAAGAAGCCGAAGAAGAAGTTGTAGAATGAATTGATTTAAAATTAAAATTCATCAAATTAAAATTAAAATTATTAAAATTGTTTTTAAATCATGAAATAGAAGACGAATAGATGTAGCTCATTTAAATATTAATATAAATTTTTAAAAGCTAACAATGAACCTCAATTGAAGTCCAATCTAAAATACAATACGAATTTCAAATTGAAAATAATTTTCTTCTATAAATATTGAAGCTGAATGTCAATATTTAAGGTTCCATGAATAAACTTTCGCTTTGAAAGCTCTTCCTTCATCCTTCATTGTTTAAGTTTGAATTCATCGGACTTTTAAACTTTTCTATTGAAAATGCTTCACTTAAAAAAATTAAAATTTTGAAACGTGCTCAATAAACTCTTGAGACGTTTCTTGAACTTTAACTTCTTTCAAGTCAAAAGAAAGCACTTTAAAATTTAAAAATTTCTTGACTTTTTTGTTCATCGTCGTAACGTAAAAACGAAAGATTTTCATATCGCCGTTGATAAGAAAAGAGATTACTAGAAAGTTTCTCTTTAATCTGAAACTTCAAATTGTTTTAAAAGGCAGTTACAATTATTTTGTTCATATTCTCGAGAGAAAGAAACTTTCAACACATTTCTTACGAAACAAAACATAAAATTTTTGCAGATGTAGGTTGATAATTTAAATTCATTTAGAAATATTCAACTTACTTTTTCTCTATAAAAGAAATTTCAAACTTTTCCCGGAGCTATAGTTCCAGACTGAACTCTTGAACAAAGGTTTATCTTAAAAACGTTGTTTGATGTCTTTGAAAAAAAAGTAAAATAGTTGTGCGGCAGGATTTTGACTCGATTTACTTTCATGTTGACTGACTCGGATTATCTGATGAGTCAACTCATTTCGATTTGCCAAACATGTCAATGTCCTAATTATAATTCCCATAATTCTTGACGAATTACATTGAAGTAGTTGAAAATTTCAGCAGACACACAAAATTTTTCTTAAAACATTCGATTTTGATTGAAGTAGGACAAAATTGCTTTCAACTGTTTCAGTTGAACTTCTGTGATTTGCAAAATAACAAGTAAGAATCCCCAAACACTAACTTTGCCTCATTTCACTTTATTGAGTATAATTAACATTTTTTGCAACGCGAATGAAAGGCAAACATTAATTACCATCTTAAAGCCATTCCTTCTATAATTGCCTCCAATTTTTCCTTCCTATTTACATCTCTTTAGAAAAACTTTGCGTTTAAAGATATTTGCTCAACTCTCATAACAGAAAAAAGGCTGAACGTTTGACAGCAAAAGCAACGTAAGTAATGGAGCAGACAAGAAAACCGCCGTATAATTGGTAGCGTTTAATAACGAGATAATTATTTTTCATGAGAACGAATTATTTTTAGGATGAGTTTTATGTGCTTTTCATTTAATTTTCAATGTTTTGGATCATTCAGAGGACGGGAAAATAATCTAGTTGTCGCTGAAAACATTTATCTCGATTCATTAGCGGTTTCAAAGTTTGAAAATGTTTGATGTTGTCTAACCAAGTTGATTCCAATCTCATTATCCCTCAACTTTCTAGCTCCAACGTGCATAGCTAAGTACGGGAAATTCTTTGAAATTAATTGATGAATAATTTAGGGTTAGGCGGTTCTTTTTAATAAATTTTAAAGCTAATAAGATTATCTGTCAACTTTTATAAATACTTTATTTAAGTAAATCAATATTTCTTGGGCTTGTTTTATACATAAATTTAGTAATTAAACATAAGAATGCCGTCATCAAATTGAATTTAAAAATTTATACTAAGATACTCAAAAAATTCCATAAATGAAAAATCTCTTTAATTGTGACTCCGTTCAGTTTGCTCTTACCGAGCGTCCTCTGTGTATTTTTTTATGTTTATTTCAGATTTATTCGTTTCGGATGTTTTATCTTCTGATATATTTTTAACTTTGCACTTTCAAGCAACTTTAAAATGAAAACTTTTCCAGAGTATAAAACTTAAAAAATTGAACTTTTTCTTTATAATACTTAAAGATTTAGAAAATAATTTTAAAACTTTTAGTTTCGAACTTTAAGAAGCTTAAAAAATGTAAACTTAACTTTAAGACTTTTAGTTTATCCTTATAGGAATTCAACTACTGACAGATAAGCTTTTGAGCGCAATTAGGTAAATGTAAACAGTTTTAAGAACATTGGGAAAAATTGAAGATTTGTTGAAGTTTTCATGGCCATTAAAAGATACCCTGAAAATTATGTATGATAACCGAAGCGCTGACAGTTTGGATATTGAAAAATTGGAACTGACTTTGATGGCATTTGTATGAAACTCCAAATCAATTCTTTTACTGAAATTTCATTGAATGTCTCCTGCCAGCTAGGAATATAATTTACTTATTTAAATATCCCTTTTGATTAAAATCAAATCAGAGTTTATGCAAATGTGTGAAACAAATTAGAATATCTACAGATTAAAACTTGAAGACAATTTATCGAAGCAATTAAGTCAAATCAATCAGGAATTCAGCCGCTTAATGCAATTGTATTGATATTGATTGAATTACTTTTATTTTTCCTTGTGATAATTTATATATATTTTCAGGAATATTTAAATCTATCTTTTGGAGCTTCTTTGCTTTCTATGCATACATAACGGTTTGAAGAAATTAATGTAGATGGAAAAGTTTATATAAATAAGCATATCTAACAGTTTGTACGTTTCATAAAAATTCCTCACAATCAAGAGATTCTTTGATTCATAAATAGTAACAAAGAATCTTACGTTGACTTTATGACGAAGTTACGACGCCACATTGTGGCTTAGATTATACTTATCCAGACTCTGTACCTAAGCAAAATAATTTCTACATTATACAAAGTCATTAAAAATCTTCTGAATTATTAACTGAAAGTGGAAAATCAAGTTAATTGAAGTCTCATTGGAGACTTACATTGTTGTGGTTGCTTGAAGCAAACAAACAAAACTCTTCTCATTTTCAACTTCCAAAGAATCTTCTATCACTTTATTCTACAACTTTTGGCTATTCGCTTGATCGAAAGATGAAAATTAATTAAAACTTTATCATGAGTCTATGTGGAGAAACCTGAAATGTGTATTAAAGTTTTATTGTCTCGAGAATCATGTCATAATGGAATTTCTCTCATCCGAAAACCGAAGACGTGAAAATGTTGTTCTTTATGTAATTATGTAGAAAGATATCAAGAGCTTTGGTTTTTGGCATAAATCGAACATTAATCTAGATTGAATTTAAACATCGCCAACTATATTTTCTTCAAAAGCTCAAAATAGAATTTTTTCCATGTAATGCAATCTTATGAGTTGCCTGAAACGTTTTCTCTACCTTTCATTTCAATTGATTGTAATGCTCAAGGGAAAGCAAAAAGTAGAATAAATCACATTGATTTCGGAGTTTTGGAAGGGAATAAAGAAATTAAAAGAGCATTTCCATTCAATAAATCATTCTGTTCTCACCTCTTTCTTTATTCTTCTTTGATTGAGGAAATGGGTGGAGAGAAAAGAAAATGAAAATTGCAAATTGTGCTTCACTCCCCCAACCACCTCACAGAACTCATTCTTACAATAAATCACAACTTCTTGTACACTTTAAGATAAATTCAAAGTTCAACTTTATTTCATCGTCATTACACTTGACCAGGTAACGAAGTTTTTGTATTGTTTGTATTTTTTCTTGGTAATGGAAATATCCTCGCATCATGAACAAGAAAAGTTGTCACAAATTGAATTTTAATATTTTATACAAGAAGTATAACAAGCTTTTTCCTCGAATAAATTTCATTCAAAGTCAACACGCAGTCGACATGTTGCTTTTAAGACGTGCAAAAAGCAGAAATTTTATTTGAACTCGTCAAAACACTTGAAAATATTTGAAGACTTTCCTGAAGCTTTGATGATGTGTCGACTTTATCGCAGCTCCCAGTTTTCATTAACTTACGACATAACAAATTCTATGTGAATTAATTAGTTTCGTAATTAATTTTTGAATTATCTTCTTTTGAAGTAAACATTTTCCTGGATTTATGAATATTGAGTTTGGTCCTTATGAATATTGAAACGCGACATTTCTTAGTCTTAATCTCCTCTGATCCTTAATGTACGTAATGTTAAATTTTATGTTGAACACCAAATAAGTATGAATTAAAATATTAATTATTCATTTAGAAAAATATAACGATGAGTTCAGTATTACTTACATCAATAAGTTAATGGAGTATACATATTTTACATCTAAATTAAATGCTTACCTGATTTGCTTTTATGACCGACTGTAACAAATTAAAATATTAAGTAAGGATATCTAAATCCGACGGGAAATTATTTTTTTATTAAAAGTGATTGAAATTTTCAGCATCCAAAATTTGAGAAAAAAGTTTTCTTCAATTTTTAAACTTGTTTGAATGAAATTTTCATGTTTCAATTTATGACAACAAATCTAGTGTAAATATATGCTACCTTGCACAATGAACTGCAAGTGAATTCTATTCTAATAAGTTATGTTTTTCAGACACCATCTGGTGGTATAATTAAATTTATTGTTATGAAAATATTAATTCAATTACAATCACATAAATGTATCAGTTTTCACATCTTTCCCATCAACCGGGACTAAAATTGGTTCTTCATTTGAGTCCAATTCCAGAAGGTTTTGACCATCGACAGTCTTGAGAACTTCTGCATCAACATCTTCAATGATTTCATCACCACACCGAACATTTTGTATGATTATTAACGTAATAATTAAGGAAAATGAAAATTTTAATATTCTCATTTCAATTATTTTATCGTGAAATGTTTTTAATGTCTGAAGTAATATACTGATGAACAACTAATGTCTGCTGACTTTAAAACAAAGTTTCAAGTAAGTTTATCAGGAATTTTTGTTCGTGTCTCATAAAACCTCAACCTTTTTGCTATAGAATTTAATGACAGAATAAAATAGAAGTTACATGTCTGATGTCATTGCACTTTCTAATAAAAGCCCGGTTTACAATCTTCAAACTCAACATATGACTCATAAATCATGTGTTTCCGACTTAAAACTAGATTTTTTTAACTTGTAATGGATTCATGATGTCATTAGGATGGTGCACCGTCTTCGCAAATGCTTCAAAGATTTTATATAAGAAGAATTCAAAGAAATAAAACTTTTTTCAACGACGCCATAAATTTAAACTCGCTTACAACGAGGCGAGGCAGAAGACAAAGAAGAAAACCTTTCATTAAAAAGTAATTTAAACAAAATTACACTTCCAAAGTGCTACTGTATTGACTTTTTTATGTACGTTCTTGAATAAAAGCCTTTATGCTTGAAATAACAACGTTGTGGTTATTATTTGATTTCCGAATATGAGATTTAAGTTCTATTTTGTCTCTTTCCTATTCAGAAAGTCGCATAATAAGTTGCAAAATGCTGTTAATATTTGTTAAAATTGCAGGAACCATTTATTATAAGTATGTAGCTTAAAATTTTCTGATTTAATTACCAGCATCTGCTACATAATTCAGCCTCGTTAAACTTTGCTAAGTCCTGTCGGAAATACTAAGCTTATTCATATGAATGAAAATGTAAATTAAGTTATTTAAGCATTGTTTCATTCTACAAGCCTCCCCATGTGTAAACTCAGGAATTTTGGAAAATTTACTCATCAATGATTAAAGATAAAACCACCAACATATTATTTTATAATAATCATCAAACAAAATATAATTCTCTGCTTCGTGATAAACCATCAAATTTAATGTTTATTATTGAACTTTTCATTGTCAGAGATAAAGTCATGTAAAACATGATGGTTATGAAAACTCATTTCAGTTGTTAAAGTGCTATGGGCCCAGGACTACGGATGAGTAGGAAACTCATGTAAAATTTCCAATTACACAATGGAAATTAGAGAATAAAATTTTTTAATCAACGTCAACATATTTTAATCATAGAATTATAAACAAAAACATCTTGTTTCGTGTTATATTCATATTTAGATAAAAAAGCATCTAACTGTTGTCATTTCCAAAATCATCGATCAAAAGTGATCTAATAAAATTAACATTGGAAATTTAATATCTTTCAATGTGAAATATTTATGACATTATATTTGTACATTTTGTTTGACAATTTATGTCATTCAAGCGTTTTTTTTGCATTGTGGCTGAGAAGCAAGTACAGTAAGAAGAATGAAACACTTTTAAGTGAGTAAATTTTCTTGTGATACAACTTGTAATAAAACAACAAGAATTTTCCAAGTTTCTATCTTGACTTCAGTGCAATGTTTTTGGATTGAATCGAACATTTAAACACACTTTGACGGAAAATAATTCATTTACCGTTGTTACGATATCTAACAGCATAAAGAGATTATTTAATATTTTCCCAGAAATTGTGAAGCGTATAAAAAAAGAAAATTTAATTTAACGAGTCTTCCAGACGAGTAGGCTTTAACTTTTTGAAATTGGTTCGGAAACTGTTTTCGTTTTAAAGCAGTAGCTTACATCTTTATAAATTACAATAAGGATATATTTTCGTTATCATCCCTAAACTTTACATCTACTTCAATCTTTTACAATAGCAAATAAATTGAATTGCGTACCTTTCTACACGACTGTAAATTTAATTCAATTAAAATTAAGGAAGCGTCTGAAAATATCCACGATACAGTTCTCTTTTTTCGATTCAAATATGTCTTTTTTCTCTTCTCCTAGCCCTCTCTTCACGCGACCATAAATTCAACACATAATTGATTTTCTATTTGACACAGAAAAGAAAGATTCGATAGAAGAAGAAATGTCGCTTCGTTTCTTAATGTTAACAAAAAAAATTTTTTTTGTGACAATTTCAACGATATAAATTAATAAATTGGTTTGCAGGAAGTTCAGAGGGAGATCAGAAAATAAACAAGAGAATAAAAGCAGAAAATTTGCAAAGAATAAAAAGAAAATGCTTTTGGGAAATCCTGTGATGTTGTTTCAATTGAAAATATTATTTTAAAGGAAGGAATAAAATCTGTCGAAGTAGAAATCTTCTCTGCCCCTAAGCTTTTGCTGGTATAGTAAGTACTTTCACGAGAGGAAATTTTAAATTCAAGCTGATAAATTCACTTTGAAGCTGCTTCAGTGACAAACATAATCAATAATTTATACTGAATGAAAGAAGCAGAAACTCTTAAGAATTTCTGAGATGAAGAAGATTTAAAATTCCGTAAAGCGAGAAATGAACTAAAAAATTGTTAAAAAGTTTAAAACAACAAGATTATATTTTTAGCCAACTTTATTTACCAGATTAAGAGACTTAACCATATATAATTATTGAAAATTATAACAAAGTTGGTAATTTATGTTGAAATTAATCTTCTTTTTGTTTTTAAATTCTACTATTAGCTTTGACATTAAAGCTCGTGACAGTTTTAATTCACAAAAATTTATAAAATTTTAATCACACGTCTGAGGCTAGAAATATTTATTTAATGCATTTAAATATTCATTTTTGTTTTCTGTAACATTTTATTGTCATAAATATTTATGATAAAGTTCAATAGCACAGTTACATTCTTGTTGCACATATTCCAATAGATACCACTTGATGAAAATAAAACAAGTTTCATGCAAATATTTACTTTATTTTGTTGTGGCCAAGAACCGATAATTAAAGTAGAATTCAAAATAAAGTTTATTGGAGCAACAATTTCATGAAAATTCTGTTAATGTCGAGCATTGCAAGATAAAGTTTTGCAATATAAAATAAAGATTTATTTAATTTTGGTTATCTGGGTATGTACTTGAGGAATATTAAATGACTCGTTTCTTTACTTTTGCATCAAACTAGAATTGAAATGAATTTATGTTTAAAACGGGTTATTAATTAATCAAAGTAAATATCAAATGATTTCTTCACATAAAACTGAGGCAAGATGTGCATAAATTTGTTTCAATTTTAGTTTGTGCTCACTTAGTTCATATGCATTAGATGAAGATATCTCGAAATAATAAATCAATATTCATAGATGGATCGACTTATTTTCAATAACAATTTTAATTAACTGGATAGAAATTTAATTTAATTTTCTTCATACTGATATTTATATACACTTTGCGACTGATATTTATATACACTTTGCAGCGAGTCCATTAGCAACTTTTGGATGACAAACGTTAATCGTTTTTGTCTCTATTTTTATTTTGTCTAATGCGTGATAAGCATTTTTGAAAGATGACAACAATAAGAAAGAAAAAATAACATTTTTGATGAAAAGGTTTTCTCCTTCTGTACCGAAAAAACATTGCCTTTCAAAATAATATTTTATTCAGAATCATCTTTTTCATCACTTTTAGACATTTTGAAGAGAAGGAAAGGTTCACCTTACCACCATAATTTTAACCCTCACTTAAATGAATGGAAACGCTGTCATTGCAATTCAAAATCCCATTGAATTATATTTTCAAAAATGAATACAATGTTTTTAAAAGATAACTTCCTATTTCTGTTAATTTTAACATACTTCGTTACTAATTGGTTTTCGGAATTTTAAATATCAAAATATCTCTTAACGTCCTATGATGACAGTACTCACAACTTTGTGTGATGACAGCATAGCAAATTTTTCCTGATGGCAGCGCTAAAAAAAATGAAAGGTGAAATAATTAAAAGTTCACATCGGCATCGGTTGGGATATTTCTATAAGGCCTTTTCATTATTAGCTCGCTGGCGGTTGCTACCCAAAATTAATTCAATTTTTTTCCTATCAATTTCTCATTAAATTGAATAAATATGATGGAAATTTTAATTTTAAAAGCCCACACAGAATTATGAACTTTTCTATCGCAAAGGCAAAAAATAATTTAGGTTGTGCTTAACAATGTAGATATCCGGTAAAACATAAATCAACTTATTAACAATGTATTAATTATTTGAAAATTAATCTATCTAATTATTTAACTGAAACTGATCGATATTAATTTAAATTTTCATCAACCTAGAATTTATTCAGGAGGTATTTTTTGAAACATTCAAAAATAAAATCTTGAGAAAAAAATATAATGAGTACCTCAGTTCTGGATATAAAACGATTGATGAATTATATTCACTTTGTTGAAATTTACATCATCTATCACTTCTTTTAAGATACAATGCGCGATATACTCTAGCAATAAGGCAAAAATATGGAAAAACTTTGTTCTTATAAAGTCCGATGTTGAATTTATTTCAACCTTTTTATCGATTTCAAAAAATGTTATTTTCCAATCGCACTATAAATTTTATCTGGAATTTCATTACTTGCAACTTTGATGTAAATAAAAGCATCTTAATTCTTTCAAGAATCATTTCCGATATTTAAGAAATAACAGTCTTCGAAAATTCAAAAACTGAAAATTGTGCCGGTTCAAACGGTCTATTCGGTTTGTTGATTTTTTGGGGAATTTTCTAAGAAAATAATAAACTGCGGGAATTTTGCGTAAATACCTCGAAATAAGTTGATTAAAGTGAAGATAACAGTGCAGCTTTTGTTTGAAACATGGATGCATCAAGCGAATATTATGAATCTGAAAATTTTAAGAGAAACAATCACGATCAGCTTGACGAGGAATCAAATGAAAATTTAAAAAATTATGATTATATTCGTGAATTGATTAAAGAGCGCAATCAATTAGAAAGTGATTCACATGCATCTCGACTTCTCGATCAAGGTAATGTTTATAATATAATGGAAATTGATATAAAATTATTAGTGTTTGCAAAATATTGATTTTATTTTTCGTATTGTCTTGTTGCTTCGTTTTTTCCTTTTTCACATTCAGAAATACAACAAGCAAAAGCATCCGGAAAACCGTTTCGAGATACGAGATATGTTGATGTTTACCGGGAAAAGCAAGTTCGTGTTGTTGTCAAAGTGATTGTGCCTGTTAAGGAACACCCAAAATTTAATTTTGTTGGTAAACTGTTGGGTCCGCGCGGAAATTCAATGAGACGATTGCAAGAGGAAACACTTTGTAAGATGGCAATTCTAGGCCGCGGATCAATGAAAGATAGAAAAAGAGTAAAATTTAAGATTATTGCAAAGTGTGTTAACTGGGAGATATTAAATGTAAAATAAATATTTTAGGAAGAAGAGTTGAGACAAGCCGCTGATCCAAAATATGCACATTTGAATGACGATTTACATGTGGAAATTTCAGCTTTAGGACCACCTTCAGAATGTTATGCAAGAATTGCATTTGCACTCGCAGAAGTACGAAAATATTTAATTCCTGATTCAAACGACACAATTAGACAAGAACAGTTGCGAGAAATAATGGCAGGAGAAGCTGGTGAAGCTGTCATTGCGAAAATCAAACAAAAGGGTCAATACAAGTAAATCGAAAGAAAATTAGGAGTAATTAAGTGAATTTATTTATGAATTAAAATTACTTTAAGAAGTCACGTAACTGAAAGAACTCCACGGACGTCTGCTGTTCCACCAAAAACAAAAATCTTCTCGATTTTAGATCGTGCAAGAGTTGCAATGGAAGAAAGCTACAAAGCATCTTCGGAGCCATCGTATCATGAGCATCATGCGTTAGTATTTAGTTTAAAATGAAAGTAATGCATATCATTGATTTTTCATTTGAAATTGAAGTTATGAAGAGTCATATGAGTCTCATCATCATCCGTCTTACCACCATTCACCACACGTTGAATCCTACAGTCATGGGATTCATCGTGCGCCATCTTATCGCTATGAAGCACCACCAGCTCCCGAATACCAACATCATGCTTATCATCATCACCCACGCGATTCATATTCAGCAGGTAATAACTCTAACATACAAAATACTTTTTATCAAAATAATTCGAAGAGTCACGCGTACAAGAATAATAATAACAGCAGTAATTCATATAAAAATCACTGATTAAATTCTTCGGTAAATGTTCAAAATATTCTGTGGGATCAAGGAGCACATTCGCAGAAATAAAATATAATTACGATGTTTATTTGATATATAAAACGACGAAAATTTCTTTCTTACCGCGAATGAAGCGATTCGATGCAATTGTGGCGAAAAATCTGATTGTTTCAGAATGATAAAATTATTTAAAATACCTAAAATCTGTGCATGAAAATAATAATAGCAAGACTTACAAGCATAAACAAATATAATACTATAAAAACATTGACATAAATAATAATAAAAACAAACCAACTTCCCCTGATCGCTTTAGCGAAAACGCGAATGTATTCATGGAAACGAGGACCTCCATCGCCGGAATCGAGACATAAGAGTGAATATTCCGAACGTTTGTCATCGCGTCATCGTCACGAACCTTATCCAAGAGTTGAGAAATGAAAACGATGGACTGAGAAGGAAATTATTGACACATGACGAAGAAGAAGTGATGATGAACAATGAAATATTTTATTTTATTATACAAATACATAAAATAATAAAACTATTAAAAACAAGATAAAAAAATGGATAAAATCAAACGATCATTTGAATGTCATCAAGACATTTAATTAGAACTTCAGTGAAGTTAAGTTTGCAAACAATTTTGTGTTTTTGTTTTCTCTTATTTTCTTTAATGTGACTTTTTGAATACATAAAAATATAAAATAGAAAGTTAGTCAAAACAAAACTAAATATTACGTCAATCGTATGTCAAAGTATAATCAACATAAAATACATAACAAAATAAAAATAAGTCTAACTAAATATCTAGGTGAAAATATTATTTCTCTCGACGAATAATTGAATGTTCAACATAAAATATTTTGCATTAATTCGAATTGGATGAAATAATAAATGACATCTTGATTCTTTTTAGCTCTTTATTGTTTAAAGTGAAAACAAATAAAAAATATTGACACGCGAAACAAAACGTAGAAAATTAACGTTCATTATAATTTTTTCTTGAAATAAAATATCTGACAATGAAAATAAACGAAAAGGAAAATATCTTGAAATAAATAAAATCTTTTTTCATGTCGAAAGTGATGACAATGATGATTAGAAATTTCAAAGATAAATAAAAAAATTAAATTTAAGCAGAAAACTAAACAAAACATAATTTAAGGGAAAAAAGTATACTTATTACTTCATTAAAATAATCAAAAACAAATAAAAGATAAAAACTCAAATAAATAATCAACTTTATAAATGTGTAATGATAAGCTCGGTCACATAATAGATCAGCATAATTAATAATAGAAAAGAAAAAACAAGAAAACTTCCCAATCTAAAATATCTCTTAACACAAAGTAAATTTCAAAACTATGCAATAAGCATAAAATTAAAAGAATGATCACGTCAATAATTTAAGATGATTCAATGTCAATAAAACAAACATATTTTTGGAGAAATAAAATTTAATCTAAAAACAAAAGAAGTCACTATGTGAAAAAAATTTGACAAGAAAAAAAAAAGAATCCATGACAAAAAAATAACATGACGATGAAAAATGTATCTGTAACTTGAATAATTCACAGAAAATAAAAGAAAAATTGGTCCACGTTTGAATGAACAACAACTTGTAAAATGTCTTGTTGCTTTTTAGTCTAGCTTCCAAATATTTCTACGTTGAGTAGCAGTTGCTTACCACACTCGGAGATGAGTTGAAGTTTAACGTAGTTGTAACCAATTCCACCACTGAGTATTCTCACAGTTCCACCGTCTTGTTGAAATGTCAAATCGGTGACATGAATGGCAGTGATTAAAGCACCGTACGGCGACGAAAACACAAAGTTTTCTCCAAGAATAAAATTATTTTCACGTGTCTGATGAAAGAGTTGATCGAAAATTTGCAAATTTCGTGGTTGGAGGTTTCCCCAAGACATAGTGGCATTTTCTACCGTTTTAATCGCTAACAAAATTACAATAAAATGCTTCATTATTACACGAAAAAATTACAACTGATACACTTGTTGGCTTAGTACAGACAGACGCGACTTTTATTTGATAACAGATAGAAAACATTTGTTTAAATAATTATCGCTTATTAACCTTGGCATTCTTTATACAAATACATCGATAAATGCAATTATAAACGACTGTATCCGGTCCAGACATCTCTCACTAATTTAACAGCATACTTAGCAGTGCCTGGTGATGTAGTCACGCCATACCCGCCATGTCCGTAATTATGAATGATCTTGAGTATTCCTTGACTTGTATCTTTAAACTCATATTCAACTCTCACAGGATCCCGATGTGGCCTTAATCCTACTTTAACTTCAGTTACTTTAGCTGTTTGCAAGCTTGGCACGAGTGCTTCACATCGACTTTTAATTGAGTCGAAATCATATTTATTTGGAGTCATGTCAACTGACTCGAAATTTCTGCAACCGCCAAGAGTAACTCCACTAAAACCTGGTACAATGTATGTGTCGTAATCACCGTAATATGCCATTTTTATCCAAGGTGCATGAACTTTTAAAACTTGACCTCGAATTGGCACAACTTTGCGATCATTGCACAAATTCTTTGCTTCCAATCCAGTGCAATTAACGATTATGTCATATGTTCCATGTAAGTCTGCAAAATCGTTTATTTTACGATTAAATATTTGACCTCCACGGTCAAGGAAGTTTTTGGTTGCCCATGGAAGATATAAACCACATTCAGTGACTAGAGTTGTGAAGAAACTTCCATACTTCCAGTTACCTGGACAAATTTTTAATTCTTCTTCAGTGGCATTACGATAAGCCGGCAATACGTCTTCAATTAAAAAGTTCTATAAAAAGACAATATTTTCTTTTATATTTGAAGTACTTTGATAACATAAACGACTTACTCGAGTAATTGATTGAGAATATGAAGACAAAATATATCCCGAAACTTCACACACTCCCGCAAGATTAGAGTATGAAGATTTTCTGATATCATCCCAATGCTGGTAAGAATCACGCACCCATTTTTTCGTGATTTCTTCCGTAGGTCCACTGAAGGAAGTTCCTAAAAATCCAACTTAATATTTTTCTCACTTTTATTCACATTGAATAATAAACCTGGTCGAAAAATTCCTGCCGCTACATAACTTGTTGTATCTTTGTAGAAATTGTCAGCAATAATCGTAATATTTGCATTTCTATACTCTTTTTGGAGTTCAATGGCTGTTGTTAGTCCTACAACACCCGATCCTACGACAGCGATTTTCATTGTGCTTGTTATCAGTCTTACGATTGAAATTTAATTGAATCAAGTAGGTATTTGCAAAATAAAACATTGTGGAACATTAGGAATACAAGCATCAATGAGCATCAAAAAAAACATTAATGATTCCAATAAGATTAAATTAAAACACTGAACAATAGGATTATTTTATAAGAAAAGCATGAGAAGCGATTTTATTAAGTTAAATCAGCATTGAATAAGTTATAAAATCATTTTTGTTTAATCTGTAGGATTTTGGATAACTATCATGATGAAATCTTTGTCAGGTGCAATCATAATTTCGTGTTTCTTGGAACGAATTCTAAGGAATGTTAAATCATTTGATGGATCAAGATCTCGTACTACACTTCGTGCTTTATCAGCGAGTTGGCCCATAAGTCCAGCATATTGTACGGTTGATGTGTTGTCTAGACTGCTTTTGACAGCAACTCCTAAAAAAAGATTTTGTTATTCCAAAATGTTTTAGTTTTATGTTCTACAATGTGCGATATGACATCACTATAGAAACATTGAGTCATCATTCTGTCCAAATATGTAAACAATAACCGTTTGGTCGATAAATCAACCTTTATGTCTTTCAATCATGACATTTTGATGCACGTACATTGTTCTTCAGGTGAACCTTTAACTTACCTTCGTTATTAACAACGATTGTTCCCACAACGCCTTTATGTTGCTGAATTCTTTTTAAAGTTTCCTCAACTTCTTGACTCTGTGAAATATATTAATTTCATAAAGCTGTTAACAATTCTACAACTTCTTCAATGTTCTTCAATACTTGAAATGCTACTTATAAGAATTCTTACCATTTTTCTAGATTTTTAATAATGTTAGGATTTTTTTTTCAGAAATTTTGAGATTTTCTTAAATTGTTTAATATTTTGAATGTTTCGATGAGACTTTAAATAATAAAACATCAAAACATTTAGAACTTGAATTTTATAGCAAGCGGTTCAATTCATGTTTTCACGGTTCAAATATGAAAATGTCGTTTGAATCATCGAAAAAAATATGCTAAAATAATAAAATAATTAGATGAATTAGTAGAAACATGGTTAAAAACCACAAGATTAATTGAAGAATTACAATTAAACATACTTTATGTATGTATAAAACAAATTTTTGACAAAATTAAATTACTGAAGAAAAATTTTTTCCATTCAAATATCCTTGACTCATGAACTATAAAAACACTAATTGAATAAAATATATCTGATGAGATATTCGCATGTCAACATTTCGTTCAGTTTTTCTAAAAATAATTAAGAGCATTCTGAAAATTATTTTAAAAGCACAGAAAAAGATTAAATCAAAAAAGCTTTTCTAACGAGCTTTTCGTTTCAAAAAACGGTTTTTCATTTTTCCTGGAACCTTATATCGCGAAAATTGAAAACCTTCCAAGTAGGGAAAAGAAAATATTTTGAAAATGAATTTCTTTTCATAAAATAGAAAAAAATCTGATAAAGCTCAAATAAGTTTTTGCTCAAATATATATAATAAAAAAGCTCAAGATGTTATCCAGAAAATATTTATTGTCATCATTTTTTTGGTTTCTCACGGATTATTTCGAAAACTTTTGTCAAGGTCAGGATAAGAAAATTCCCATTTTCTTTTCTCAAACTCATAAATGAGATTTTCATGATATCGAATAAGATAAACGTTGAAATAAATCTTTGTTTTGATCTTGTAAAATACTTTTTGTAATCTACAGCAAGTTATGAGCCACCAGGTAATTCTGTGGGATCAAATATTATCGCTAGTGGTGTTGGAATTGGAGGTGTAAGAGCAGACTGTCTCGACTACACAGGTCGATATGTCAGTCATGGAAAACATTTTGTTCCACCAGGAGAAGATATGTGCAAAATATGTGTTTGTGAAAATGGAAGTACAAAGGTAAAAACATTAATTTAATTTATGAAGATAAATCTATTTTATTGTTAATCAATTTGTCTCAATAATTGATTTTCTAATCTCGATGTCTTAAAGGGATGTCGAGTTGTTCACTGTGCTCCACCGTACGGATGTAAATCTTTCACAATGGGAAGATCACAATGTTGTGATTTCACTTGCTTAGATGACAAATTTGCATTAACACCAACAGATATCGCAATTTGGCTAATCGCTATAATTTTGATTGGATCAGTATTACTTGGATTAATATTGTTGGCAGTCAACTGTTTTTACGGGCACATCTTCAACCAGGTTTTCGATCAAGTTGGCAGCTTAAATGCCGGATGAGCCTAAATTTATTCGGGAAACTTTCTCGATAATGAAAATCATCTTAAATAGGACGTCATTAAATTTCTAAAAACGCATAAAAAGTTATGATTTATGAGATAAAAATGTAACGATGCCATGCAATGAACGATAATGCTTGAAAGAACATGCCAAAGTACCTTTAGAAATTCTATTTCATGTTGGAATGTCTAGGAAGTTTAAATATGCTCTATTTAAAACAGAAGAAATTTGAGAATAATTTAAAATGAAAAGCAAAATTAGAAATTTTATGGAAATGTTAAAAATTCAATTTAAAAAAAAAACTTTTAAAACACAATTCGTAGAAAAAATATAGATATTAAATAGTATTAAATCTAAAAACAATGTTAATTGCATTAAAGCATTTATAGGCTAATTCTCGAAGTAAATAAAAGTATAAGGAGCACCCATGTAAGGTCTGCATAAGACGAGGCAACTCTTAAAATTTATTCATGAATCCACTCAGATTGGAATTGTAAATACTGGAAACGAGATTATTGATTTTTTCGAAATAAAACATTTAATGAAACATCTAATGAGAATAAAAATATTTGTTGAAAACTCATCAGAAAAACTTGATTTATTTAAAATGAAAGCTTTCAGAAAAAAGCTCAACATTTAAGGAAGTGCTAAATTAATATTAACGAATATTAAAAATTTGAAATAAGTCCTGATACTTTGAAACCTTACAAACTTTAAGGCGAAATCCTTAAATGTAGGAAGAAAAAAATTGGTGTAAAAATGAAAAAAATCTCTTGCTTAAATTAAAGTAACTAAGTGCTCAATTGTGCTTCGAAAATACTCATCATGATACATAGAAACTATTTATTATCATCAATCATCTGGTTTATAACGGATTTCTTAGAAAATTGTCAGGGTAATGTTTGCAGCTGAAAATTTTTCCAATTTTCCATCACCACACAATAAGAATTTCCCTGAGAAAAATTTTCGCCCAATTTTTTTTTTCGTTTCATTTGAGTTTTCTTAAACATTAAAACGTTATAACAAAATTGTTGTTATTATTAAAATCATTTATGCTGAATAAATGAATTTAAAACGTTTTTATTGAAGCTTTTCATCAATTTTCTGTTTAATTATTATTTTCTAGATTTTTGCTCCCCTACCACCCATTTTTATTATTTTTCTTTATAAAACATCAACATATAAAACATTCTGTGTGTCAATTTGCTTTTAAAAAATAGCAAGTTACGGTTCAGCTGGCACATCGGGAACATCAAACAGCATGGCAAACAGTATTGGTATTGGAAGTGCAGCAGGGGAGTGTCGTGATTATACTGGTCGAACGATTCAACATGCAATGCATTTCGTTCCACCAGGCGTTGATATGTGCAAACTCTGCATTTGCGAAAATGGTCATGCAAAGGTGAAAAGATTTATTTCTTATTAATTATTTTTAAAAGAAAATTTAATGAAACAAAAAATCACAGGCATGTCGAGCTGTACTTTGTACACCACCACCCGATTGCAAATCTTTTCAAATGGGCTCATCATGCTGTGAATTTATTTGTCTCGATGATACGTTAGGCAGCTCTTCAACATCATCTGACATTGGCATTTGACTAATAGCAACTGGCATTACTGCCACTGTATCGCTCACACTTCTCTTTTTTGTGATTAATCGTTTTCGTCAGCGAAAAAGCCAAATGCGCCATCAAAATCAAAACAATCAAGATGATCAGAGAAGTAGCATTGGATATATTGGTGGCAATATTGGATATATGAGTTCTCTTGGTCAAATGGAATATCCATACGAACAAAATTCACACTTTCAATTATGGAAGCCATTTTTCCCAAGAGGTGAAGCACCGCCACCATACGAAGAAGCTATTTCAATGGCACAATCGGAATCGTTAAGTGCACAAGCTGGTTCATGCACTGTTAGCGTTGCCACATCCACTCATCGAACTCTTCCGATGAATATCTGCAACAATGCCACAACAGAAAACACCGATTTGTCTTCAATACCACCTAATAACATTAATAATAATATTAATAATAATAATAATATGAATAATAATACGAATAATAGTAATAATAATAATAATCCAATTACTTCGAATACTACAAATTTGATCAACATAAATATTAACAATGCTGGGAATATTACAGCCGTTGCTACTGGTGAAAATCATTTGATTCAAAGTAATGGAAATTATTTGAGGTGGGTTGAGATTGTGCAATCAATCATACAACATTTTTATTACTTAATTTTTCAATATGCTTTTAGCGCTACGCCAAACAACACATTACCACGACATAGCACAGCGAACAATCAACTGATCGAACAAGATTTGGTTAATCGCAATTTAACTTACAATTCTGCGATAAACAGTTGTAGCAATTCTGAACTTGCATTGAGCAACTCGTCGATTCGTGACATTCCATGTACATTACAGAATTGTGATTTGAATACAAGTTGCAGTTTGATTCGTTCATCGTCATCATTGTCATCAAATGGTGTTGGAATTGTTGGTGGAAGTGGCTGTTATTCAGCACCATCGACAATGAAAATGAATCAACAAAATCAAACTTCTAATCAAAGTTTGGCTCAAATTCTTGCAACAAATCAAAGCACACAAAATTTATATGAACAGTACATTGATTGTATGAGTACTGGAGGTGTTTCTCAAACAATTCTTCCACCTCCACTCTTTGACACAAACTGCACGCCTGGAAACTTCAATCAATGTTATGAGATTCAAAGTCATCCAGGTAATTATTGCACACTGTCAGCTATTGAAATGCCAAAGATTTCGTCGTCATCAAAACGACTTCATCGTACAATTCCAAAGCATTTTACAATGTCATCTTCGTCAGCAATTTTTTCAAATGAAATAAATTCACAACAACAACAGCAGCAACAGCAACAACATGCGAATGTAAGAAATGTCGAGAATAAAAAATCGTCTTGTCAATGTCCAGTTCAACATGTTCCAATGACTTACATGCAATTTCCATCTACACATCCGCAACAACAGCAACAACAACAACAGCCAATTCAAGAAATACAACAACAAGTTCAACAACATTTCCCACCCCCACAACGTCATCAACATTCAACGATTTACATGTCGGGAAGTAAGAAACACAACGTCATAAAATCAACCACATTTCCATCAGCAATGAGTGGAAGTTCAAGTGTTGGTAAAATACAAACAATCGCTAATTCAGAATTGTTGGGAATAACTTCAGTAGATGTTGTTCAACCTATAACAACATCTGAAATAAGTGGAACAATTATATCAAGCGGTGGCAGTGGCACTTTGAGACGTTCTCATAGATCATCGGGCAGTACATCAAGTAGCAACAATTCTACGATTCCTACAACACCCAATAAAAAGTCAATTGCTACAATTTCCGTTGCTAATTCATCTCAATCATCGACAGCTGTTACTACTCCTGGATATTTCACTCCAAAAGTTGAAGTTAAACATCACCCGACTCCACCAGCGCATCAACAACAACAACAAATCCACTCAATTCTAAAGAACAAAAATCATTCTGGAGTTCATGTTAATGTCATTAATGTAAGCAGCGATGTTTGTCTTGAACAAAATCCGATTTTGCCTCCTAAATTGTATAAGACAAGTAATAGTAGCAGCAAATATACAACTCCATCAAGTTCTGGTCCATCGACACCGAACAGTTCAAAACAAATACATACAATCACGCGACCCAATGAACTAACATCATCCTCGTCGCAATTTTCGCTTTTATCAATTAATGGAAGTTCACAGAATTATCAACAGCAATCGCCACAACAATACCAACATCAGCAACCTACGCAATTACGCACAAACATACAGGTAAGCATTTTTTTGTAGATAGTCTAATAATGTTTTCATTTCATTCACTAGTTGTGTCCTTATAGGGAACATTGTACAATACAAAAACATTACCGCGAGGAACACACGGCTGTGAAGGTGAAAAAATTCGACAACATCGAGAACAGTTGCAACAATCCACTTCCAATTATTCAATCAACACACTGCCAAAGAACCACCATCAACAGCAATCAACATCGCAACAAATCTATGCGAAAGTCGCCAACACATCACGAAGCGTTCTAAATGATGTCGTTAATAAAGTTCCTTCAGTTATAATGCTCCCAATACCTCAACAACAAAATGGAAGTCAAACAATGAAAAGTGTCACAATGACAAACTCAAATTCACTTACGAAGATGTCATCATCATCTTCATCATCGTCGTCATCGAAACAAAAAAATCATTTAAATAATGAAAATCACGAAATGGAGGCAACATCGACGAATGTCGGCTGTCATAGTCAGAATAGCACATTAAAGCGAAGTAAATTGAAGAGAGAAACTTTAAATGTTAACGAGAAAGTCATTTCATCGAAAGGTTCAACATCGACACAGATGGGAAATTCTCATGAGAAGTCACGTTGTGAGTCGGTTTTAGGAAAATGTATTGAGAAGCCGCTTCCGATTTTGACGACATCAACAAACTGCACAAACCCAAAGGAACATTTTTTGCCAAGCGAAACAAGTCTTGATGATGATTATTTGAGTGAGTGTGAGAATTGTAAAACAGCCGGAACTGGATCAAGATATTACCTTGACGATGAAGGGCTTGATGAACTTCCGTTACAGGAAACAATGACACTTCAGCGGAAACTTATGAACGAAAATGACGAAAATGATCAACAAAATTATTATCGCGTGTCGTCGACACTTCCGTCAAACACGAACAAAAAAATTCCGTAAGTTAAATATGTTCATTTAAATGAAAGGCTTGAAATTTGTTTTTGTGATCTCATTCAAAATTGATACGTCAATTTCAAGCTCTGTTTAAATGTCAAATCAGATTCTTTGCTTCTTTGTTTGTCTTCTAGTTCTTCTTTGAAAGAGAAATTTTCTTTTTATTTTCTTATAACAGCGTGGTGAAAACACGGGAACCATGGTTCAGCACAATTCCAGCATCGTCGTCATCAGACGAAGAAACATTAGCTGAATGAGATTTAAGTAACTTAATTTAAAGATGATCAGAATCTTTCTTTTGTCGCGAAAAATTTTTTTGGCTTCTTTGAATATCATTTAGACACTCGGAATTAGAAAATTTTTAGTCAACGATAATTGGATACTTGTAGATAAAAAAAGGAACAAAATATTTTAGGATATCAAAGCAAAAGAATTTTAGGGTATCTTTAAAGTTAAATGTTCAAAGTTGTCTTTGAAACAAAGTACAAATTTTGTTAAATTCTTCATTTCAGATAATTCTAAAGAATTTATTTCATTGAGTTTTTACTGACAATCATTTTACTTCCAACATTTATGGTTAGAATTAATCTCATCATGACAACATTTGTCATAAAAAGGATTCATTTTAAGTCTGAATATGAACATTTAACTAATCTGCGTTTATATTATTTAAGTGTTTATTAGATTTCTTAGCAAAATGGGAAGGTTCAAAAATAATGCCATATTTAAGATATATGTTGTCAACCAAAATTTAACATGAAAATGTTTGAAGTTGAAATTGAAAAAAAGGGGAAATTATCTAACTGAAATCCCAACTTGACATCATTCACAAATCCTTCCCATGTTTAATTAAAAAATTATCTGTTAAAGTCTCACATAAAGAAAAATTGAAAAAATTACCCTTAGAATGCTTTGAAATTAGTGTAAATATTTCTTGCCTCAATTTCATTCGAAAAAAATAACATCAAGATGAAAAATGAATGAAAATTGAATTAAAAATCAAGCAGAAAGAAATTCACCTTAATCATAATTATGCATAACAATGGAAAGAGTTTTTCCACTTTTTCTTTTTTCCTAATGAGGCTAATTATACAAATTTCAATAGAATGATGTATTGCATAATCTTCTCTTCTTAATTACCAAAAAAGAAAAAGAAACAAAAACAGAAGAAAATATGAAAACAAAGAGTGAAAGTTTTCTGCGTTGCTCATCATATGATGAATTATATAAAAGCTTAACATTGGAATAATGATATTAAAAAAACATTATGATGATTTCTAGTCTTTAAGAGTATTTTGCCAAAGAAAGAAAATTGAAGAAGAAGGACGATGAAAGAATTAAAGATGTAATGATATATACATTAATTAGTGTAAGATGATGATGTCTTCTCCTCCGTCTAATTCTGTTGATCCAAGGAAAGTTGTGTCTAGTAGAACGGTCTTTAAATTATCGCCGATTCATGAAAGTAAAACAAAATTAGAAAGATGTATGTAAAAAAATCTAGTGAACATACTAACTATGAATTTAATGTTTATTTTGTAAGATAATCTATTTGAAATCTTATAACTCGTAGATATTTAAAATCAGCATAAATGTTACCGATGGTAAATAAGAATGTGAAGATAAAACTCTAAAAGTTTCCTTGTTTTCGAAAGTTTAATAATTTTTATTTTTCATTTGTTGTGATACATAAAAAGATGGAAAAAAGTGAAAAACAATTTTCTAGCATTTCATGAGATTTACAAGATTAAGTTTGATGGACTTTAATGCTTTCGAGGCTATGGAAAAATTGTTCATGGAACGATAACAAAGTAAAATATTTGCGAAAAAAAAAAAATTATCGAGAATCTAATTTTCGCGAAGATTTTCGCATGGTAAGCAGTTTTATGTCCCACATCACGTGAATGTAGTGAAAGCAGAAAAAGAAGTTTAAGTACACAGTGTTATGATACGAAACTTATCTAAATTGAAAATGTACCAAAAGATATAAAAGTTAATATTTCTTCCGTGATGATTTTCCTGTATATAAACGACTTAAGCCACAATTGTAACGATTGCATTTAATGTAAGATTACTAAAATATTTTTAAACATCTTTCTGTCTTTCACCCTCGGTTTCAGTCACATAAAGAAATGTGTTGTGAGAATTTTAATAAAATAATTTCCACTAATTAAGCTTATAAAGTAAAATTATTTTTTTAAACCAGTAAAAAGCTCAGTAAAGTTCATGGAATTGCTTCATAAAAATATTATTAAAATCTGATTGTTGTATCGAATTAAGTTAAAAAAATTATATTTTTAATAGAATGATATTAAAATTTATTGAAAATTTTGTTATTTGCTTTCGGGCCTAATTCAAAATCATAAAAAAAATTGAAACGAATTAGAAGGATTATAAGATTTAATTATTTAGACAAGGTGGAAAAAGCTCTTAATTATCTTTGAAAATTATGATAAGATAGAACATTATTTAATGTAATGAAAAATGAAAATCCAGAATAGTCATTGATTCAAAATAAGAAGAATAAAATGAAGTAAAAAAACTAAGCACTAACTTTTTTTTTACTTTTAGCTTGTTTGAAAGCAAACTACTTATCCACAGATGATAATCAATTGTATTAACTTCGTACCTTCATTTACATTGCAAATTATCGGAAGCAGTATAGAACACAAATAAGTTTAATTAACACTGAAATTGGTGCTTGAAATGGTTGAATGTGTTTATGAAGTTATTGTTAACATCGTGAATGAAAATTTACAAGCGATAATCAATGAAGTCTAACTTTGACCTTCACAACAATATTTGTTTTAAAAAAGATTCTGGCGTCTTTTGTCTCGAGTTAACTATTTTTCTTAACCCTCTACTCTCAGTTGATTGATCCAAATAGGTATATACTCAGAGTTACACAACCCATAATAATTTAGAACAAAATCATTCGCCGTTAAGAAGAAAAAGTTTTTCATTCACAGTCAGTTATCATTTGAACGCCATACGAAGACGTTCAAGACAGAAATCGTGAAGATATTATTTACCAAAGCAATAGAAACATTCGTCGTACCAGATACAAAACGATTTAAAAGACATTGTGGCGCTTATGAAAAACATTGTGAAGATATTTATTGGCATGCTGATTCCATCAGTAATTTGGTATGAAAAAAATGTCTCTGCTTTAAGTACTTAGTTCAACTTCTAAATAGAAGTGTACAAAAAACCAATTCTTTAATTAAACAAAACTATATTTTGTTTACGTAGTCAAAGTATTTATTTGGGAGAGCATGCAAATTGAAGGAAAGACGAAAAAGAGTGGTTCAACAAAACCTACTTTTAATTGAACAAATTTTTATTTATTCTCGACGAATTATTTTCAGCGGCAATTCAAATGATTAATGAGTAACTTCAAATGTTTGCCGTTGACTTGAACAAAAAAAATTGTATGAATAGTATTGATAGGAGATTTTCTTTTATCTTCATTGAGTGTTCTTGAGTTGAAACGCTTTTTTAAGACAGATTAAGTGAAGACGCTCGCATTTTTCTTAATTAGCATCACTATGAAAATTATTCTTAAATTAATCACGCGGTCGACTGTGCAAACCTTCAATAAATCTTGCAAGTTTTCTTAACTTCAATATTGTCATAAATTATTATATTGCCCTGCAATTTATTTATCTTATCTCGTCATCATTTTGTGATTACAAGATGTACACAAAAGTTACTTTAATTAAATTTTTAAACATTATTTTCAGCATTAAAACATTCTATGAAACTGATTTGGCAACAAAGAAATTCTTCAACAGTAATGGAAACGACGTGAATCTTTGCGAAGTGTTGGGAGAATTTTATCAAGCTAAAAGTGAACAGATGACGTTGTCAAAATGCATAAGATTCAAAGCATCGCAATTGCTTTATTGTCATGGTGATATGGAAGATTTTCGTAATTATTCAAAGTAAGAGAATTAATTATATTTTCTTGGTATTTTATAAATTTTTGATTAATTTAGTAAACCAAAATTAGAGAGAATTGAAAGTCTAGTGATATGTCATCATAATAAACATTCTTTCCACTCGAAACTTTTAAAGTATTTCACTCACATTCAACGTCTTTATATTGGACACAGTTTACTTGAAGAATTGCTGGTGAAATTACCAAAACTTGAAAATCTTAAAGTGAGTTTAAAGTTTAAACTATCATGAACTAACTTTATAAATCACATGATTTATCATTTGCAGATCGTCAACATTACTCGCACTCAATTGCACTTAATTACTCCCGATTTTTTCTCAGATCTTCATTCAATTCAACTAATTGACTTGCGTTATAACAAGTTCGACTACATCGAACGTTTATTATTTCATACTCATGAACATGTGAAATTATTTTTGTTTGGAAATAATTGGAATTGCACAAAGAACCTTAAATGGATGGTGTCGCATTCACATGACAATACATCATCACATCGTTTGGAGATTTTTGATCGCTACAGCCTCAATTGTACTGATCCAAAATATCGTGCTCGACCAGTACTTACAGTTATGAGTCACAAAATGACTCTCTTCAAAGCATGTCATGAAGATCCCGAACTTAAAAATTGCACATGTCACATCAGTTACTTGAGATTTCATGAAGAAAATAATGAATTCAAGCCAATGTTTTCTGTCAATTGTTCTAGTGCTGGATTCGTGAACTTTCCAAGAAAACTTCCAGACAACACAACAACTTTATTCTTCACGCACAACAAAGTGAAATCATTGAATATGCTATGTACAAGGAACTCAACATACAACGACGTTCACGACATTTATCTTGATTATAATGAGATCACCGATGTTTCAGTGCTTGACAATTGTGAATGGTTTTTAAAGTTTCGAATCTTGAGTCTTAAGGGAAACAAATTGGAGACAATACCGAACTACGCTTTTAAAAACAGCTTTGAAAAGTCACATCATGCAATGAAACTTTACCTTAGTGACAACCCTTGGTTATGCAGTTGTCGTCTTCAGCCAAGATTGCTCAAACTTTGTCAAAAATATGAATTGATTGTCGATCAAAAGCGAATGTTTTGTTTGAGTAAGAAGAACGATGACGATATTTATGGTCGTCCTTTGATGGAACTAACAAAAACTGATGTCTGTAAACACAAGGAGTTTCCACTTAATAATTACGAGATTATGTCGTTAGTTTTCACTGTTTTGATTTTCGTTTTAGGAATTAATTTAATTTATGACTGGTATATATATAAGAATTATGGAAAGCTTCCATGGATTGTTCTTCACACGCCATTTTTCTAACTTTTATTGTATTGCAAATAAAGTTTCAAAATAATGTTTTTTTTCTGGCAAATTTATATTGAGTTTTAATATCCAACAATCGAATTGATTTTTTGAAGCCAAGAAGAGAAATTTGCTGGAAGTTCTTTAGGGCTGTTGACAGACAATTTCTTGAGAGTAGTTGAAGCTGCAATATCGGCAATTCCTATACTTGGAGAGTTGATAAAAAATTGATTTTTTCCAAGATATTGACTCAATTGTTGAATGTAGGATTGACGATCTTTCGATGAAGGTTGCTTTAAAATTTGATCGCAAATATCGAGAATATTATCAAATACGTTAGCAAATTGATTGTCAACTTCATAACTGAACTCATTTGGTCCAATTCGGTTAAGATATCGGATGATGTTCATTTCGCCATAGACAGGAATTGAAGTTGGTGATGTCAACATTTGAGTAGTTTCAACATTTTTCCAAATAATTATTATCTTTAATGTTGCTAAATTACTTTGAGGGATTGATGATGAAACTTTGGCTCCAAATTCTTTCGCTGCCTTCGTGAAATCAGATTCTTGGATAGTTGAATGAGTAAAAATCATTACTTCGATATTTAATCTTCCTCTCCATTGATTTTCAAGTGCAAGAATGCTAAATGGAACATTAGATGGATGAACATTGATAACAATATCAGTAAGATTATTGATATCTATCGCTTTCCCTTTAATAACCGACGACGATGTAATTTTACGCTCTTGAGCTGGATGGTTTGATTTATTGTTTCCTTTCATGTCTCCTCGCATCGACATAAGTGTCTGCTTGAGCTCATCAAGTTTCTTAAGAATCCGATTTTGTTTTTCTTCTAACATTTCTACTTCTGATTTATCCTGAAATAATAAAATTATTTTTAATCTTTTTAGTTTTTGCTTTTGTTGCAACTTGCAAAACTCATCAACAATCACTCACCGATTTATTAATAGAATTATCCATGCTCTCGTTCAAATTCGTGTTGATGGGTTTAAGATGATACATACAAGTTGGAAAATCGATCTTCTGATCAACTAAAATAGGTTTTAAATGAAACATTTCTTTAATCTTTAAAGATTTTAAGATTTTTCACGACTGCAAAATATTTTACCTGGTGAAAATTTTCAGTTAACCTCAACTGGCAAAATATTTATCAACAAAATACACATCAAAATCTAATCAACATTTTACAATTTATTTTTCTTTATATTAGGTATACTTTGCTAAATTATCAATGTTATATTTTCAAACAAATTTTGAAGCAATTGCTAGAATTTTTGTGTAGTCAGCTCCTTTTGAATGAGTTTTTTCTTTCATTATGGTCCTAAGAATTGTCGGAATTGGAACGAATATTCGAGTGCCCAAAGGAGTTCCGTTGTCGTCAATTAATACGACATTATTTGTATCAAACTTGGGAACTTTGATTCTTTGCTTTTGCTTCAATCCAACAAGGATTCCTTTCTTTTTTTGTCCTTTGATTGCCATAAGAACTCTATCACCAATTAAACCAACTCGACGTTTATTGTAAACATGAATAACTTTAGGTGGTTTTCCTTCCAACATAGCTTTCTTGCCGATTTCACTGTTGTCAACAACTCTCATTCTAGAAAGAAGCCTTAATTCATTGCATATTGGTGTCGTGTGGAAGAAACTCTTAATCTGAGAAACATGATTTAAAGAAAGTGCCGAAATATTTCGCAAATTGGATATAATCGATGAAGTCAGCATTACTAAAGAATGAAGAGGCTCATATTACTTTTATTAGTTTCAAAAAAAATATCTAAACTTACCTCCTCAAATTTGATAGAATGTTTTATGAATAAGCAAAATATTTTCGGAAAAATTTACTTTAAACTTTGTTTATTTTTTGACGATTAGTTTGCTATCTAGTGTTAAGAACTCGAACTAAATTTTCTTATGATTTTCAAAAATATCGTTACAAATAGAGACAGATATCAGATCAATTTCAATACTTCTAAATTTACATAGAAAATAAGTCTACTATTCGGAAGCAGATATTTAAAAAATAAAAAAAGGTTTTAAGCATTACACTATTCAAGCTCAGTTTAAATCGAAATTGTAGTTCAATGTAAGTTTTCAAATGGAAGCAAAATTTCCGTTTTCTTAGATGACATTAGGATTAGACAAACTTTATTTTCCTTACATCAGAAGTTCTGATTCAGAACTTATGATTAGTAACATCTCAAAGATATATTCAATTATCTATTCAAAAATCAGCAATTATGTTGCAAGAGTCTCAAAGTTCTATTCTAAATATTCAGCAAAATTTCAAAAGCTTTTGTTAAAGCAAGAGAAAGAAGAGGGAAATTCGTCTTTTTTAATTATAACTGCAAATTACAAAAAGAAAAAATGTCTCATTAGGATTATGGATTCCATCATGAGCTCGCTAAATGTAGAAGTGCTTCCCATCAAGAGGTTAAAGAGGAAGGAGAGGGTGAAACTGAATAACAAAAGTTTTTGCAATGGAAATTTACTATGTATAATGGAAAACGACACTTTTCACTTCATCTTTCCATCCTTTCATTTCAATTATTTAATGTAAATGCAAATATCATAAATTCCATCAAGTTACGACACATTATGAGATTTGCATTAAAATCATGTTAAATTACACATTTAAATTCAATCATTTTGACACAAACCCCAAAACAGAGGAGTGTTGATTATCATATTTTGTCTCTATCATGATTCATGATGATGATGATAATGAAAAGCCGCAATATTCAATTTTATAATTAATTTAATACGAGACTTGTGTAATGTATCAGGAACATCAAATAGAAATTAATTAATGCGGATAAATTTGATTGCGTCGTTTATGGTTTTATAAGTAAATTAAGCCAGCTAATAAATAATATAAAGACAAAATTATAAGGAATGGGGAAAAAAATAATGACATAATTGATTTTATAAAATCCAACTATTATGCTTTAGTCAGGATTTTAAATACAATTTTGTGTTACCGACGGGATAAATCTTAGATGCAACGTGATTTTCTTTATTGATAATGGGACGAGCATTGTCTTAATCACTTTATTCACTCTGATATGATTAAACACAAGCTGTTATAGGGTAAAAGACAACTACATATTTCTTCTAAGTTTTATGTAATTATGGTAGTGAAAATACAAATTCTACTTAGATATGATGTGATAAATTTTTTTTATTCAAATACATAGCCGAATTTGATTCATTTTTAATTACTATCATGAATATTAGAACAAAAGTCGTGAAATATTTATGACTTAATAATATTGTTTACTACCTGATTCAAAAAAGATTTTTTATTGCATTGAATATTATTCTAGGTTTAAAAAGATTAAGAATATAAAGAATGAAAACTATTCACCATTCATTATGAAATTTAGAAGAGAAAAAAATGTTATGACAGAAATGTCAAAATCATATTTTTTTTTCTATTTCTTTTCTTCATTGACATCAACTCAAATCTTGTTCAATGAAAAGATTTTGTGGTGTTTTTCTTCCAAAATATGAATAAAGAATATTTATCGGTACGTCTTGCAGCTTCATGAGAAATATGATCCGTTTATTTATGTCGGCTGTTGTGGGATGTATTTGAGGTGAAAACTTCTTCACATCAAAATACTTAATCAACTCAAATTTCTCTAACAATTATTTTGACAATTTGTGAATTGAATAATTGACATGTTTAATGTTATGCCACATATTTCTTAATAAGAATATGGTTCATTTAACATTGAAATAGTTTTGAATTCATTTCATCAAATAAATTTGTCCTCAAATATCAAAAAAAAGCACAGCATAAATAGTTTAATTCTCACAGATTAGTTGATAGCATTTTCAGTAAAATTCTTCATTATTATTATTCACTAACTCAACATATCTTTGCAGGTACCTACACTTTTAAGTAATGTCTTACATCATAATTTTTTACTTTTCCTGCAAAATTGAGACTTGAAATTTTGTCGTCGCAACATCAACGAAAGAATGTTGAAACGTGTCTGCAATTTTCACTTCAAGTGCGCTCATAATATTGATTTCGAACAAGGAATTGTTGATTTTATGCAATCACTGAAGAAATGTCTTTAATGCTAAATAACTTTTTGTTTATTCCAGCCAGAGATGAGTTTACTTCGCACTTCAAGAATAAAAAACAAACGACAAGTCATCATTTGGAACAAGATTTTTTTTCTTTAATGTCGTTGAGTAAACCCTTCAACAACAGTATGTCTGAATACATTTCAAAGCATTTCAAAACTGCATAATTTCTCCCTAGTTCCTATTCATTCATGTAATATGTACATTCATCGCCACCATGATGTTGTTTCAAATTTCAATAGAATTAGTTTGTTGTGAAGGGTAAAAAATGGCTGCTTAATTGACGTCAAATTAGAGTTTCTTCTTCCCTTTTTTAACTTTTTTTAATAACTTTTATTAAACAGCATGAGAGCTAAACAGCTTTGAGCACCAATTCAAATCGCTTCGTTACAATGTTATTTCATTTTGTGTTTGATTTGAATTTATCATTCAATCATTCGTTGATTATGTTGCTTCTATGTATATTAAGAAGAAAGAAAAAATATTTCTTGTTAAACACGAAGCGCCCCATGACACGCATTTTAATATTCTGATCCATTTGTTATTCTCGACATTACTTCTTCCACTTTATTTCGGGTTAGATATTCAATAGAGGCGTTGTTGAAGGAAATAACTAGAATGGAAAACTTCGTTGATGGGTGATTACCAATCATCACTCAAGTTGATGACCGCAAGTGTTTAGAATTTGGATTAACAAGAGATAGGAAAAAATACAACGAGCTGGTGGGTACTTGACGAAGGGTTAAGAGAAAAATAAATAATTTAATTGCCGTCGAGCAGTAAAACGAGGGCGCCTCTAAAATTCTGAGTCAATATATTTTTATGAACAGTGACAGTAAATTCATTTCTCCCATTAAATGATTTTATAATTGAAGTTGATTTAATTTAAAATAAAATTTAATTGCGAAAAGCTTTGAGACAAAATTTTATTCCACACCACTAGATGTCTCTGAACTGGAATTTTTCTTCGCAGATTTTTATAAAAGATTCGCGAAAAAAATCATAACGAAAGAGAAGGAAGGAAAATGTTCTATTCATACATTAAAATTCCGCCTTCATCACTCAGAATAATATTTAAAACAAAGGATTCCATTAAAATGAAAGGCAAAGCATTGTTCAATGCTGTAAAATATTTATGCATGCACCATATAAAATATGTATGCACTTGAGATGTTAATGAGTTGAAGGGGAAAAAGGAAACAAAAATATGGAAGGCATAATGAAAATTCTCTTGAAATAGAAATGGCTTTGTTTTCAAGTTAAATTTCCTTGGAGATTTAAATGAGCTAAATGTTTTAGCTTTAAGACTAAATTTTTTTATTATATGTACATACCTATTTTAATAAAATATTTTTAATGAAAATAAAAAGACAACAATTAGTAAAATTCAACCTTCAATTCTATGGAAAGAAGTTTCAAGTGCTTCACACTTCAGAAAGGATCGTCAATTGAGACCCTTTGAATTGTTTCAGGTGATAAAGAAATGATGATGCAAAATTTGTAACACACAATTCCATGAACATTCAAGAGCAGAAGGTTCTTTTGAAGGGATATTTATATCCAAGGACCTTCAAGTGGTACACAAGAAAACATAAATGCGAGCCATTCATTCTTGATCGATTTCATCTAAAAATTATCTTGTTTTCCCATAAAAATATTATCCAACTAAATCGAATGCAAGAAAATGTTCCTTCTTTGTGTGGTTTTACTTATTTTAAGGGCCCGGCTATTAACAAATTTCTGAATAAAAAAGTTACATATATAAAAATGGCAGATGTTATGACTAGGTAGTGAATGTTAACATTTTTGATGGGCTGAACAAAGAAAGGGAATAATAGAATAATTTGACGTGAAAGAGGGTGTTTGTTTATTATTATTTGCTACTTTTTTCCTGGTTTCGAAAAGAATGAAGAGAAGTGTGAATAAGGTAGAAGCGAGAGAAACACTCAATTCGAATCAAACCTATCACTAATGTTAACAAAAAATATTTCCAAAACTTCGAACGCAACATAAATACTTATGTATAAAATATATTTCCCATCATGTCTGGTGAATTCTTCCAAGTGTTGCTTTTGACATTCATCAAAATATTTAGTGAAAGCAAAACAGTTTAATATGAATTAAATGAAACAAACACAACGATGATAATGATCTCAGCTCTTTTCTTCTCTTGACTAAAACGTTCTTTCTTCTCTTTGCTTTATTTAAAAATATTTTTTTATGTTTACTCATGTTATTAAATATTTAATCATTTCATTACAGTGGAAAACTATTTTGAGTTCATCAGTTAGAAGTAAGAATAAAATGGTGGTTGAATATTTCATGTTACGAACTCACGACTCGACTTCTTCTTGAAAATGAAGCAATAAGTAAATAAATTCAAAATAGATCTTCAAACATGTAAATTTTTCCTTTTTGAAATTCAATTTCTGAAGATGATTTTCCCAAAATTTCATCACGAAACTCCGCTCATTCAATTCAAATTGGAATATGAAATCATTATAAATCTTGCGGTGAATCAAAAATTGAATGATGAGTTGAAAGATGCGATAAATTGCTTGAAGCTCAACAGGGATTTAGATCATGCTTCGTTTCTCGTTTTGCAATAAATCATCTGAAACTCTGATGAAAACAAAAATATTTTTTGTTACGGAATAAAATCATAAGTGATTTACTAACGAGAAAACTAACGGTGAAAGTTGAGCTGGAGAACTCTGAAAAATGGATGTAAAAAAAAGTTTAATGAATCGTCTTCATTAAAATATTGTTCGCGAATGAATGCACTGAAAAAAGAAAATTCTCAAGAGAAAAATTTCTCCCGGGAGCTTCATTCTATTCGAGCCTTTTCAAACTCAATTACGCTTTTATTTAATTTTCATCGTGAAAAATTCCTGAGCAATAAAACAGGAAAAGAATAAAAAAAATGGTTCGTTAGATGGAAATAATATCACAATGCCATGGCAAGTTTTCTATGCTTCAAGTAGATAACTTTCACAAGTTGAAAAATGTCACAAATCTCTCAGAATAAAAATAGAATTTCTATCACCACTTACATCGATTGATGCAGAATTCATATTGAGAATCATTTTCAAATCACTCCCATCGTTCGAAATGGAGAAATTGAATGATCCGTTTGAAGGAATTTTCTTGATTTGTCAAGAATGGACCTTTAATGGATTGGAAAAATCGTTCTTTTGTAATGTACTTTTGAATGGATCTTCACAAGCAATTTTTCTTTTAAATTATTTTTCAATTCATGTCACGAACAAATCAGTTGAGATGCTGAAATGAAAGATAAAACTCCATTAGTTGTTCAAATAGAATTTTTCAAGAATATCTTCCAAGATTTTTATTTTCATTGAATCAACATCATACATCCATATATTGGCACCATTTTGATGATGCGTGAATTGAGATGAATTTAAGTTCTGAAATTATCTTGAACGAAATACGATTTTCCACATTAATGGCAATAAATTAAATATCGAGGAAAAAATATCAGGAAATTGGGATAAATTGACGAGGGAAATTCGAGTGCCGAAATTGATTTGAAATTAATTGATGATTGATTTGATTCTATTTTTCCTGGAGGCCTTTTAAATTGTTAATCGGAATAAGACATCAAGGTAATTTAATTGAATTTTTTTTAGATTACAACTTTAAGTTTGACTCGAACATTACTAAGTTAAGAAATTCATTTCTGCTCTCATTATAATTTCTTCATATTAAAATTTTGTTAACAAATGCAATTTGCATGATTTAAAACATGAAAGTCTTTTGCGATATTCAATTCATTTATAAAATGGCTTTTGATATGTAAATTATGATTGAATGTAAAAAGCTTTGTTAATATTAAGAATTTGCATATGTTGTCTGCTTCTCAGTAAGCGATGGAATTTCAATTGTGCGCCATCATTAAAAATTTACACATTTCTTGTTAGCGATCATAAATTTAATGAGTTTCCTTGATGTTTTTCATCCGACACAAAAGCAAAAGTCTCAAAGGAGAAATGATGAATTTTCAGTTGAATTTTGAAATGCACTGAAAAGTTTTAAATTATGTTCACTGATTAAAGGATGATATAAAGTCGTCTAAATATTCTTTGATCTTGCGATTTGTTTGCTCTATTCTTGAAGCTCTCTGCATCTCATTATTAAAACATTATTAAAAAGCTTTTAACGCAGGTGAGAGATAAACATTACGCATTCAGCAAAATTGAAATCTTTTACTATTTAAAAATAAAAAAAAAAGTGTAATTACAGTGCATTTGATGTATCAATTCAAAGTAGTAAAAATTGAGTGACTACCAAATAAGATTTATTTTAAGAATTTTATAACATTAATATTCATATAAACTTCATTTACATGATGAAAAGTAAAAAATGTTTCTTAATATCTATCAATTTCGATTATTTTAAAATACAATCTTATTAATTATTTTCAAATCATTCCACCAAATGGAAAATTGTGAGATGAAAAATCACAATGAAAGCGCCTCATTATGTTTTTTTTTCCATCCAACGATACGCTTCTTATTCAATCATAATGATTATTCCACATCACAACATTTTTCTCTCCGCCTTCTTTTTTCTTCTGTTTTGTTGGATTTCTTTTTTCCTTCATCGCAATGGTAGAAACGGCGCACAATCATTGATGATTATTTCATGTATATGTGTTTACTTCAACTGTTTAATCTTTTTTTTCTTCTGCATTCGTTAATGTTAAAAAGTGAAAATCAAAATCGTTTTTTTGAGAATAAAATTACAACATTAACGTAAAATATTGTCGTGGAAAAAAAATCTTTCGAAAAGAATGGAAGGAATAATTACTTTTCTCATTTCCCCATTGGATGACATTTTCATTTGATACTGTTTCATTAAATAATGGAAAATGCTGTTGAAACGTTATCAGTGGCAATAAGTGAAAGATGAGTGTCAAAGTAATTTCAGGAGAAAGAAGGAGAGTCTTCTGTAAATAATTAAGGATATTCACTTAGATTGTGCATGATTAACAAGGATGCTCATCTTCTTTACTACTTGAGAAATTTTTTGAAAAGAAAGTTGAAGCTTTAAATAATTAAAAGCTAACAATCTTGTGAAAGAGTCTTGAGCTAATACTTAAGAAATTTATGAAGATTATTTTCCTTAAAAAAGTCTTTCCCTTCTACGATCCGAATCTCCACGAATCTAAGCTCATAAAGGTTGCATTGTAGTCAATAATTTTTGGTATCAATCAATCATCTCAACAACAATCCCAAAAAAAAAATTCTCCGAAGAGAAACAGAAAAAAAAGATGAGAAAAAGAAATATTTTGACATGAAATGGAACAAACAATCAACACTTCTGCCCTTTCTTTGCTAAACGATGTTGATGCCCATTATTTAATCCTTTTCTGTTGAGAAGTGAAATGCTTCAACGTGTAAAATGATATGTCATGACTCATGATCCATCTATAATTTGGATTTGCTTTTGCTTCATCACTTTACAAGTAAAGTTTCACTTCTGTTTACTAAACTTTGACGTGAAATATTTTAATTGCATGATTATTTAAACGGATTAATAGCTATCGAGATGAGAGGATTGATGGTAACGATGCTGTTTATGGGCATTGCTTTCTTACCATATATTTAAATACATACTCGAGCTTGCGTTTAGAGGCACACATAAAGGCGTTTAAATGGAAATCTAGGAGAGTTTTGAATTCGGGTCGTCATTCCTTTGTTTGGTAAACATCGGATTGAATTTCTTTCAATACTTTTTTCTTTCTCTTTATTATTTTTCTTGTTGCTTCAATCATTTCAAATGTGAATCTTTCCACACTCGCATTTTGAATCAATATCGAGAGGTTGATGTGCGGAAACCCCATCATTATTCATTATCCAGTTTGTTGTAATTTTTATATTTTGTTAGATGAGAGAAGAATAAGAAGCAAGAAAACCTTAAACGAATGATGTTGATGAAATTGAAAATTATAATTAAGACATTAGTTTAAACGGACTGAAAAAAATTAAATGATCAATGACGTGCGTATAATGACTTGAAGTTCTAATTCATGCTTAACGATTATACACAACGCCACTGTTCGTAGTTCAGCCCATTAAAGAAATGATGGAACGAAGTGGTTGTTTGATGGTAGCTGTTAAAGACTCTTAAATGGTGAAAATAAAAAAAATCATGATGTGGAAGTTAGACGATAGAAAATTCATGATTAAGATTAAATGAGATTTCGGGGATTGGTTAAATGGACAAATAACCCGTTTGGCCTTCTTATTATGCCTTCCTGTGGTTGTGCTTGAAATCTATAAGAGATTTCTTTTCTTTTAACGTTTTTTTTAATAAGAAACTCTTGAATTTAATTTACTTCAAAATTGAATAATGAGAAATATTTTAATAGAAATGGAGATTCTCTTTTTGTTTGATCTTAACAAGAGTGTTTGCTTTCAATTTAAGTTTTTGATTGTTTTGATTGAAGGCATCAAAATATTTTTTATTATTTTGATGTTTGTTTAGACTTTAAAATTTAATTGAAATTCAATGGCGCAAGCAGTTTTGGTTTATTAATTTGAAATTTGCAATATTTGACTATTAAAGTTGTGATGATCTCAAAATTGAATTAAGAAACACCGCAACATTCCCTCATTAATCAGCCGTAGCTTGTTTAATCTTGTTTCATTTCCAGATAATAAATAGAAAAATAAATAGATTGTCTGTGCAACAATTGAACTGAACTGTAGTTAATAAACCGAATATCTCTTGTAAGTGCAAGCATATTTAATGATAGTTCTATTTGCGCTACTCATTAGTAATTGAAGATTTCAAAAGTTTATAGTAAAATTAGTCATTAGATTGGTTGATCGTTAACTTAAATTCAAATTGTGCCATTGCACACATATCAAACACTTAGAGACAAGTTTTCATTATAACTTAGAAAAAGATCAAACATTGAATTGTTTGTTTTATACTCGGTTAAAGTTTCATCTGATGAAGTTTCTCTGGAAAAAACTTATTTGCTAAGCAGTTGACATTTGTATGAATTCATTATGCATGCGCTCCTCATTAGTAAATTGCAATAATATTGTGTTTGTGATGCTGATTAAGAACAAACAAAAAACAGATGAGAAGAATTTCGACTCACTTTTATTATAGTTTCATTTTTAATATTTAATTGATAGTTCGATCGATAACTGAAATTTGAAGAAACTTTTATTTGAGCCTTTAAAAAATTTCATTAAAGTTGGTTTTTTCATATTGATTGCATATTGATTACAGGTAAATAAAAAATAAACGAGATGATTGATCATATAGGTTATAAAAATGTGGTGTTTAAGTAAAGTTTTGTCTTGTGTGATCTGTATTTCTGGGTTAAGTTCAACATGCCTCATTAAATGATATTAAAACAAGTTTTGTTGGCGTAATCACCGATGACTAAATTAAGCAAACTATCTGGTTGTTGTAAATTGAAGCAAAATTCGAAATTTCATAAACAGTTTCTTATTTTTCTTTATTGAAAATTCATTCAAGTAGATGTATAAATCGAATGACTGAAATAAATATCAAATACTTCCAAGACAAAACATAAAAATCAGAATATCTACATATAAATTTAAATAATTGAATTTGTCTTTAACAATATCATCAAAATGTTTATTTTATTATAATGAGATGTTATTCGATATTGTTTCAAAAAGGATTTTTTTATTTGTTTTTAAACGTCAGAAAAAGAAGCGAGAAAAATCGCGATAATGATAAGAAAATTTCTCATTTTGTTAAATGGAGGGTGACGAAAATTATGCTAGGAAAATTTGATATTTTTGACAAGGTTGACAAGTTCCATTGAACAGAAAACAGAGTGGTGGAAAATTGTGAAAGGTTGAAATTAAGGGTTTAAGTAAATAAACATGTCAAGTCTTACGTCATCGGTAATCGTTTCTGATGACTTAAAAGTATTTAGTCGTGCAGTCAACTGTGTCATAATTAGTGGAAAATATAATAATTACCGGATGTAATCATCATTTATGAAGGAAACTATTCAAATGGATTAATGGATCAATGTAGCAATTATGTCATATGACGTGTGTTATTTTGTCAAAGGAAGATCCAAACGGAAAATCTCAATTATGTAGTTCCACATACTTTCGATGGAGTTCAATCAACTTGTCACGATCATTTATTTTTCCAATACTTCTCATGCAACAAAACCTCATTATTTTTATTTCTCTGTTGATGGCAAATAAATCAATGTTTATTTATTGCAATATGTTTTCGTCTCGTCGTTTTCATAAAACTTATTGAATAATGATTACCAGAGCTTCTTTGAGAGGGAAATAGAACAACATTTACTTTATTAAATATCAATAATTTGATTTATGCTACTTTTATTCATTATTCGACGCCTCTTTTATTGGTCGCAAATGTAAAAAAAATATGGCGAGCTCAAAGTAGAAAATAATTCTATAGAATGTAAAACTGACATGTAATTAAGGGACGCGCTTGATGGTTTGTTATTACAGTTTCAAATTTATACATGCTTCTGATGGAAAATAGTAGAACTTTATATATATTATTCAATTGGAATCACAATTCACATCCATTTGTATTCAACAGAAAAAACTGCAAAAACTGAAACTAAATAAAACTTTTAACGGAGCTGTCAATATCGTAAATAAATCTAATTTACAATGACACATGCTTCATACACCAATTTTATCATGGAAGTTTCTAAAGAGAAGTATGATAGGAAAAACGATGAAAATCTCGAACTGCGATGAAAATGAAAATATTAGATAGATAGAGTGACACATAAATTGTCTGCAAATTGAGTTAATTTCTGTAGGAAAAAGCAACTTTATAAAATGAATTTTGGAATGTAAGCTGAAATTTCATTAACCCTTCTTTTCCTGATTTATAACTAAACTCATTTTCTTAACAACGATGATAAATTAAATATACAATAGGATTATGACGACAATGACAAATTATTATTTTGATAGGTTGTGACTTTTCATGATACAATTTCAACGTTTTCATCATTTTACTTAAGCGTTATGTTAGCAACAGTGTTTGCAAAAAAAAATGCCTTAGGCGCAAAAGAAAATTTTGAGATTGACAGACACGTGGTCTTGTTAAAAGGGCGATACCAACAGACCTTATTCTAAAAAAATGCTACAAATGTATAGATTCAAATCATTATTAGTATTTTATTTGACATGATTCTAACGAAAATAAAATAATTTGCTGTGTTTCTTTTGATAATTTTTTTCTTAAATTGATATTTCATAAAAGCGCGTGATCTACGTGACTTTTAATAAATTCTTACAAAAAGAAAAATAATCTTGTTTGTCAATAAATAGGATATTCGTTTGATTTTTTTATGTGAAAGGAAAATATTTCGTACTGAAAAAAAAAATCCTGTGAAAAACCCTTAAATATCCTTTCTCAACGGATTTTTAAAATTCAAAAATTTCGAACGTGAAAGCTTTCTACATGAAGGAAAGAACATTCAAAGCTTTCAGAAAGGAAGTGCTGAATGAATAATGTTTTTGAACTTTGAATTAGGTACCTATATAAAAATAAAGCTTGTTTCAGTATTCAGAAGAAAATAAATATAAGAATGTTTAAATCTCGGTTAAAATTCATACATGATGAAAAAATCTACAACTATTCAACGATGATTAGAAATTAAAAAAAAAAATTCGTAAAAATAAAAGAGAGCTTCTCCCTAAATTTAAAACTTATAAATTATATATTTGGATAAGTATCTAAATAAATAGGATAATAATATTTCCATGAAGAGTGAATTATAGATAATCAATTTAAAAATTCAAAGGGATTGCAAAGTCGCAAAAACGTTTTTTACAAGCTTAAACAAAAATTTATTAATGTCGTTGAAGTTGGGAAAACAAGTCTGATTATACAACAAGATGTATTCATAATCGTTGAATTATTTTTCGATGTCTCCAAATCCGTTTCATAAATTTGTTCATCAGTGAATGTTTGGTTATGTAAATTATTCCATTTATAAAACAAGTCATCAAAATTTTATTCTCAAAAAGATCTCAAGTTGAAAATTTTTCGTTTCAATAAGTATAAGAAAAATGATTAAGAAATTGAATCCGTATTCAATAATCGTTTGTTTGAGGAATAATGATTGGGAAAATTGTAAACAAAATTTATTTTTTCATTCGTTTGATGTGAATCTACATCGTCGCAATAAATAATCAAAATGTGATTATTTTTCTTTTACAATTTCCCTTTTTCTCAAGAATTTTGTGAAGATTTTTTTACAAATTGACTTATTTGTCTCAATAAAAGACTTCTTCATAAAAATCCGCAATTATAAATAAATATTAAAAAGAAATCTTTGTAGGTTGGCATTATAAGTTCCTTTGATTAATTCTCTCTTTGATGCTTAAAACGGAACAACAATTTTCCTATTATCAACCAGTTTTCTTTCTCTTTTTAAATGTAACTTCATTGCGTAATTATATCAAGTACATATGTATCAAGTTTTTTTATTTGAAGATACAAATGTTGCAACTTCCAGGGTAGAATAATTCATAAATGTGTAGTGCAGATGTAATGAACATCACATCGAATGAATGTGCTTTTCTGTTTAGTTACAGAATTCACTTGCAACGAAAACCATACAAATCATTATGAGCTACACATGGAAAATATCTATGATTCTTTTATATTAAGCCATGTCAAATAATTAATTGCATTAGAAGCTTTCCTTGATATTTTGCGCTTCCTTTTTTTACATATATTTGAAAGATTATTATGATTTAATATTCTCATATGACAATTGATTATCTGCAAGTTGCAAAGACTCAGATCGGAATAGAAAAGGGTTAAACTGATGAACATAAAAATTTAAACATGGCGTCGAGTAAGAAAAAATAAATCATAATGACTTCTACTCTCTTTTGTTGCACACTGCATCATGTAATGATTTCATGAAGGTTATAAAGAAGAAGAAAACATCTTTTTACAATTCCTTCTCGTTTAGTTTTCGTCACGTGAACAATATCGCATTGTTATAAAAGATCTAATTGTTAATTTTTAAAACGATATCTCGTACAAAATGGGTCTACTAAAACGAATCCTATTGTGACTTTGTAAATTCCGAAAAATTCTCTTTTGAATTAATTTTTTTTTCATAAGAGACATTTTGATTGTTAATTACACAAAACATGCCAATGTAAAAAAATGAGAAATCATTCACGATTCTTGTTTCTCATGCTGTGCAATAAGCAAGAAATGAATTTTGAAGTTTAAAAATTAAACTATGAAATATGTATTGAATTTATTCAATGAAAATATCAAATTGCATTTAATGATTGTTTTCTTTTACTTTCATCGGATATAAATTTTTTATAACAATAATCACATTTGCCTTCTCGTAAAAGTATACAAAATTGTATTGGAGAACATTCATCAGAAATGAATCTATCTGAAAACTAAGTTTCTTTTCCTAAGTATCAAATTAATGAAATAATAAATTTAATCTGCAATTATTCATCATAGATTTGATGAATTGGACATCATGTTTGAAGCTTGAGTTTTTTTCTACGTCACTGGAATGTTCTTTGGAGGAGGGAGTAACATGGAGCTTACCTCCAGAAGCATTAACCAGTGACCTTTTTCTCAAGCATAAATTTAAACATCACTAATCAAAACAAATTACCAAATCAAACATAAAATTAAATTAAATATAAATTTAACTTGACTTAATTTATATCAATTAAATTAAAAGTAAAAATTTACTGACAAAATATTAAATTTAAACATCATACAAATATCGCTACATAATGTACATTAAATACCAGTTCTAATACAACATTGTAAAAAAATTGATAAACAAATCAGATTTGCTGCAAACAAAGGGAACAATTCCTGTTTTTTGTAGCTCAAAGGCAAAATAAAAAAATAATAAAATAATAAATCTTATCAACTTTTATGATTTTTTGAAAATATTTTATAAACATCAATTTCATGTTTGCATGATGCAATGCTTTAATGAC